GCGGCAAAATCATGTCATCATTGTCGACTTCGCTCAAGAACTCCTACCAGCGCTACCTACAGCCGTACGAGGAATATTTGGCCCGGGCCAAACCAGGTGTCCAGCAGCAGCTTGAGCTTGAGCATGGTGGCCCCTACACCCCTTCGCCCAATCAATCTCCCATGGCCTACAAGCCTCTAATGGATGAGAATGGCACACCTTCGAAATCTCGCGATGAAACTCCTACTCTACCCCGGATGGCAGTTTCACATACCCCGATGGAAATATCGCCTGAGAAGCCTACACCCCCCGTCGAACCCACCCCACCCCCACGTCCCGCGGCCACAGGTTTTACTCCTGTAAATACTGGCCTTGGTGGTTTCACTGCCGTTAATCGCTCTCCGTTTACCCCGACGAACAACACCCCTGGGAGCAACACTCCGGTGAACAACGGTCCGCCTATCAAGCGGGAGGGAGAGAACGGCACATCGACACCTAAGCCTGTTTCCGAGCATGCTTTCGTATCCACTCCTGTGAACGGTCAACCTGGAGAATCCGTGAAGCGTGCCATCAGCCAGGAGAATGGTTCTCAGAGTGACAATGGTGACGATGATGGCGGAAGTGGGCGACGCAGCAAGCGCCTCAAAAAAGGTATATCCCCCTGCGCGCTTGAAACAGGATTGGTCTAATCGTATTTCTAGATTCACTACCAACAGTTGCTGGTTCCCATATGTCTCTACTTCGGCCTGCGCTACCTAAAGTTCGCAAGGATGGTGTTCCACCAGATGGAGAGGTAGGCATTGACTCTTTGTGTCGGTTATTGACCTCATACTGATTCATCAATAGAAATGCGAGACCTGTGGCAGTGCAGATGATCAAGACTCAATCCTACTGTGTGACGGTTGTGAGCTTAGATATCACAAAGCTTGCCTGGATCCATCTACCACAACACCATCGGAACATGACTGGCATTGTCCCAAGTGCCTTGTTGGCACAGGAGAATTTGGTTTCGAAGATGGTGGCATCTACTCTCTCAAGCAGTTCCAGGATAAGGCAAATGAGTTCAAGAAGAAGTATTTTGCTTCCAAAATGCCCTTTGATCCCGTGCTTAACACACATCGCCGCGAGACAGAGGACGATGTTGAGGCCGAGTTCTGGAAACTTGTTGTGGATCTACATGAAACCGTCGAGGTCGAGTATGGCGCGGACATCCATTCGACAACTCATGGCAGTGGATTCCCTACCATCGAACGCAACCCTCTTGATCCATTCTCTTCTGATCCCTGGAATCTGAACGTGCTCCCATTCTATGGAGACTCATTGTTCCGTCACATCAAGTCTGACATCTCTGGCATGACAGTGCCTTGGGTCTATGTTGGCATGTGCTTCTCGACTTTCTGCTGGCACAACGAGGATCATTACGCATATTCGGCCAATTACCAGCACTTCGGCGCTACTAAAACTTGGTACGGAATTCCCGGTGCGGATGCCGAGGCCTTTGAGGCTGCTATGCGCGATGCAGTCCCGGAACTCTTTGAAGGACAGCCCGACCTCCTTTTCCAGCTCGTGACGTTGATGCCCCCGGATAAGCTTCGAAAGGCGGGCGTCAACGTCTATGCCGTTGATCAACGCGCTGGTCAATTCGTTCTCACCTTCCCTCAAGCGTATCATGCTGGGTTCAACCACGGCTTCAATTTCAATGAAGCAGTCAACTTTGCGCCTGCTGACTGGGAGCCGTATGGAGCGCTCGGTGTTCAACGTCTTCAGAACTTCCGCAGACATCCATGCTTCTCGCATGACGAACTGCTTTTGACGGCGGCTTCGCGAGATACTTCAATCTCCACCTCCAAGTGGCTTGCACCTGCTCTAGCGAGAACCCGCGATCGAGAGCTTGGTGAACGTGCTCACTTCTTAGCCCGACAGAAGGAAATCTCTGCCCTTAATTCCGCTTACTCTACCTCTATGGCAGAGGGTCCGCAGTCGAAGTTCATAATCGAGGATGAAGATATCCCTGAAGATGATTACCAGTGTCAACATTGCAAAGCCTACGCTTACCTCACCCAGTTCCGCTGTCACAAATCAGGCAAAACTGTTTGCTTGATGCATGTGGACACCTACGACTGCTGTGGAGAAACTTTTGCTCAGAAGTTGTGTGGTCCAAACCACACCCTGCGTTACCGTATGAGTGATGCCGATCTAGAGGCGCTCGTGCAGAAGGTCCAAGAACGTGCCAGGATCCCGGAAGCTTGGTCCGAAAAGCTCGACAAGACCTTGGAGGATGAACCAAAGCCCCAGCTTAAGGCCCTTCATACCTTACTCAATGAAGGTGAGAAAATCCCATACCACTTGTCTGGCCTTCAAGATCTTGCGGCCTTCGTCCAGCGTTGCGATAAATGGGTGGAAGAAGCCAACAACTACATTACCCGGAAACAACAAAACCGGAGAAAAAACGAAAAGGCATGGCGCAGGACCAGTGCCAAGGCAGCGCAGCTGGACGATCGCGACCGTGAAGTCCGCAGAGTGGAACACATCTACGCCCTTCTGGCAGAGGCTGATAAACTTTCGTTCGATTGTCCACAGATGGCTGCGCTGGAAGAGAAAACCCGCGAAATCGAGAAATTCCGCCAGGATATTAATGCTGCCCTTATGAACCCGCATACACGACCGATCCAGGAGATTGAAGAGATGATCGATTCTGGCCGAAACTTCAACGTGGAAATCCCGGAACTGGAACACCTGGAACAAGTCTCCCGACAAATCAAATGGACCGACGAAGCTGCTCGCAAACGTGATCAGTACCTGACTCTTCAGAATTGCCGAGATCTTGTCTCTTCCGCTGAACAGCTAGGTCTTTCCGAGACCAACGAGCATTTGCTACATTTCAAGGAACTGACTCGCCTCGGTGATGCGTGGGAGAACAAGGCCAAGGAATTGATGTCGGTTGAAGCTGTCCACTATCAGCAACTGGAAGCTCTCTCTGCGCAGGCGTCTCGCTTCCCAGTATCGCCGGATACGCTCACTGCTGTGGATGCCATATTGACCAAGCAACGTGAGGCGCAGAAGCGGATCCAAACTCTGTACGAGAAGAGCAAGGATCCCGAGCTGAAGAATCGACCCAAGTACAAGGATATCCGGGACTTAATGGAGTCTCTTGAGCATTTGACCAGTCGACCCATCGGCGCAATTGACTTGGAACGGGAACAAAAGCGACACGAAGACTGGATGAGGAAGGGCAAGAAGTTGTTTGGCAAGGCCAACGCCCCTTTGCACATCCTGAGGTCTCACATGGAATACGTTGCTAAGCGGAACTCGTACTGCTTCGATCTTGAGGACAGTTACCGCCCGCCCGTGGAGCCCTCCTCTCGGGACAACTCACCTGACGGTCTGCTTGAAAATACCAACAGCGGACCGAATGTGTGGGGTCCGAAGTCACGAAAGAGGGATGTGTTCTGTATCTGCAGACACTCTGAGGCAGGGATGATGATCGAATGTGAAGTCTGTCACGAATGGTAAGTCAACAAAACGCTATGGATTGGAGATAAGATTACTTACAGCGTATAGGTACCATGGGAAATGCTTGAAGATTGCGAGGGGAAAAGTCAAGGAGTTCGACAAGTACACATGCCCAATCTGCGATTGGCGACAGAAGATTCCACGTGATGCAGCTCGTCCTAAACTTGAGGACCTTCAGGACTGGCATGCGGAGATTGCGACTCTACCTTTCCAGCCCGAAGAGGAGGAGGTTCTCGAGAATATTATCAACCAAGCTACTGCGTTCCGCGATTTTCTGCATGGCTTTACGAATGCTGCTTGCACTACAACCGAGGAAGTCCCTACCTTGATATTCTACCTGCGCAAAATCGAAGGTGCTGAAGTTCTTCTCACTTTTGAGACAAACTTCTTCCGGCAGGAAATTCATAAGTGGGCTCCTGTTGCCCCGGAACCTCCTCCAATTCTGGAGCAGTCCTTGTCCACGCGAAAGCCACGTCCTACTAAGCAACAGAAGATGATGGCCCAGCTTGGCGTGGATCGTCCCGAGGATCTCCCAGAGCATCTTCGTCCCAAGCATATCGGTGTCACCAAGCGGAAATCGGTGGATGCTCAGTCACAGTCTGCTCGGCCTACATCTTTGCAGCCAGCACCTGTGACTTCTAGCAGTACCCAACCTCCGAGCACGGGTCCAACATTGACGCCGATGTCGGACCCCAATACTGCATCATATCCTTTCTCCGCAAACTACTCTCTGCCTGCTAGCGACTCCACACCAGCCTTTGCACCTACATCATCCTCTGCTTTCCTCCCTCACGCCGTCGCTTCTCAATCCCCTTCATTCCTACCTCGATCTCCCTCACCCCAGCAGGGTATGGAAACATCGCTTTTCAGCCCTCCGCGTTTCGGTCGTGAACCTCAATTCGCAAGCAGCAGTCCTCGCCAGAATTTGGATGATGTGTTTGCGGATTTGACCAATCAAGAAGATGTCGATCCTGAGGCTGAGGGACAGTCTATGGAGAATACTCATGCGAACGAGGCCCTCGCAGCTCTGGTAGCCGATAATGGCAGCAGTCGTGCTGGCTCAGTTCATGAGGAGCCAATCCAAACTAGCGAATCTCATGAAATCAAACATGAAGGCACCAATGAAGCCCTCGACGACTCAGAGCTATGATCACGCCTTGCTTGAATGTTTTTTTTTGGTGAAATTTTTCTTCTCTTCTAAAACCCGACCATATGTTCCTCAGGTCTTTACTGTTTTTCTAGTGTCTTTTTCTTTGCTTCTGTCCCTATCCGACTCCCCTCTTCTATGCTTCGTTTGTTATAAATTTTCGAAAAAGGTGTACTACAAGAGATGGGTCTGGCGAGTCCGGGGGTGTTTTCCAGCGAATTATTTTCTGTTTTTACTTCTGTTTTTCATACCACTAAGGCCACGTTTGTCACGAGTTATCGTTTTTGCTGCTGCCAACTCGCCCTGTAATACTAGTTGAATCCAGCCATGCTTATTGATTTTATTTGTGCGCCAATCTGGCTTATTTGATATCTGCATACGCTCCTAGAGCAGCTTGCCCACCGGTGTGAATGAACAAAACATTCACTTCATCCAAGGGCTGCTGAATATTCACGATTTCTCTTTCTTCAACCCAATGCATCATCCCCCTCGCAACCTTGGCCGTATACACTGGATCCAGTACCATGCCTTCTGTCCTCGCCATAGACTCCAATGACTCCTTCGTATCCGCATCAAAAACACCATACCCACTCCCAACAAACCGATCATCAAGCCGCACATCATCCATCCCAATATCCCCATCCTCAAGCCCAACCATCCCCCCAGCCCTCCGCGCAAAAGCAAGCACCCTCTCCTCATGATACGCCCTCGGCTTCGTCGGCGAATTCAATATCCCAACAACCCTCCTCGAACCACTCCCCGTCTTCGTCTTCTCCAACAATTTAAACCCAGCAACCAACCCTCCAACCGTACTCCCACTCCCACAAGCAACGAAAACATAATCAAACCGTCCACTCCCCCCAAGCCCTATCCCCTCCTCCTGCTCAGCAATCTCAAACGCCGCCCGCGCATACCCCAACCCCCCCAGCGGATGCAAACTCGCACCCCCAGGAATCCAATACGGTCTCTCCCCCTCAGCAGCTAACCCCTTAAGCAGCGGCGTCGCATCATCCGCAAGTGGATCCCCTTCCTCACAGACCCGCACCTCAGCACCGAGAAGACGATTAACCTGCACATTCCCACTGCGCAGATAGGCCTCTTTATCAACAGCCGCGTGTAATCCACCGCCCGTACCGCGGTGTAACAGAACAATAGCTTTGAGACCTAGTATGCGTGCCAGGGCTGCGACTTGGACGGTGTGGTTGCTTTGGATTGCGCCCTCTGTTACGAGGGTCGTTGCTGGGCCTGGGAGAGGTGCTGCTGGGGTTAAGTTGTTCTCGTGGGCGTGGTGAATGGGTTTGTTGGAGAGGATGTCTGGGACTATGTATTCTAGTTTGCGGTATTTGTTCCCAGAGCATGCTAGTGGGGAGGAGTGGTCTTCGCGTTTGGCGAAGAGGTTTATGCGGGGGTGTGTTAGTCTTGAAAGTGTGGGCAGGGGGTGGATTGGGGATGGGGATTGGTAGAGAATTGCATGCCGGGGGATTTGGGAGAAGCATTCTGGGAGGGGGAGGGCCATTGTGCTCTTCATTGTGGTGTAGCGTGTTGTTGTGTTGTGTTGGAGTTGGAGTTGGGAGTTGGAGATGTTCAACTCCGCACGTGCCTGGCAATGACGTCGGGCTGCAGCTATCAGATCTTCTTCTCAACAATGACTCTCCTCCAGTTCCTGCGACAAGCGCGCCAGCTGCACCGCCAGTTCCTCTCGGGTGCTTTATCCGAATCTCCAATCTACGTGATCGGCAATCCTTCAGCTGACCTCGACTCTATTGTTTCCGCGATCATTTATTCCTTCTGCGCGAACAACCGCCTCCCACTCAAAGCCCCGCGACCTCATATTCCCCTGCTCAATCTTCCCAACGTGCTTGCAGGCCCGGAGTTATATCGGCTACGACCAGAGTTTGCCACTGCATTATGGCTATCGACCAATTTTCCCGCATTGAGAGCCGAGGAGCAATTTGAGAACGCCCAAGACTCGGCGGGAAATCTCCTTGGCTCGCATCTCGTGACAGTTGCGGATTTTGCGCAAAACCTGAAAGAGCAAAATATCTTCAAACAGCTCCTTGCTGAAGCGACTCTCGTCGATTGGAATTCCTTGCCAATTCCTTCCGACAAAGACAAGGGATCTGGCTCACTACCTGGTTTGCCAGGTGTCACCTTCCGAGCCGTGGGATGCATCGACCACCACGTCGATGAAAAATTCATGTCAAGCACCGAATCACTACCAGAGAACCAGCCCCTAATCATTCAACCCGGTCCCGGTTCCTGCGCATCCCTTGTCACGAGGGATCTTCAGAACCGGACGCTGATGGGCGACGGGCAAGCAATCTCAGCAGAGATGGTGCAAGTAGCGAAACTCGCTCTTTCGGCGGTATTGATCGATACATCGAATCTGACTGCTGAGGGCAAGGTCACTGATGTGGACCGCGAGGCTGTCAAGACCCTGCAATCTCAGATCGCAGGACAATTGGAGGCAGCAAAGGTTCCTCAAGACAAATGGAATCTGCAGGCTTTCTACGAGGGTGTTCTCAATGCTAAGCAGAATAGCCTCGATCTCTTGAATTTGGATGAAGTCCTCGATCGGGATTATAAGGACTGGACTGAGACTGCCCAGTCTTCTGGGAAGACTGTTAAGATGGGATTTTGTTCTTCTGTTAAGCCTATCCGATGGGTTGTGCAGAAGGCGGGTACACCAGAGAAATTCCTGGATGCTGTACGCTCGTTTGCGGCTACAGCTGAGAAGGAGCTAGATGTTGTCGTCGTTATGACGGCCTTCACGGCAGCTGATGGCTCGTTCTGTCGTGAGCTGTTTGTCTGCGTGGTTCGTGAAAATGAGTCTGCGCTTGAGGGTGTCAAGGCTTTTGTTGAACAGACGACTTCCCGACTCAGGCTTGTGGAGTGGTCTCCGTTGGACGGCGAGAATATCTCCGAGCTAGGAGATGTGTGTTCTGCTCTGAATGGGTCAGATACACCCTTTTGGAGAAGGTTATGGATCCAGAAGAATGCTGCTGGGAGTAGAAAGCAGGTTGCGCCGTTGCTTAGGACCGCAGTATCTAAATTGTAAATTAACTGTTATATCATCTACTTGATAGAAATACAGCTTACACGGTACCGAAGTAGGATATGCAGAATTGAATTGCTCAAGGACTCCTATTAATCCAACCCTCAAACACCAATGCCTTGTTCTCTGGAATGACAAGGGAAACAAAAAATGAATGCAATATATGCAAAGCTCCATGCCCACCAGATGCAAATATAGTATGGAAGGAGAACAAGATCACACACGAGACGTAATAGGAAAAATCGAAGAGATGCAAGCACGCAAATCGCATAATAAAAAATAAAAAGGAAAGGGAAATAGGCAGCCGCCTTGGAAATCTAGTAAATCAATAAACGCCCATACAATGTAGTACTTAAACACATTCCCACTCGCAAAATACACACCACCGCGCAGCGCGGTCGGCTAGCACCAGGCCACGCCACATGCCCCGTTCTCCGATCTTGATGACTGTCTCCCAGACGCTTCCTTCGGCAGCGGCATCGGTAACTGATTCGCTGCTATTGTCGCCGCTGATCATGTGCTCTGCCTTCCGGGTTAGACGGAGAATCTTGCCAGACGGCGATTGGATGGCCAGTTTAGCGGGCTTGTCCCGTCCAGAGGCGGACTTCGTGGATGAGATTGCAGAGGTCGATGCTGAGAATTCATACGAGGCACCTGAGATGGTGGAGCCGCCGGCGTTGCTGGAGACCATGCTCAATGCACTGGATGGACGGGTGAAGACGGATGAGGGCGAGCCACGGCCGTTGGAGGATGGTTCGTCCTTGGCTGGCGTTGCGGATGCTGAGTGCTGGCGCACGGCGAAGACGAAGGTGTTGTTTACTGCTAGGCGCGAGCATTGCGGTTGCATGATGTACAAATCGTGACGCTGGGCATGTGGTGTTGGATGGCGCAAGACGAAGTCGTATGAGGGATTCTCTCCGGTATGGATCATTGGGAGGGCGAATGCTAGGGGGTGAGGGATGTCTTTGCTTGAGTGCATCAAACCCTTCTTTCCTGCGTAGACCTTTAGAACACCCTGACCCTCGTCACCAGGGAGTACCGCCTTGATAGTGATGCGTTTTTGGCCGCGGAACCAATCGGGCTGGACGAGGGCACGCTTGCGTACGATGTCTCCACTTTCGAAGAAGTCGCCATCTGCATCGCGGGCGAAGGCTGGTGCTTCAACTTCCGCCGCACACTCGACGTCTGAGGGGACGACAAGGCGCAGCTGCATTACCTCCAGGCCTTCTATGCGGAGCAGACTTGTGTCATAGTCTGGTAGTTGAAGGCCCAGTTTGAAGAATGGCGGGCAGACAGAGGGGAGAGCGAGGAGGACATCGGGTGAGATTGGTGGGCAGATGTGCTGTTCCTCAGGGTAGAGTGGGACGTGGGTATAGCAAAGGTCAAGGGGCCGCGTCAGGAAGTACCAGCTCTCTGCCGTGGCGGAGTTGTTAGAAACAAATCGACTCCGCTGGGGATTCGTGGGGTTGGCGAGGGCGCAGTCCATGAAGCGCCATTCACCATCGACCAGAACCGCGTTCCACCAGTGGTTGGGACGGGAGAGGCTCTCCAGGTCGAGGACATCGCCGGGACTCTTGAGGAAGCCTCGGATGATCTCTGTATGCAAGCCAACGGCTGCACACATCTCGTGCACTAGAAGAGCAATCTCCTCCGGCGTACCTCGTTTGGCCTGTAACAGTCTCTTCATGTCGACTTCGAGGCCATCAACTGGTTCTTCCCAAGCGATCTTCTCGCTAACCCAGGTAAAGATAGCGCGAAGACGTTGGACGTCACTCTTGTATGGTCGACAGATGTAGGCTTGCGCAAGACTCATTGGATTTGTTGTTGGTGGGAGGCTGCTAATGAACCGCGCACTCTTGTCCACAAGGTTGAGGTTCGCTGCATTGAAATTGGTAGGTTCACTGATTGGTTGACCATCGATGCTTTCATCGCCCTCCGCAGTGTCATAAAGTTCCTCTACAGAGTAGATCACAGGGTGGTCGTGCATCTGGCATCGTTCTGCCCTTTCAACCCTCTCATTGCGGCTGGGAGAGGACGCGCGGTTGACATCGCGGCGCACTTGAACCCAGTCGATGGTGCTAGCGCCGCCGAGTCCCATATCACGAGCACTGTCACGGTTCCCATGAGATGTGAGCATGGGTGATACCACGTCTATACCTCTGCTGCTCTTGGTCGGAGATTGAGACTGTGACCTGTCCCCATGGGCAGAAATGCTACTCCTCGCACTGGCAGCGCCAGTCTTGGCTGTTTCAAAAATCTTCTTGAAGAAGCCTTGCTTTTTCGTCTTTGGCGTGGAGAGGCCACCAAAAACTCCACTGTGATCGGTTGTGTCGAGATCAGTGGATGACCAAGGAATGGCAGAGGATGCGCCCTGGCGAGATGAGTTGTGACTGGAGTGATAGGATACACCGGTGAAAGGGGTCTCTGGACGAGCATCGCTGAAACCACGAGAGCGCACAGTATCCATGGCAGTGTTTGGCCGTTCGTGACCGCCTCGTCTGGCAAAGCTACCCGCGCTCGTTGCACTGAACCCTCCTGCAGAGAACCCACTCATCAGACTTTGGCTGGTCTTGTCCGTACTGTTCGTCATTGACGTACCATTACTTTGGACACCGCTGGACGAATTGGTCGCACTAGACTTATTGGTGAATGATCTGTTGAGAATATCTCCCCGCAGGGCCTGCCCGGACCGCCGTGACTTCAGGTGAGGAAACTGTCCTGCAATTGAATTGTTACGCGGGTGATAGGTAGCATGCTTTGGTGGTGGTGGAGGGGGCCCATCATCGTCCTCAGGCCCCCCTTTATCGTCTTCGGGTTGTCGGTTCTGGTCTTCTAGCTGGCGAAGGCGGCTCTCCATTCTTTGAACATAGTTATTCAACTGCGGAGGTCCATCCATATAATGGTCATGGCTATAGACACTATTTCGATGGACGAGTCCACCTTGACGCTGATCTTTGTCGCCATCAAAGCCCATTGATGTCAATGGTCGGCGTCTGTTGCCTTGTGGAGTTCTTTCATTTGAGGTATCAAAGTCCTCTGGCGCCCATGGGTCATTGAATGTTGGTGTTGGAGAAGGCGATGCAGCTTGGCGGGGAAGGCCCATATCTTCCAATGAAGTCATGACATCCTCCATGGCATCCCGCAGTGGGGATGGGGTATTTCCATGGATATCTGACTGCGCCGAATGTTCAGACATTGCGGAGTGGGTCGAAGCTGCGGATGGAGATGGAGTACGATCAAAGATGACATAACGGTCGTTCATAACCAGGGGTGCAGGAGAACGTGAAGGGCGAGGTGCGTGTGATGGAGGTTGAGGAGACTGCGCGCGATGATGAGGTGCATGCATTGGTGGTTGAGGGGATTGCGCGCGAGGCTGAGCAGGGTGCATCCGCGGCTGTGGAGAATGGGATGCCGCACGACTGATAGCGACACGGTGTGGCGGTGGAGGTGGAGGAGGGGGCGAGCCCTCTCGATCCTCCTCCATTTGCAATGAAGATGGCTCACGGGATGAATGCCGATAGGATGACATGCTGCACTGTGGCACCATTGCAGATGAATACTCCTGCATCTGTAAGGGGGATGGTTCGCGAGATGCATGACGGTAGGATGAAGCACTGTCATATGGTACCATTGCAGATGCGTGTTCTTGCATTTGCAATGGAGACGGTTCGCGGGATGCATCCCTGTAAGAAGACATGCTGCCCTGTGGCACCATTGCGGATGAGTATTCATGTTGTTGCAATGGAGATGGCTCACGAGATGAATGCCGGTAGGATGAGACGCTGCCACGAGGCACAATTGCCGATGGGTATTCTTGTATTGGCAACGGAGATGGTTCCCGAGATACCGCGGCCCGAGAGGACGAGACACTACTCTTCGGAATCACCGACGATGGGCGTTCCTGCATTTGGAATGGTGATGGTTCACGGGACGAAGGCCTAGAGGATGAAACACTTCCTCGTGGCATGATTGCAGATGGTGATCGCTCTGGCTCCACTGAGGAACGCGGAGATGCGCCGCGCGACGAAGGTCGCGATGCAGACGATGTGGGACGGGATACTGAGCCTTGGTTCTTAACCGCCGACGCGTGTGTGCGCAATGGTTTTGTGCTGCGTGGAACACTGCCATCCCGAGGCGGAGTTTGAGGAATCGAGGGTGCTGGGCTAGATTCAAGTGGGCCACGGGCTAGTTTGGCAGATGGTGATACAGCTTCCTTGTGTGCCTGGAAAGGCTTCCGCCACACTGTTTTCTGCTTCTTGGGCGCAAACGTAGGATTGTTGACAGGGGAAGATCCCGCTAGCACCATTGGACTGGTATCCCGGCTCACTGGTACAAAGTCTTCACTCAGAAGCTCGACAAAGTTGGATGGGAATAGTCCCACTGCGCGCCTGTCTCGGCGCAACCGTCCCATCCACCATTGTCCGTCGCCTGCATTCAGACATTCGATCAGATCCCCCTCTACAAATCCCAAATCTCGGGTTGTTTCTCCGCCCCAAGAGTATACTGCTCGGCACCAGCATGGGAACTTCGCTGGCAGTTGAGCCATCGCGTTCACCGAAACAAGGTCTGGTCGCAACGCACGAAGTTAACCCAATCAACAGTTTTATATCGTAGCGCAGTTCCAGCGAGTGGATTTTCAGGTCAAGGTCGGCAGTTGATGTATCAATCGCAGGTGTTGCGTGGTTGGTACCAACACAGCTTCCCAGGTCAGATGGGGTCGCAGGGTAAAAGCACGGTCGCAGGGATAGCTAGATAGCAACGGTCGCTCAGTCAATCAGCATTGTATGGTAGAGTGGTAATCGGGGTTTAGAGGGGACTAATTGACTGCCCAATGTGCTGGAGAACTGAGTCGGAGTGTGGAAGGAGTCGGTCAGGCCCAATTGTTTACTGGGGTAGTCAAGGTTGTTTACGTTGTGGTGGTGGTCCGCTAGTCCCGATCGGGACAGGGAGGTCTTATCGATAAGCTTAATCGTCTTATGTAATTCGTGTTTCTATCATTGACCTTCGAGAACTGGAGAGAACTGTGGCAGTTAAGCTGATCTATAAATCGTTACATTTAAACGTGAAAATGCTCTGTGGCGTCTGCAGAAGAGTATAAACATTTAGCTTGAGGATTAGCCTGAAGAGTTCGCTTTGTTGCTGACCAAGCCCCCAGTGGTTCGAGCCGCCTTCGATCCATGGTTGGAGCCAAAACAAACCGTGGATGGGAAACTATATTATTCCAGAGTGCCCAGCATGGTACAGTAAAGGGACATAACTTTGCTTCTGATGCGGAACAGCCACATAATATAGATGTCCAAATGCCAGCACAATATGGAGCTGCACACTCTGTCTCCGTGTGGAGCATCGGCCAGCGTGCCGCAATCGCCTGTGCCCTAGCAACCCCTGCCATCTCTCTCTTTTGTTTCATACCTCGGGGTAGATCAGTCGTATGGTTGATCCTAACTGACGAATCTGTGATTGAGGACTATTTCTTTTGATTTCTGTCTCGTTTATTTTCTTCTTAAGGGGGAGCCAGATTAGAGAAAATTTACAAGCGCAGCCAGTATTCCCTTGTCAGATGATATTCTTATTAGCTTTGATGACTGTGTATGGTGCAAACATTTGGCTCCTTACTAGTTTTTTTTGCATGTATAATCTATGTAAGATTTCTCGATCCGTTCTCACTCAGCATGTCACAGCCTGGAACAATAATTCACCCTCTAAAACCTGAATCCAAGGAGTTAATCAAAGGAGTTGATCAGTCACCAAGCCCTCAAACTAATTGCAGCGGATGGTCTGCATCTTCACAGCTTCCTCGCCTTGATCAATGTTGAACTTTAACTGTTGATGTATAAGGCCTAACTAAATATGGTCTTGGCTAGATGTCATCTCGGTAGGATACATGATATAATCACTTTACATACCTGGATCAGGGGCACACGCAATAGATATTGAGCCATACAGAGCTTCCACATACTTTAGAGCCTGGTGGGCAATGCCCCCCTCTCATGCCGAGACGCTAGTCAAGTAATCGCCACATTCCGGTGGGAGGTTGAAGAATTTCCAGCTACCAACGGGAAGCCTCCTGTTCGCAGATCTCTGGATGGGACCCCTTCTTGATTCTCACTGGATTTTGACAGAGCACTACACTTAGCGAGCTCCTCCCGGTGCGCAGTCTGTCAGCGTGTCTCGGTTCAAGCTCCGAGCATCTCGGGCCAAAGTACCCTTTGTCGGAAACGGAAAATTGTTTGTAGACAGGCCTTCTCCAGCCCCCTAGACAACCCTCCGTTTTTCGTCTACCTTTGCCAATTATGCAAATGGGTCAAAAAGAATATAGCTTTCCCTAATCTTGTCAGAAAAGGAAACATGTTTGCAGACATCAAATGCTTCGCCATGCGGGTCAGAAGCATAACATAGGACTAGATGCTGTCCATGATAGTCATTACGCAAACTACTCAAATAGCTCCGTAATTCCCATAGATTGAAAATATTGTGCAAGTTTGACAAGCTCAATATCGATTACCAGTACCAGTGGGCAAAATCAAATCCTTTGTCTATCTCAATTTTATATATTCTTCCTTGGTACCAAGTCACCCAACCATGGCACCATTAAAGACCCTTGCCGCCTTCCTACGGGCTATGTCTCCAGCTTGGGCTAAGCAGGTTCATTTCGATCTCGATCTCACATGGCAAAACGGTGCACCAGATGGCAATATGCGGGAGATGAACTTCATGAATGACCCATTCCCCGGACCTGAGCTTCGACTAGACCAGGGTGACGGTGACGAAGTTGAAGTAAGTTTTTGAGCATAATCTTACAGCGATCATTTATGCTGACCACTTCCAGGTTGTTGTACATAACAGCTTGCCTTTCAACATCACGGTTCACTTCCACGGTATTGAGCAGCGGAATACTGCGTGGTCTGACGGAGTCCCTGGTCTAACCCAGAAGCCCATCCAGCCTGGACATAGCTGGACATATAAATGAACGGCCACTCAGTATGGAACCTACTGGTGCCATGCTCACAGCAGGGCTGACATGGTGGAAGGTCTCTTCGGGTCTATTTGGAACAATAAGCTTTTGTTTCGAGGCCACATTTGATATGAAACACACAAACAATTATAGCCCTGGTCCCGATGTTCAGCAGCCATTCCGTCTCATCTTGAGCAATGAGCACGATATTGAGGCGATAAAGGAAGCAGAAAAGAACCCTCAACTTGTTAAAGTGTCTGATTGCCGCCATCTGACTTCTGGACAGTACCAGAAGGCAATGGAAGACAGCCGCTTAGGTGTTTTGTAAGTCAATCTCATTATTTTCTTAGATAACCAGGTGTTAACAGCGTTCAGCTGCTCATACAGTATCCTTATAAACGACCGTGGAGCAGTATTCTGTCCAGGCACTGAAATGATTTTCAATCTGGAGATTTCCTACTTGAAGACTGCTATTGGTAACCAGCCATTGAAAGACAAGAGGTAAGTTTAACCTTGTAAACACAACGTGTTCTCTGACTAATTTCAATAACTGATGCTTGCCTAATATTTATGAGACTCAGGGCAATTCCCTTCCTACCTACGAGAGCAAGTTCCCTGCTGGAGTAAGCTCTGGCTGCACCCCAACCACCGGATTGCATGAGGTTATCGGTTGGGTTAGCCTGAAGTTTATCAGTTGCCTCCTCTCCCAAATCTCTCATGTTCTCCATCGATGAGCATCCGATGTACATCTACGAGGCTGATGGCAGCTATATTGAGCCCCAGATGCTCAAAGCCTTACCATCTTCAACGGTGAGCGTTACGCCGCCATGATCAAGCTTGACAGGGTATAAAAAGACTACACTATCCATGTTTCCGACACACAGGGTGACCAGATTATTTCAGGTTTCGCTACCATGAGATACAAGGCTTTTCCAGAACACAACTCCATCTAAGCATCATGATGTGACAACGATTGCAGAAACACTTCTGCTTCTGTCATGCCCTTGGACAAGAGAGCTATCAAGCCTTATCCTCCCGTCACCAACTCAAAGTCTGTCGACCAGCTGGCCAACCTCACTATTGGCCGCGTTGGCTCTTCCTACATGTGGCCTACTTCTGGTGGTGGTTTGTATTGACATGATGGCTAACTAGGACGACCCAATCCTCTACAATATCAACGCAAAGAATAACTTGGACCCAAAGGTCACTATTCAGACCAAAAAAAAAAGCCTGAGTAGACCTTCTTCTTCAGCTAGGTGTGCGTAGCGCTCCTGCCATTCAGAGCCTCACGTTATGCACAGCACTCCAACAAGGCGTTCATTCTTGGTGTTGGCCCTGGCTTTTTCAACTGGTCCAGTATAGAGGAGGAGGCCTACGCCCAGCGTCCGGAACTGTTCCAGGTGGAGAACCCTCAGATGAGAGATACCTTCGTCACTAATGGCCCTACGGGACCGACATGGATGATTGTGCGGTGCCAGGTTGTTACCCCGGGTCCCTTCCTTTTCCACTGCCACATTGAAACACAAATGTCCAAGGGTATGGCTGTTGCTCTTCTTGATGGTGTTGATGTATGGCCCCAGGTTCCTGCTGGGGAAGACAAAAGCCATGGTGCTCAGGTTAAACTTGCTGGCCACGTAAAAACTGGTGGTCAGGGTCCTCCTGATCAAAGCGGCTCATCTTTCAAGCCCCACCCTAACAGGCCAATTCCTGGTGGAAAGCCTATGTGGCCTCCCGCACCTGAAGCTATGCCCGCTAGTCCACCTATGTCGGACTGTCTTCCCCATCACGAGTATATTGCAGTCGTTGATGTTGGTGAAGTAAACCAGCGACCTGCTCCACCTATCGGCAGAGCCTACCAGGCTCGTCGCTGGTAGGTAGCCCTTGAGCCTGGTGTTGATTTTGTACTAATATTCTGAATTTCTGAATTATTATCTGACGTTACATAGACACAGCTGCCATAATAACTATTATACGATCCAATATGTTTTATTTGCTTTATTCAGCTCAATCTTTTGTATTTCCGCAGGCCACAATCTGTTTCCGGTCATTTGGAATGCAGGCTCGGTCCGTCACCGCTCTATTATTCTGATCGCCTTCGGGAAATCGTCAGGCGGACCGCGTGCTGCAACGTGGAGATATTTCATAGGAGAGAACTTGTAATGATGACTTTCTCTCATTTTGGCGCATCCCACGTTTTTCTTTTTTCAAAAAAGGAAAAAAAAAAAAAAAAAAAAAACCTGCTTTAGTCGAGCGCTAGTACCTATGTCTCTGTATATATTATTCAGCCAAAGGCATTTCTCCCCTAGCAAACCTTGACACAGTTGACACAGTTGTACTATCCAAAGATCAAACGTTACCATAAGACAAGACTCGACCTAAATTGCAACTGTATCAAGAAAGGTAAAATGATAAATGATGCTCAATGTCTTAGAAAATAGAAAATATGTTTTGAATGCGAGTCATGACGTATGGGAAAAAGTCAGCATGATGTCTTGAGGTGATCTACAATTCATTACTAAGATTGCTGAAGATTTGCGAGTTCTTTGCCAAACTGGATTTCTGTTGCATTCTTGCATTCTTGCATTCCGATCGATAATCTACTTAGCTCTGAAATCCATCTTGTTGGGGAATAATGTGTTCCTTAGGGTACCTACATGTAAAGTATCACCCCTGTGTTTCCAGAAGTTTAAGACAAATTAATATACCTGAGATACTCTATTGAGCCTTTTGTGCATTATTTGAAAGTTCAGGCGTCCCATAGGTACATAAGAGGTCGAGGCACCTAGGGCAAGCGGATCACGTGATCCATGGAAGCTACGGCTGTAACCTTCTGAAAGCGGCGACATTTACCTGTTCAGTTGCAATGCCTTGGGGATTTCTCCGTGAATCATTACTCTTTATCCCAATAGATATGTCATGGACGGCCCAATTAGGACTCGATTCAGCTCTCGCCCCTCAAAAGCTAGCTGTCTCATCCGCAAGCAGCACTCGGGCAACCGGGAAATCGCCTCGGTTTGCCGGTACCTTGACTAATTCATGGCATAGTTCCTGTTATCCAAGGAACAGAGCTGTCAGTATGATTCACATCTATCCCTGTACAGCATTTTCCGAGCCAAGAATACTTCAGCCTCGCGAGCAGTATGGGGTTCACTACAGTAACGGTGCCACTGGTCAAACCCTATATCGATGGGCAAGAGTTCTATAGAATCCAAAAGTTCATTTCGGGATTTGCTGTTGGCTGCTTTCTTTTTCCTAAGTTTAGCCACTGGGGTTGTACCCATAGATCCATTCGAAAACAGGGAAAGAAGACTTTTTACGTTGCCCTATAGACATAGTTCATAGACTCATGATGCCTTACCATTAGCTCTGACCCACAAGGAACAAAAGTCCGTGTACCATTTTATAAAGTATCATCCCCTTCAATTCGCGCCTGAGCTGAAACATTCTTTCTTCTTTTGTAGAGTTTTGAACCAGTGATTAGGCACCTGGCTTGATTATGGACAGTCCCAGTCGTGTGTATCTCTTCGGAGACCAGACTGCGGATTTCGACTCGGGGATCCGGCGCCTTTTGCATGCTAAGAACGACTCGCTGCTGTCGGCATTTTTCCAGAAGTGCTACTATGCCTTGCGCAAGGAAGTTACTGCACTCCCGCCATCTGAGCGGCAGAAGTTCCCTCGCTTCACCAGCGTTGTTGATCTGCTCGCTAGATACCGAGAGTCCGGACCAAACGCGGCCTTGGAGAGCGCATTGATGACAATTTACCAACTGGGAAGTTTTATTCAGTAAGGTTCCCAAAACTTGCTCATGTCAAACATTGAGAATCTGGTTTCTAACTGTTTCTTAGCTACTACGGCGACTTGGGTCATGTCTATCCGTCGGGGGATGAGAACTGCATCATTGGTCTCTGCACCGGCCAGCTTGCATCTGCAGCTGTCAGCTCTTCGAAAACAGTCGGAGAGCTTATTCCAGTCGGCGTTGAAACCGTGGTGCTTGCTTTGAGACTCGGAATTTGCGTCCTAAAGGTTCAGGATCTTGTAGAAACGAACAAGTCACCAGGAGCAAGTTGGTCTGTGCTAGTTTCTGGCATGCGCGAGTCCGAGGCTCACGAGTTGATCCAACAGTTTGCGAAGACGACCGTGAGTATTTTGCTTGAAACCCTCAAATATGTATTTATCATAAACTAACGTCCCGAAGGCTTTGCCCCGTGTGTCCCAGCCTTACATTAGTGCAGTCAGTCAAAATGGACTCACAATCAGTGGCCCTCCAACATTCCTTGGCCGTTTCATTGAGATCAACCTCTCCAAGGAACACAAGCCAATGAGAGTTCCGATCCACGGCCCATACCATGCTTCTCATCTGTTTGATGACAGAGATGTTAACCGTATCATGGAATCTTGGCCCAAGGAAAAGTTCGCGAGCTATGTGCCTCAGATTCCTGTTCTCTCCTGTGAAACTGGCCATGAGCTCCAGGCAGAGAGCCTGGAGCAGCTCTTGAAGTTCTCCCTCGAGGAAATCCTGCAGCGTCAGCTTTGCTGGGACAAGGTTATTGAATCTTGTCATTCGATATTGGAGACTGCTACGACAACACGCACCTTGCTTCCCATCTCTAGCACTGCTACCCAGAGTCTGTTTAACTCGTTAAAGAAAGCTGGAATTTCCAACCTCGAAGTTGATAGCTCCATCGGCGATGTTCAAAACGACTCTGAGGCTGAGAACCGCACTGGCCGTGCTGAACAATCCAAGATCGCGATCATCGGTCTTTCGGGCAGATTCCCAGAAGCACCTGACACCGAAGCATTCTGGGACCTCTTGTATAAAGGAATGGATGTTCACCGTGAAGTTCCCGCCGAGCGATGGGATGTAAAGGCCCATGTCGATATGGAAGGAAAGACACGAAACACCAGCCAGGTCCAATACGGATGCTGGTACAATGACGCCGGAATGTTCGACCCTCGTTTCTTCAACATGTCTCCCCGTGAGGCTCTTCAGGCTGATCCTGCTCAGCGACTCGCTCTTCTGACCGCTTATGAGGCATTTGAGATGGCTGGCTTCATCCCTGACAGCACTCCCTCTACACAGAAGAACCGAGTCGGTGTCTTCTATGGAATGACCAGTGACGACTACCGTGAGATTAACAGCGGTCAGGATATCGATACCTACTTCATTCCTGGTGGTAACCGTGCTTTCACTCCCGGCCGTATCAACTATTACTTCAAGTTCAGCGGTCCCAGCGTCAGCGTTGACACAGCTTGCTCTTCAAGTCTTGCAGCAATCCACATCGCTTGCAACTCGCTGTGGAGAAATGACTGTGACTCTGCCGTAGCTGGTGGTGTCAACATCCTCACGAACCCTGACAACCATGCTGGTCTCGACCGTGGCCACTTCCTCTCAAGGACTGGAAATTGCACTACCTTTGACGACGGAGCTGATGGCTACTGTCGAGCTGATGGAATTGGCTCCATCGTTCTGAAGAGACTCGAGGATGCTCAGGCTGATAACGATCCCATCTATGGTATCATCAACGGAGCGTACACCAACCACTCTGCCGAGGCTGTTTCCATCACCCGGCCTCACGTTGGAGCCCAGTCATTCATCTTCGATAAGCTTCTCAACGAGTCTAACACCGAACCTAAGGAGATCAGCTACATTGAGATGCACGGAACTGGCACTCAGGCTGGCGATGCAGTGGAGATGCAGTCAGTTCTCGACGTCTTTGCTCCTGACTACCGTCGCGGACCAACCCAATCTCTTCACCTCGGTTCAGCAAAGGCAAATGTTGGCCACGGAGAGTCTGCCTCTGGTGTCACCGCTTTGATTAAAGTGCTCATGATGATGCGGAAGAACATGATTCCTCCTCACTGCGGTATCAAGACCAAGATCAACCACAACTTTCCAACGGACTTCCCTCAGCGGAACGTTCACATTGCTCGAGAGCCTACCGCGTGGACCAGACCCAGTGGCGGGAAGCGCAAGACATTCGTCAACAACTTCTCAGCCGCTGGCGGTAACACTGCTCTGTTGGTCGAGGACGGTCCTCTCAATGAGATCAATGTGGAGGATTCTCGGTCTACTCATCCTGTGGTTGCCTCTGCACGATCCCAGTCTGCCCTGAAGAACAACATCTCTGCTCTCGTGCAGTACATTGACACGAACAAGAACCAGTTCGATGTCAACCCGGCCAGCCTTCTTGCCAACCTTTCTTACACTACCACCGCCAGACGTATCCATCATCCGTTCAGAGTCGCGGTTACTGGATCTACACTGGATGAGGTCAGAGGCGCATTGGCTCCCATTGTCAACCGTGATAGCATCAGCCCGGCTCCTGCTACCACACCTGGTATTGGATTTGTCTTCACTGGCCAGGGCGCTCAGTATACAGGCATGGGCAGCCAGCTGTTCGAGAGTTGCTCACAGTTCCGTACTCACATCGAGCACTTTGATCGCATTGGTCAGAGCCAGGGCTTCCCAACCATTCTGCCCTTGATTGACGGAAGCGTTCCCATTGAGGAACACAGCCCAGTTGTCACTCAGCTCGGAACCACTTGCATCCAGATGGCCTTGACCAAGTATTGGACCTCTCTAGGTGTTGTCCCCACCTTTGTCCTCGGCCACAGCCTCGGTGAGTATGCTGCACTCAATGCCGCCGGTATCCTGACTACCAGTGATACCATCTATCTTGCCGGTCGTCGCGCACAACTTCTCACCGAGCAATGCAAGGTCGGAACACACGCCATGCTTGCTGTCAAGTCTTCCGTGGCACAGGTGAAGCAGCTCCTTGATAACTCTACTGAGGTGGCTTGCATCAACGCTCCTAGTGAGACTGTCATCAGTGGTGCGAGCGACAAGATCGATGAGCTGGCACAGACCTTGAGTAACGAAGGCTTCAAGGCGACCAAGCTGAAGGTGCCTTTTGCTTTCCACTCTGCTCAGGTTGAGCCTATCCTGGAGAGCCTTGCCGAGATTGCTAAGGGTATTACCTTTAGCGAGCCTACTATTCCCTTCGTCTCTGCTCTTCTCGGAGATGTTATCAAGGATGACAGCAACGAGATGCTTGGCCCCAACTATCTGACTCGTCACTGCCGTGAGACTGTCAACTTTTTGGGTGCTCTTGAAGCTACCCGCCATGCCAAGCTGATGAATGATAAGACCCTCTGGGTTGAAATTGGCTCTCATACCGTCTGCTCTGGAATGGTTAAGTCAACATTCGGCCCCCAGGCAGCCACTATGGCTTCTCTCCGTCGCCAGGAAGACACATGGAAGATTCTGTCGAATAGTCTTTCGGCGCTTTACCTTGCCGGTATTGACCTTCGCTGGAAGGAGTACCACCAGGACTTCACCGCTGGCCATAAAGTCCTTCCGCTGCCTTCATACAAGTGGGACCTCAAGAACTACTGGATCCCATACACCAACAACTTCTGTCTGCTCAAGGGTGCCCCGGCTACACCAGCAGTTGAGGCTGCTCCAGTCTCTACCTTCTTGACGACGGCAGCCCAGAAGGTTCTTGAGACAACCAGTGACTCTTCTTCGGCCATGATTGTTATTGAGAACGATATCGCTGATCCCGATTTGAATCGGGTCATTGCCGGTCACAAGGTCAATGGCGCTTGCCTTACTCCCTCATCCTTGTACGCCGATATTGCCCAGACACTCGGTGAGTATTTGGTGCAGAATTACAAGCCCGAGTGGAAGGACCGTGGTCTGGATGTTTGCAACGTGACAGTCCCCAAGCCTCTCATTGCTAAGGGTGGCAAGCAACTCTTCCGAGTCTCGGCCACTGCCAACTGGGCCGAGGAACACGCCAAGGTGCAAGTATGGTCGGTCACCCCCGAAGGCAAGAAGATCCTCGACCACGCCAGCTGCTCTGTCAAGTTCTTTGACACCAGCGCCTCTTCGAGTGAGTGGAAGCGAAGCGCCTACCTCATCAAGCGAAGCATCGAGCATCTCCAAGAGAGCACTATCTCTGGTCAGGCGCACCGCATGAAGCGAGGAATGGTTTACAAGCTCTTCGCTTCTCTGGTCGACTATGATGAGAACTACAAGTCCATCCGCGAAGTCATCCTTGACAGTGATCAGCACGAAGCTACGGCTCTCGTCAAGTTCGAAGCGCCCCCTGGCAACTTCCACCGCAACCCATTCTGGATCGACAGCATTGGTCACCTCTCTGGCTTCATCATGAACGCCAGCGACAACACCGACTCGAAGAACCAGGTCTTCGTCAACCATGGCTGGGACTCGATGCGCTGCTTAAAGAAGTTCGACCCCAGTGTTACTTACCGAACTTACGTGAGGATGCAACCCTGGAAGGACTCTATCTGGGCTGGTGATGTCTACATGTTCGAAGGTGATGACATCGTCGCTGTGTATGGTGGTGTCAAGGTACGTTGAGATTACCCAGTCATTTTGAATGAAAACCCTAACGGATACATACAGTTCCAAGCACTTGCTCGGAAGATCCTCGACATGGCTCTTCCTCCTGCCGGAGGTCCTGCCGCTTCTGCTCCTAAGCCAGCTGCCGCTAAGCGCACCCCTGCTCCCATCGATGTCCAGAAGGCGAAGAAGGGACCTGTCAAGAAGACTGCTGCGTCTACGCCCAAGTCTGCAGGACTAAGTCTCTCTGCTCGCGCCCTTGCAATCCTTGCTGAAGAGGTTGGATTGTCACCAGCTGAGATGACCGACGATCTCAACTTTGCTGACTACGGTGTTGACTCTCTACTCTCGCTGACTGTCACCGGACGCTTCCGCGAGGACATGGGGCTTGATCTCGACTCCTCTGTCTTCGTGGATCAGCCCACTGTCAAAGACTTCAAGCGCCTTCTGGCTCAGATGGGTCCTGCCGAGAGCAGCAGCGATGGATCAAACAGCGAAGAAGAAACGTCCTCTGCCGCGTCCTCGACAGATATCTCTAGTCCAAACTCCAGCGGTCTCCCGACTCCTGCTAATGAAAAGTCCATGACACATGGCACTGTCGAGCAAAACGACAGCATGAAGCAGATCACCGCAATCTTGGCCGAGGAGATCGGTGTTGATCCCGCGGAGCTCGACGGCGACGCCAACCTCGGAGAGATGGGACTGGACTCATTGATGTCTCTCACAGTCCTCGGAAAGATCCGCGAGGAATTGGACATGGATCTCTCAGGAGAGTTCTTCATCGAGAACCAAACCCTCGATGACATCGAATCAACTCTTGATCTAAAGCCCAAGCCAGTCGCTGCAGAGGCCCTCATCCTCCCCGAGCAAATTCAGGTTCAGGCCCCGAAGTCCGCCCCCAGCACTGGCATCCAGCACCCACCGGCAACCTCGATCCTCCTCCAGGGTAACCCCAAGACAGCGACCCAGAAGCTGTTCCTATTCCCAGATGGCTCTGGCTCCGCCACCTCTTACGCCACCATCCCTGGAGTGTCCCCAGACGTGTGCGTCTACGGACTCAACTGCCCATACATGCGCACCCCTGAAAACCTCAAGTTCCGCCTAGACGAGCTGACAGCCCCCTACGTGGCAGAGATCCGGCGCCGCCAACCAACCGGCCCATACAACTTCGGCGGCTGGTCCGCCGGTGGAATCTGCGCCTACGATGCCGCGCGTCAACTAATCTTCGAAGAGGGCGAGCGAGTCGAGCGCCTGCTCCTCCTGGACTCCCCCTTCCCAATTGGACTGGAGAAGCTTCCTCCCCGTCTATACAGCTTCTTCGATACCATCGGGCTATTCGGCGAGGGCAAGGCGCCTCCACCAAAGTGGCTGCTCCCCCACTTCCTAGCCTTCATCGACTCCCTCGATGCGTACAAGGCTAAGCCATTCCCTTACCAAGATGCCGACCTGTCCAAGAAGCTCCCCAAGACATTCTTGGTCTGGGCTAAGGATGGTGTCTGCTCCAAACCTGGTGATCAGCGTCCTGCGCCTGCTGAGGATGGAAGCGCTGACCCACGTGAGATGCTTTGGCTGTTGAACAACCGTACTGACCTCGGTCCGAATGGTTGGGATACCCTCGTTGGCCCGAAGCATGTTGGTGGCATTACTGTTATGGAGGGTGCCAATCACTTCACCATGACTCGCGGCGAGAAGGCAAAGGAATTGGCTGCTTTCATTGCTAAGTCAATGGCTGCCTAGGCACTGCATTTTGAATTCTGGAGGATTGGGTTTTGGTAGAAGTTTCGTTATGGGTAATTCTTTTCTTCCGGGTTCCGCTTCGCTTTTCCCACTGTTGCTTTTTCTTTGTTCATTTTGCTCTTCGGCACGACACTGTCCTTTTTCCATTCCTGTCTTATTTCTTTCAGTGTATATTTACATGACCCTGCGGCTCTATCCCATAATTGGGTTTATATTTTTAATCATTTAACTTGAATCCGAATCCAGATTGATATTTAACTTGGGAGTTCTTCTTTTCCATAGATAGCGCAATTGAAGGGCTACACTAGCTGGAACACTGTATAGCTATAGAAAAGATACAAGCACAATTCAGAAAAGAATGATATCATGTTATTGAACGCGCTGCCAGTGTTGTCTCAGAGAGTACAAGGCAAGGACCCAGAGCGCATTGTAGGTCCACACCACACCGGATGACTTGCGAAGTAAAAATCGCTCATGAATGAATGGAACAGGATGAAGGAATGAAACGCCAGAAATATGCAATGTCGCATTGAGCGGACGAAGGGAAAAGGCTCGCCTGGACTGATGTGTAAAAAGGGTTGCAGAGGGAGAATGTTCCGAATGTCAAATGGTGTGTCTATACGTCATAGATCACCAGGGTAGGGAAATGGGCTGACAATAGAGATGGTGAGAGAGAGAGAGGGAGGGGAAGGGGAGGAGAGGAGGCCCCTGAGAAAGTTTTCAGAACCGCATTTCTGAGCTAAATCGCAGTGCGCTGCCTCTACCCGGAAGACCACCGTTGTGGCCATTGCCGTTATAGCCAACACCTGGGCTAGTTGGACGACTGCTGGCGGAGATCTTAGGGCTTCGCGGCTGAGTGCTCGTTGAGCGGGTGGATGGTCGGTTTTTGCGGATTTCACGAAGCTCCTCTTCCTTTCTGCGTAGGAGTTCATCACGCGCCGCTAAGGTCAATTCCAGCTCTTTGTTCCGAGCGAGATGGCGAGCAGTGTTGTCCTTGATGTTCAGTTCGCGAAGTTTGAGCTTGTTCTGATCGGCTTTGCGCTTCAAATCCTCGTTTTCGGATGTCAGTAGACGGCTTTCATTGCCTGATTGAGCTGCCGCTGTAGATGCAGTTTGATACTGCTCTCTAGTATATTCAGACCGTTTTGCTTCGTAAGTAGCCTTGCGACTGAGGTCCTCATTTTCCGTAGTTAGGCGACGGATTTCACCGCGTGCTGTCTCCAGTTCAGCAGCGCTGCCACCGCCAGCTTTGATTGTTTCTCTGGTTTCTTCGAGTTCTTGCCTGAGTACTTTCTTTTCTTCTTTCAAAGTGAATACCTCCCGCTCCCGCTTTTCAAGGTTTTGCTCAAGGGTTGTTTTGTACGCAGCCAATGCATCACGCTCTTTGCGAGTCGTGTGGACTTGTTCGGTCCGAGTCTCGAATCGGTGTTGTAGTTTGCCGAATGCCAGCTCCATTTCTTTCGCCTGAGCACGCACTTGAGCTAACTCTGTCTGCAATTGCTCTTTCTCAGTCGCGTGGGCGTGCTTCGTCTGGATGAGAACTTTCTCCAGTGACTCCAAATCGTGATACAATGTTTGGCTTGGAGGTTTGGTTGACTCGGTCCATTGACTGTTATCTTGAGTATCGACTCGTGCGCGCTTTGACGTGTGATCCTCAATTTCATCGTCCTGCCATGGAGTTAGTCAATCTTAATACATAGCCACATGGTAAACTTACTAGTGACCGTTTCTGGGTTTGTGGGAGTGAAGAGCCAGATGAAGGAGTCGACGACTCCAGTTCCTCCTTGGACACAAAAGCCAAAGGCTCAATCGTGGCAAGTGGCCAGCCGGCAACACTATCCAGGAGGTATGTGAGAATCTCTTCGGCGTCCTCATGTACACCCAGCGCATCATCCTGGAGATCACCGACCTCGTCATGAAAACGGGCAGTGTAATGAACAAGCCAACGCAATCGCTCTGGCTCGGGCAAATCCGGCAAACAGCGTTGGATGTGTTCACTGGTGTTCGCAACGAGGAACCAGATAACAGGGAGCAAGTTTCCGTTTCGGGCATAGGTAGTTCGGATGTGCTGCATGGACGGGCTCTTAGGGTTGAAGGAAGCATCGAATGCAAAAATGGCAGATGGTGGCTTGTAAAGTTCGCGCACGCTCTCGCTGGAATGGATACCAAAGCTGAGTGGCCCCCTCGACAAGGATACTTCCAGAGTGCGGCCCATGCCTTCGCGGGGTCTGGTGTATGCAAAGCCTTTCCCTAGCAGATAACGCTCAATAACTGCCTGTTTCTTCTCGTCTTGAACCGCAATGATCAGATGAAGCTCATGCGTTTCCACTGCATCCATGAGATGACCAAGGAAAAGGAACTTGGCACTGGAGTATTCGGCCCAGGATGCCTCTTTCTCAGGGTCTGAATCAGAGTCTTTGAGATGATTTGCAATGTTAAGGTCTGGATGAGTTGAAACGTTGTTCAGCTGCATAACAACCTCCCGCATCTTTTGTTGGAGATGTTCCCGCTAGAAAAGATGTTAGTTGTCGGAATGATATCTCAGACACGATGTTCACTCACCTCAGAAACTGGTATTTGGCTATCAGACTGGAAACCAACGAAGAACCGGCGAATGCTTGTGGCTGCGTCTGCCAACACTCGTTCATAGTCATCCTTCACCCGAGAGTCCATTGGAAGAGTGACAGCAAATTCGGAGGGCCCGAGGAGGACCGATCCTGGCACGATTTCTTCCCTGCCTGTGGCCGTCAATGCACTTGGATGAATAGTTTGCATCGAGGGTTGACCTAGATGACCATGGGCTAGCTCTGACGGTGGCAGTAGAGACGAATGAGCATGATGAACTGCAGTGTGGGAAAACGGGTTCGCCTCAGCTCTGACACTGAGTGGTGCGGTTGTTTCAGGGACCGTCACTGGCATTGATGCCTCGATATCCCCCACCGATGATGGAGTGTCAATACCACTGGCCATTTGAGTTCCCACGGATTGGGGCTCTACGTTCAGTTGGGCCCATGCGTTGCGAATCCTTTCTCTTGGAGTAGACCCTGGTAGATCACCGAGCGGGGGCTTGGTCTCTTTTTCATCCATCGCTTGGCGTGATGACCGTGCAGGAAAAAGGCTAGAAAATGAATGCCTCGGTTGATCAAGAGCTTTTCCACTCAATTTTCGTTGCTGTGAAGGACGGAAGATGGTTTCTGGGATCGTGCCGAAGTATCTTGTTTTTGGGATTTTCGCTTCTGTAGGAAAATAAGCAAGTATGGGCCTTGCTCAGGAGGCGGAATTACCTTCAATCGGACCACGTGATGGGAAAGGCTGGGAGATCAATGTGCTGTAAAGATTGGGAGTGTCAATCGAGATATTGCTTTTCGCAGATGGTGAACGAGTAGGCGTCTCGGCTACTTCGCTAGCTTTGAAACCTTTGTAGGTGCCTGGTGTGTTTCGAATAACTGACACCAAGGTGCTATTATTATTGAATTGCGAGTGCAGAGGCTCTCTGCCAACGGCTTGGGGGAACTCGCAGCAGTCAAAGATCAAAGAATTCAGATCAGAAGTCGGGACACCCTGCACTTGAGTATTTTGCAGCGTATCACCTGCAGCGACTTCTTCACACTCGGCCGGTGGGAGGTTCTCGGGGGGCGGAGAAGCTTCGGATATAGTCTCAAAAGAAGAAGAGCGGTGTCGTGGTCGTGAGTCGTCTGAGGAATAATCAAGGGACGCTCGAGCGGGTGTTGAAGCTCTGATGAGCCGAGCTTCAATGGATTCAAGTATTTCCGGAAGATCGTCCTGCTTTACAAACAATGCCGAGGACGCTGCTGAGCTGAGATCACACTCTTCACTCAGAGGTTTGGCGTCTTCACTCTGAAATTGGCCGGGGTTGTGACTGCGACTGGGGTTGCTGCTGGGGATGCTGCTGTGAACCTCTGGATCTAAGCTGCTATCAGAGGAGATGATAATCGGACCAGCTCTTGAATTGCGGGCTTTCCACTTTTCCCAGATCTCAATAGCAAGCTCGCTGGCGTTCTCTTTGGGTTCCTAGGTGAAAAGGCGTGTGTTAGTCTAAGCTCCGCCCGTAACTCTGTGAGGTTCTTAAAGAGCAGTCGCACAATGCGACTCACCCAAGTTGGCTCGTAAGGACCCTCCCAGTCAATGAGGTAATGTGTATCGGTTTCGCGAAGGATGCTCTTAATAGGCCACTCGTCCTCTGCTTCGCTATTATCGCTGCTGTCACTACTATCAATTGTGATTGTAGGTCCAGCTCCAGGTGAGTCAGCACATCTTCTAGAACTTCCGGTGTTTCGGTTGTTGAGGGTGGGAGGGTGAGCTCGGGACATCATATGCGGGCGACCTGGGTTTGGGAGATGGCATGACGGGGCGATGAAATGTAGATTCAATACTTAGGACAAGCTCCAGTGAGCAACTGTATTGATCCCGGCCACGTACAAATATCAGGAGACATCCAACGTTTCCCGTCGAGGTATGAAAGAGAGTAACCGAACGGCGCGACGGGCGGATGGATAACAGGCGCTTCACGTGATGAGCTTATCGGTAGCCCTACATTGCCAATGTTGAATAGCGACAAGTCTATACTTGCAAGCATAGGAAGGCAAATAAGAGTGGCTTTGATCAAATTCTCTATCAGACTAATTCTATGTTTTATCTCACCTTGAAATTGCTCGAAGTTTGAATGGAGATTGGAAAAGCATTCACTTACTTCCCGAATCCACTTTAGCAACCACCACGTCACTATTCACCGTATACAACTTCGCCAGATCTATACCAAATCTTGTCTATTTCTCTTTCATTCTCACAATCACAACGTAGTCTATGTCTATGTGGAGTTTGTATGCTAATCATAAGCGGGGACCTTGTTCCCGTTTCCACTCTTCAAAGTCGAACCCGATTTCTGCTAGGCTCCTGATCTCGCCTCTCTCAGCTCCCCTCTTCACGAAAGCTCGTCTAATGTCGGGGAAAAGAGCTCGCATCCACCTTTCCCTCTCACCCCACCGAGGACCGAGTTTGCCTTGTCCATCATTTGACAAGCCTGGGCGTAAATTCGCCTTTTTCGCCCAGTCGTGGAGGAAGTTCAGATAATCTGCATCCGCGGGAAAGTGAAGGATATGGAATGCTTTCCCATCCCCTTTCTTGTTGATTTCAGCATCCTCCCATTCTCGCATAGTATTTTTGGGCGGAAGTGTAAGCCGCGCAGACCACACACGAGAGAATACAGCAGCTTGGGCCTCTGCCATGGGGAACGGAATGACCCGTTGCGGAAGAACAGGGAACGCGAGCGTCGGGTGCTCTGTATAAAATAATTGCTGATATATGTTTGTCGTTCGCCATCCGTGGGTGACAACTGGTGGGTTGAGCGAAGACAAGAAAGGGAATGAATAGAAATAACCAGTACAGAAAACAATTGCGTCGATCTGTTCTTCAATGCGGCCGTCTGCAAATTTGATGCCTCGGTTATGTGTTGTCGGGGGAAGAAACTCGACTATCTCTGGGCAAGTGATTTGATTGCCAGCCGAAGATGCAGCCAAATATGATTCGGACTTCTGGGAAACTACCACTTTGCCTTTGCTCACTTCGTTGATTTGGGCACCAATGTCAAGACCTGAAGCAGAGCTGCCGACCACAACAACCTTCTTACCCCGGAAGGTTTCTGGTGAGTCATAGAATTTGGAATGGGAGATAGTCCCAGGGTAAGATGCATCCCACACCTCCATACCTAGGGTACCCGGTAGATAAGGGACGGTGAAATGACCGCTTGCAACCACAACTGCATCATAAGTCCGAGTTATTTCAGCGCCGGTATGAAGATTCTTTGATGTTAAATCCCAGGTGCTCAAGCATGCATCCTTGAGTTTCACATCCAATACCTGGGTCTCGAATTGAATGAGCGATTTGATATCCTTGGCATAATCCTCAAGGTACTGCTTCACCGTCCGGTGTTTGGGGAAGAGCTGGGTCTCCGATGGCCATTCCTGGTCTGAGTAACGCATCAATTCCTTAGGGATATTGGTTTCCAGTAGATCATAAAGCGGAGACACGAAAGTTGCCTCACGCTTTCCCTCGGCCCCATCGATCCATATCGGCTTCTCGAGTGGCTCGTGGGGGGTTAGATGAGGAACAGTAGTTGACATCCCGGTCTTGGATGAACTTGGGTTGTAGTTCCAGGCTCCACCGACTGAGCTTCTTTGCTCAAAAACCTCGATTTGATCGAAGTGTTTCTCCGCGAGCAGGTACCTGGGGCTGTCAGCATGCTATGCTGTGGTACGAGATATCACCCACATACTTGACTGAAGCCAGGCCAGATGGCCCAGCGCCAATAACAGCCACTCGGCGGATGGGATTTGTGAGTGACATTCTTTGTAGAGAGTCACTATTCCGTACGGTTGGAGCAAAAGAGTGTCAAATGCGAGATGGAGGGGAGCGTTGGCGCCATTGTGGAGCTATGTGCTCGCATCTTATCGAGGTACAACAGATCAGAGTATAGGAATGAGGCTATTGTAGCTAGGGATTGGTATGATTCAAGCTCGATAAGCTCAAATAAAGAGTAAATATGACAGGAATTGGAGTAATCCTACGCTTTAAGCCAAAAAAAAAAAAAAAAAGCCTTCATTGATTGAAGCGGTGTAATTCTGTTCCATCAATACAGACCTTACACATAGTGGCGGCCTAGTGATACACCTGTATTACCACAGCACAAAAGCTGAAGCACCCGACTTTCTTTGATCTCAACACTTCCCTCCTTCACCTCTGTCTTTTCCTTGCATTTTTACTTACATCTTTTATTTCGTCCCATATGTTTCTCTCGATGGCTATCCGATGGAGTTGAAGTCGCGCAAAACTGGCGTAATGGACGCGATCGAACAATCTTCACCGAATGCGCTGGCGCATTTGACACAGGTCCCAATCGCCCAGCTTTCTCCAGACCTTGCGCAACCGAGCCAAAAGTTTATTGTCGCAGTTGTAACACTTATCTGGCCATACTCATCCTCAAATAAGTCTCTGAGCCTTTTGTTGGCAGAGCCGGACGCCCGCCTACGACGGCCGAATGGACAAGTGAAGGCCACATTTCATGGACGCGTCGCGCAGAAGATCGCAGAGTCGCATGTCGGAATAAGGGATATCGTTCATCTTTCCTTGGCAAATTCCAAGTTTGTTAGCAATGAAGCTGCCAAGCAAACACCGGGGAGGTCTATCGCGTGGGGTGCACACTTTGAAGATGCTGTGTCTCTCGAGGTAAGTAAGTCTTCTCTTGCTCCGCGTCTTCCAGAACTAACAATGACCCATAAAGGTTCACCGATCCTCCGATCCTCCGTTAACAATCAGCGTTGAGCTACAGCCGACGGTGCCAGATCATGTCCAACTCGCACCTCCGTTAACCCCCGTTCGCCAAACAGCCAAGCATGGATTGGATACAGCACCTGGTTCAGGCTCTTGGGGATCACCAGCATTCATGCGGTCCGCTCGCAACTCCTTTGGAGGGGTTATCGATACCTCGCGTGACCCTTTTGCGGAAGACGATGGCTTTGTGCCCGGGAAAGGAAGGAAACGTCCGCGGTACAGCTTGCAAAGGGAGGATTGGCGTCTGATCGATGAGCCGGAGAGCTCCGTCGAACAAGAACTTCCCGTGGATTGGTGGGAACAGACCTTGGAAAAAGAACTTGACGCGGAGGATGCGGAGGGTCAATCTTCGGACGAACCGATGGCAGATGCTGCTGCTACTCAAGCCAACCTCGAGAATGCACCACCAGAGCCCCTGTCAGTGTTTGCGAAGCCTTCCCTTGAACTTACGGGTAGCATCATTGAGAGACGTGCGGGCGAGTTAAGCAACAATACATCTCATGAATCAGCCGATATCCCCGGGCAAGGACCTCCGTCTTTTCATCTTCCAACCGATACACCACAGATCCGACCTATTCCCTCTCCTGGACTTCCAATCCCCTCGCCACTGGTGTCACATCACGCTAATTCTAGTGGATATTTCACATCATGGTCCGCGTCTGCGCAAACCGAAGCGATTCGTTCTGTTGCTGCGGAAACAACCACCATCACATCACACTCTGAATCCTCTGTTGAGACCCACGAGACCCACGAGACCCATGTCACCGAATCTCTTGAACCACTTGCAATGGGATCGGTCCAGTCAAATGTTGCATCCCTCCAGGAGGAACCCGTTCTTGATGCCGAGTCTCTTCTCCAGGACATTGCGCCACGGTCTACAAGATTAGAAGATCTACCAGATGAACCAGAAGTTGGGATGACCGATCACCGGCCAACCGTCGATGAACCAATTATTGTTCAGGCTGATGTTGAAATTGGAAATGCCGACGAAGTTGAACAGTCAAATGAAGAACAGCCCCCCAAAATTCTGTCCGTAGAAGTTCGTGACCATCAACGGGAGGATGGAGACCTCCGCGACGATGTGCGGTCCGTTCAGCCTGAAGGCGAAGTTGATAATGAGGAAGAGCCCTTATCAGATTCCGAAGTGGAGATTCAGTCAGCTGGCCAACAACATCCGACATCCGCCGCGGATGCGGATACAATCCATGAAAACAAACTCAATGCGAAGACCCCCGAAGACCGCGGAAGTGGAGATGAAGTTGATGGGTCATCTCCAGCTTCAAACGTTCTTCCTCGCTCGCGCAGTCAAAGCTACATCGAAGAAGACGATGAAATGGCTGAAGGAGAAGAACAGTACGAAGAACAATCTGACGATTATGACTCACAATATGACTACGATGATGAGGAGGACCACCATGTACCCCGTTTGGGCACACGACCGGAACAAGAAGAATTTAGCGATGAGGAATCTAACGTCGACAATTCTAGCGAGGATGAATCAGAACAAGAACGGAGCTTCCCCTCCCGCCCGAAGACCCAAGAGGTAATCGTGCTGGACAGTGACAGCGAGGATGAACCTGCTCCTGGTCACCCACCGGTGTCCACTTATCAACTCCATGAGCAAGACGAGCGTTCAGAAAGCCCCGAATCTGGCCAGTCCGCACCACTGTATGCCGATAGAGCGCAGAGCGCGGAGGAATCGTACGGCAGCGATCAAAGCGAAGAAAGCGAAGAAAAGAACGACTATGAATCCGATGACAAAGATGGTAGAGTGCATGACAGCGACAAGGCTGATGAATCACCATTTGATGGATTTTCGCGAGACGAAGATGCCCCGGAACATCACCAGGAAGTGGCATCAGTCAACGCGGAACAGTATGCCGATGCTCCGCTGGCAGAGTTTGAGAACGAAGAGCCAGACGATCAAGACTCTGATTTGATAGCTAGCCTCGAGTCACAGCTTGAAGCAGCTTCAAATCAAGGCTCTGACAAAGAACAGCCTTTTGATGATTATCAAAGCGTACCCGAAGTGCCTGAAGCTATGGACCAGGTACCAGCAGAAAATAATGAGAATATGGCTGATCCTGTCCTACACTCTGACGCCGAAAAGATAGATACCTTCCTCAATGTGGACGGGCCGTCTGATTCGCACGTTTCTCCATCCTTTGAGGATGCAGCCGACTTTGTGTCGGCGCACGAACAAGCCATTGAAACCACTGAGTTTACCAATCTTGACCCTCAAATCGAGCCTGCAGCATCAGGGATTATCACTTCTCTATCCGAGCAACAACTCCCGACCACGGATCCTACTCAAGAATCTGCGTTGCCTAATCAGAGTCGTGTTGAACCTAAGACACCCACGGCTGGTGAACGAGATGAAGCTGTGGGCCTTGACGTATATCTCCCGCATATGCGTGCTGCTGGTTCGCTTCCGCCAGAAATGGATGATGTTCCTGAGCCAGACAACGTACACCACGCCCAGGAAAGTCAGTATGGTCTCGACGGTGCAACAGATTACCCAAGCAAACGCCGATCCTTGGAGGTTGTCATCGACACTGAAGTCGCAGAAACACCGGAAGTGCTCGTGACAGCGCCGCAGCCTACAATTCCCGATCGAAGTGCCTCCGGATTACGCAGCAAGCATTCCTATTTCGCTCCCCTCGCCACGCTCATTGATCACTACAATGCTCTGGTAGACACCATCTCAATTGTCCACGAAGTCTCCCCAGTCGTCAAAGCCAAAACAGGCACAAAGGATTGGTTCATGACCATCCAGTTGACAGACCCCTCCATGGCCGGCACCACTCTCCACGCCCAGATTTTCCGACGCTACAAATCAACCTTCCCATCATTAGTCGAAGGCAACGCCGTTTTGCTCCGTGACTTCAAAGTCCGAAGCTTCAACCACACCGTGATGATCGTCAGTGCGGAAACCAGCGCCTGGGCCGTCTTCGACGGCTCACGCCCAGACGCCCAGATAAATGGACCTCCTGTCGAATATGACTCAGAGGAAAGTGAATACGGGGCACACTTGCGTCGGTGGTATACCGAAATCGGCTCGGCTCGCGTTGCGGATCATCAACTTCAAGCTTCGATCGAGAGGGAAAGCATGGATCGTGAAATGTCGGTTACTTCTCAACCGCTCAGTGAGTCGGGAAGCCCGGATTCTACCCGGAGTTCGCGACGCTCTCGTAGACGACGCAGTGGACGTGTCACTATTCATTCGCTGAGGGATGGTACTCGCTACATTGAGGTTGGGTCTCCGAATAGCAGAGGGACGGATAGCATTCACGAGTTGCGAGATGGTACTGTGTACTCCAACCCATGAAATTGGTTGCTCTGTCATTTCTCATGTTTCATAGGTAGCGGTTTACATGGAACTTGAATGGGTAAGTTATCAATGTGGATAGTGGATAGTGTCAGGACATGCCTCAAAGAGGACGATCAGAAACACAACCAAAATACAAAAAAGTAACCATAATCGACCCAATTCAATGTACACCTCTATTTTCTATGTACCTATGCAACATCTATTAAATCTAAATCTTAGACTGCTTATCAACAGCAAAATACTCGGCACTAACAGCAGCCCGAATCAACTGATTAGCAATAGCAGTAGGAGGCGGCAACCGCAAACCACCCTCCTTATACTCCGGCCCAGCCTGAGCACTCAGGTCACTAGTCCCAATTCTCAAAGCCTCCTCAACCTCCTCAATCTCAAACCACTTCGCATCCTCTAGCTCAGGATCATGCTGCAGAGAGATCGTCTCATGAGCCGGATCACTAACCTGGGCAATAGCGCCAATCATCAAGTTGGCAGGATACGGCCAAGGCTGCGACGAGTGAATAACAACCCGCGACAGCGTCACGCCTGCTTCCTCCCACACTTCTCTCCGCACGGCATCTTCAATTGACTCAGCTGGCTCGATGAAGCCGGCTAGTGTTGAGTACCAGTTTGGTGGGAAGCGCTTCGACCGGCCGAGGAGGATGCGCTTTCCGTCGGCGGAGACGACCGCTACGATGATCGTCGGGTCGGTGCGCGGGAAGGAGAGGTTTGACAGTGTCGTGCGGGTGTTGCAGGCTGGTCTTTCTTCCGTCTTGCCGGTGGCTGCGAGGGCGATGTCTGTTGGTGGGCATGCACGCTTTGTGCCTGCGTTCACGCCTAGTGTGGGGTGTCCGCACGTTCCGCAGAAGGTATTGCGGGTATTCCAGTCCATCAGGGCGCGCGCCTGGGCATAGATAGCGGCTGTTTTCAGCGGGTTAGTTTATGCTTCTCGTTATATGGTCTACATTAGGTCTCGGTGGATTTAGACATACCTTCATCGGCAGAGAAGGACATGACAACCCGCGCCTGGAAGAAAGACAGTCCCTTCGCCTCCATGGCACTAATCACATCCTTCGCTGCAGTCTGCTGTTCTTCCGAGCCCCTGGGCGTCACATCGACTGCAAAATAAGGTGTCCCGGAGTAAATCTTCCATGTAAATCCACCTTCCTTAAGACTCTCGTCCAGACCGAGGAAGATCAAGGTAGGACGCGTCTTGCGCGAATCATAGTTCTTGATCATATCCTCCTCAGAGACATCGAAGATGTCATTCGGCACAAGCTTGCGCACCTCATCATACTTAGCAAAGTGCAGCTGCGCAGGCGACGGAGTTAAAGGCGCAAGGTTGTTCAAGAGGACGAATCGGGCAGACGGGTGCTTCAAGGCCGCGGAGAGGAATGGGTGGTCAGAGCGCAGGAATGATAGACGGTTAATCGGAGAGCCTAGGACATGTTTTAGTATTGCTATTGCACATATATGTGTCGTCCTGGGCAAGTTCCATACTGGAGAAGTAGTTCACTGTCTCTCTTCCGAAGTGGCGGGACAACATGGAATCCGCGAGCGTGTGAGCCGGGGCGGGGATCTGGGGAGTTGTGGTCATTATGCCAGTGCTCAATATCCAGTGCTTGCAGATCAAAAAAAAGGCACAATTTTGTGTGTATTCAGAAGTATTCAGAAGTTGGAAACCGGTCGAACTCGCATTAATCAGCGGCGGAGGGCGGGGAAGCGGAGTTGTGCCGAGGAGTCTTGGCAGATAAGGGACGTCTGTTCCTGTTGATGATAAACTTCACTTGTCTAATATATTCTGTGGAATATCCAAATTAGTCGGCAAAGGGTGTCTGTTCCATAGATTGTTGTACAGCATACGAATGCAATTTTCACGAAAGAAAAGATATTTGAGTAGATACAGAGCTTGTGACTCGAAATAAAAGAAAGTAGTGAATAGAGAAAGCGCCACATAACCGAAAATCCTCGCGAATCCATGCAAGCCAGTTTGGAGTTGAAATTGAAACACCTGAAATGAGAAAGTAAAGCACGCTGGTGAGCAATCGAAACTGATAGTCTCGAGTTTTGGGGTCACTGTGGCCCATATGGACAGTTTTGTCGTTGTACCACGAAGTAGACAGGAGCCAATTTAGTCTTTCCAGAACCAGCCGGTCTTGGATCGACCAGATTCATCAGACTTGTAATCTTCCGGTTGCGGATGAGATACCTCGACAGACGAATCAGTTTCCTCACGACCGTCTGCAAAACGCTTGGTCTTGACAATCTTGCTTTCAACCGAGCCATCGGGAAGTCGAACGCGTTCTGTTCGGGTCATGGTAGAGATGACACGAGACTGTGCTGGTTCTGAAGGCGATCCAATCTTCTCGTTCTCGTTCACGGTCTTGGTCGAAGAGTTTGAAGGCGTTTCAGGAACAGAGTTTCTGTTTCCACCAGAGACAAGCTCCAGCCAGGTCTCATTGCCATCACTGCTTTGCTCATCTTCTACCTTGGGAACACTGCGTCTGTATTTCTCAAGTTCCTCCTGCTGTTGTCGTCGCTCTTCGAGGAGCATGCGCAGGAGAGGGCTTTCAGACGCACCGCGGAAGAATTCACGCTCGCGGTTTTCGATATCATGCAAGAAGCGCTCGTACAGGTCTAGCTCACTTTCAGCAGCTTCTTGGTCGTTCTTCCGTTCCATGGGCTCTTCCTCTTTCTCGGATAGAGACGGATCCTGCTCCGCACGACCAGAGAAAGTGATACCTGACCAAGGCTGACCCTCTGTGCCAGGTACATACTTCCATCGGTCACCCAGGCTCCCGCGCTTCACCAGACCCTGGAGCCAGTCCTTCCCAGTCTCCGGTGCCGCGGAGGCATCACGAGTGAGCATCGACTTTCCGTTTTCAAGCCGAAGTAAATCCTCAAAGGCTTCTCGCCACTGCGGCTCCGAGGAGTCACGATCGGAATCCAAACTCAAAGACGACATAATCGAGGAGAAAATGCCTTTTTCACGGTACGCGCGATATTGTGCTTGGCGTTCTAGGTGGAGAGGCGAGTACGGGCTGAACATAATATAGGCGATCGGCCAGGTCGGTGAATTGGTATCCTCGAACATATCTGGGAGGAAGAAGCCGCGGTTGGGATTCATGAGATGAGACGCAAAGGGGAAGAAGCGATCCTCAAGCCAGAAGCGGTCGAAGAAGGAATCGAGGCCGAAAAAGTCGGATGGTCCGTTGCACCATTTCCTCCATGACTGCGAGTTCCATGGGTCATCATGCTCGAACCAGCGTGATCTAGGATGTGATGTGTTGGCTGGGTTGCGTATGTTGTCATCTCCTCCCGAATAACCATTTCCTCCATCTCGGTCTGTCGAGTAGCCCTTTTCTCCTGTATTATCGCCGGTTCTCTGACGAGAAATCCTGCTTTCGTAGCCGTGATCGTCTGCGAAAATTTCCCAGCGGTTGTTGTGAGGTGGCGTTACCATCGAGGGTAGTCCTGTGATAGATTGAAGCATTGTGGAGACCTGTTCATCAGCGTAGCGCCGGAAGGCGACGAACGGGTTGCTCTCATCCCCGGAGAAGACCCGGTTCGAACTAGACTTATCATCGTTCGGCATATTGAAGTCAAGATAATGAAGCGAAGATGATATGGAGATATGAAAGATGAAGAAAGGAAAAGTGAGAGTCGTTGGGGTGCCCCACTTTACGTGATCCCCAATGTATGTCCAGATTGTGTTTGCTTCATCTTCTTCTCTCTTCTCTCTTCTCCTATCCATCCTCCTATTGTTATCCGTTTGCCTTATCTCATGTCTCTCTTGAGACTGATATACTCACACGGTCAGATCTCCAATTCTACGCTCAAAGCACCTACAATCCCTATCTTGTTGAGCCGCTGGCGTCATGAAGAGACCCACTGCAGCTCCCGGAGTGGAACCACACTGTACTTCAACCTCGGTCAATTTGGCTATAACATGTAACAAAGCATGCTTGTCTCAGCTACAATCTGGAGATTATTCAAAGCAAGGCATTTCAATCACATATGCGCGCGTTCCTGAGGCTCCCAGGCCTCATCAAAGCCAGTGGATCGGACCCACATCCCTCTCTCCCCCTCCTCAACGGTGGAGTCGACAGCTGTTGAGAATTAGGCTAGCGTGACAATGCTAAAAGAGGAGCGACTTACCGATGTTCCCAATTCTCAGCCACATATCCCCATTGATCGGCATCTGATGCTTATTCTCGAACCCTTGGCAGACCCGCTGGCCGTGTGCCACTGCTCGGGCCAGCTTGGCGAGATGTCCGTCGTCTGTGCCATGGGACACGGCGCGTCCGAAGATTTGGGGCCAGTCTTCCTTGATAGGGTATTTGGCTACCTCGTCCAGGAGGAGGTCTGGTGACCCGCGTGAGACATACATCAATAGGTCGATGCGTCCTTTCCATTCCATGAGGCGCAGCTTTGATCGCTGATCCAGGTATGGGAGGTTGATGATCTTAGAGAAGAAGATGGATGAGTTGACACAGTGGATGAAGAAGAAGTCAAGTCTCATTTCTCGGGTCGGACGCTGTGCGGCGCTGGTGTAGTAGACTGACAAGACGAATCAGCAACGGCTCATGAAAGGATACCGATGCACACTTACCGACTGTGTTAATCATATCCACCAGTCTCTCTTCAACCTGATCTTCGGAAACAGTGAACTGAGCAGCATATTTGATCATTTGCTCTGGAGCTCTGGTCATCACACCATCCTTGATCTTATTACTATCAGCCCACTTAACACTTTCAGTGAGAGCCTTGTCCGCCCGACACTCATTCAAAAGCTCGAGCAACGACTTCTTGCCAGTCACACCAACACCAGCAGACATCTTCTCAGCAGGAAGAAAGAAAGCCCGACCAAGCCAGTCATCATGCACAGCCGCCTGAGCCAAACCCTGAGCCACAATGGCAGGCTGATTGAACTCCAATCCAAAGGAGAGATGGATAAACGGGTGAATCAGACCTGAATACGTTAGCCTGTAGTCTAGCATAGCAAAACGGGGTATAGGTATAGAACACGTACCACCAAACAAGCGACACAACATTTTCTCAGCCCTCTCATCCCCAGCAAAAAGATACTCCCTAAGAACATCCCCAACACCCTTCACCCCAATCTCACCCTGGAAAAACGCCAAATAATTAGAATAATTCTTCTCTTTCCCCATACCAGCCTGGAATCCATCCACGTCACGCATAGACTGGACAACACCCTGATCAGCCGGCATCGCAGGTCTCTGATAGCTCTGATTCCGGCTGTAGGCTCCCTTTACCTGCTCAGGGGTTGCACCTAAAGCATAAATACTCAGAAGGAGATGGGGTATATGATCTAAACGACAGTGTCAACAACCACATATCACATTTACAAAAACAACTCAGAAGAGAAGATCAAATAGAAGAACATACTATGAAATCCCTCGTCATTAAAAAAGACATGATGCTTCGCCATATCATCCTGCAAAAGGGAACTCGTAAGTCGCGCCGTATCCTCCCTAACACCAGCGCTAAACACGCCAGAGTCCGTAGCGGGGGAGAGATTAATCCTAGTAGCTGAAGCCGGCTCTGTTTCCGAAGAAGACATCGTGGCACGAGGATAAGCAGCGGAGCTGTATAATCGCGGGGAGAGCTTAAAGGATGACGGTCGAGGGAGTGGAGATGAAAAGCGAGTCTGCGGAGAGGATCGATCGATTGCGAGTATTTGTCTGGTTGTGAAACGGAACCGGGGTAGCATGTCCTTATAGGTACCTAGGTAGATGCAGTCTATGTGTGTAGAGACCAATGGACCGTTTTTAAATGTAATCATCCCGGGTTCGGTTGTTCGGTGCTCCGTTGCTACGTCATGGGTATACAATCCCTGGGCAGCTCTGGGCCTGACGCTTACTAAATTTCTACTGTAACATCTTGGTCTGGATTATTGGATTGAGATCTTGGCTCTAGGGTATATGAGGGTATTCGAGGATATCGAAGGGATCGCAATTTGGGGGTGAAGATATTAGTCAGCTTGTTTGGATCTGGAGCTGGCCCTTCAGCTGTTTGGTGTTAGTAATTGATGCTGGGCTGCCTAATCTTAGACATACTACTGTGCATAGCTGACAGCCAAGGAGTCTAGCTCTTGGACTTGGATATTCCACTAAAATTCCCTTGTTTATTCATCTGGGGTATATCATTCTGGGGAAGGAGAAGTCCAGGGACAGCGCTAGAAAAAAAAACCAAACATAGCAATCGTTTTCGATCAATCCGCGCCCTCTCTCTCCTTCTTCCGACGCTGTCGGTCCCGCTCCATCTTTTTGAACAGCGGATGGTGTCCGGCCTTGTCCTTGAGTGCCTTGTTCCTGCTCTTGTTATACTCAATATAAGCCATGTCATCACCACCAGCCAGACCGCTAAGAGTGGCCGCACTGCGCTTCGCAGTTGCCTTCTTGGCTGGGCCTTTCTTGCCCGTGCGCATCGAGAATAAGTCATCGTTGACCTGTTCGACGTCGGCAGAGGATTCATTTTGCAGCATGACTTCTTGCAGAAGTTCGCGGCGTTCTGATGGCGTTGCGTACGACAATCCTTCGTAGTTGTCGATGCCTTGGAGATGAGTGATAACCTTGAACGCATAGCCTTGGTCAATCAGGAAAGCTTGCCGTTTGGCAGAGTAGACCATCTCATGTGTATCCTTAGACACAAGGGAGTAGAAGAAAGCATTGAAGCCTTCGTCATTTCGACGCTTAGCTCGCAGAATTCGTCCGAGGCGCTGGGCTTCCTGACGACGGGAACCGTAGTGGGACGAAATCTGGATCAGGCAGGTAGCCTCAGGCAAATCGAGCGAGGTATCACCGATCTTGGACAGGAAGATAGTGTTGACCTGCTCGTTGTGCTGGAAGTTCTCCAGAATACGCATACGCTCGTTTTGCGGAGTGCCACCGAAAATGTATGCCTTGTTCAGCTTGAGTGCATATCGCTCCAAAGCATAGACATTGTCGGAGAACACAATGATCTTGTCGCCACGTTTTTCGTGGAAGTCGATCAAGAACTGACAGGCCTGGAACTTGCGAGGGTTCATGATATAAAGCAGGGCTTGCTTCCTAGAGCTCTCCCGCAGATACTCAGAGTAGAACTCCGTGGTCATTGGACACCACACCTCGGCACACTGCACCTTGGCGATGTGACCCTGTGCAGCAAGTTCCATCCAGTTTGCTTCGTAAAGCTTGGGTCCGATCAAGAAGTTCAAATCTTTGATCTTGTCATCCTCACGAAGTAGCGTTGCGGTAAGACCGAGCTTGCTCTGTGCGGCGATTGCAGATGTGACTTTTCGGAACATCGATGCCGGCACGACGTGCACCTCGTCAAGAATCATCATACCCCATTCTCTGGATTGAAGCCAATCCATCATCTTCTGGGCGTCATATGATCGAGCCCGTGTTTGTGACACCATTGAGTAAGTAGACACAATAATACCGGTCGACCGTTTGAATTTCTCCTTGTGATCAGAGGTAAAGATGGCGATGTCACCAGGGTCGATCGTCGTCCATCGCAAGAACTCGTTTCGCCATTGAACTACGGACATGGAACTGGTGCAAAGAACGATGGTACCCTTCTTGATAGTAGCGGCGGCAGTAATACCAACCAAGGTCTTACCGGCACCACAAGGAAGCACAATAATACCGCTCTTCGCTCGTCCGTTACCGAACATCTTACTCAGACTCTTCTCCTGGTAAGAACGAATCCGGGCAGCAGGCTTCAGATCCATATCCAGGTTGGGATTAATGGTATCTCCCTGGAAATCGTACTCTTCCAGAGCAGGGCAACCGATCGATTGGCAGCGGGCTTTGACGACTTCGACTCCAGCAGCGGGGATTTCGAAACTGTAAGTAATAGCTTCTTCGCGATCATCCTCACCAACATCGTCGATGCCGTAATTAACAGCTGCCCCTTCTTCTTCAGTTTCATTCCTGGCAGCCATGGCCTCCTGCTGTGTGGTTTCTCTAACACCAGCCGCGTCCTTGGTTCCGGGAATGACTAGACCGCCCATTTTTGGAGCAGCCCGTTCAATAATGCCTTCGGTATTGTCCAATCTTTGTGGTCCAATCACTTCGTCTTTCAACAAGCGTTGAAGCATTTCAGGATCCGTCGTTTCCACGTAGTAGCGGTTATGCCTCAACACCATCTTGATTTTTCCGTAGGATTTTGTGAACTCGATAATGAAGGTCCGAATGCTTTCAGGTAGTGGTGTTTTCGACAGGCGATCCAAGAACTCGACAATATCCTGTGGTTTGAGACCGACCGAAACCGCTGCGTATAGACTGTGGCCTGTCAAGCGGTATTCGTGTAAATGTGTCGGACGGGAAAGCGGTTCGGCGATTGTAGTGAGGAAATCTTGAGCTTGGGGTGCCAGCGGAGAAAAGCTCTCGAGGGTGATGGTGCCTTTGAGGGGTTCGATCCATAACGGTCGGTTGTAATGATCGAGCTTCAACGGCAGAGAAGAAAGATCTTTGTAGCCAAATCTGGGGTCCGTCTTATCCACTTGTGCCTTCTTGCTGAATGATTGGAGAGAGAACTTGTCGACGACCTCTTTATCGGACAGTTTTAGCGTCCAGGTCACTTCACGTGGGCAGACTGCCACACCATACCTTTCAAGTTGGAGGACTCCGGTGCATCATCTCCGTCCGAATAATCATCATCGCTGGTAATATCCTCGACATCAGGAACGGGCGTGGCGCGTTTCGAGGCCCTGCTAGACTGGCTACCTGAATATAATGAGTCACTATTTCCCCCAAAGATAGACCGGATACTTACCATCGGCCGCCTTCCGCTTGGGGGCCATGTTCGAATATTCGGCGATGTTGATAAAGCAGCAAGAGGGAACTGACTGAATACGTTCTCAGTGTATGAGAGTCCGATGAGGTGGAGCGACGCCCCTCACAAGTAATCTCAGACTAGCATGGGACAAATGATGCTGAGCCGCAGTAACAGGCGGCGTCTGCGCTGGAGGTTTCGGGTCGTAAAGAGCTTCGGGTTGCTGAAAATGAATGGTATAGATGTCGGGAAATAAGGTGGGCAAGGTCAAGAGAGAAGAGTGAAGGGTCTGAGGAGAAGGATGTCGAGAAGAACGCGGATATAAGAAGTTTGAAGAAGTCCGATTGGTAAGAGAGGGCGATTAGGATTTCAGCCTGAGGCCACCAATAGTCGTTGGCCGCTCTGACGACATTCAGTTAGCTCCTCTCTCGACCTCTTCAACTTTCCAACCATTCATCATGAACACGGTAAGAGCTATATATCTATCTTATATGCTCCATTGCTGACTCTATTTTCCATTTAGATCAGATCTACCTGGTGAGAGGAGATTTCTTCGCCCAAAGACAACAGGACCCAATTACTGATGTGGCTTTCGGCTTGAACAGGGTGGGCTGGGGCACTCTTTGTGTCGGTATGTAACCAAAATGATTGGTCTCAGTTAACAGACAGAGGTCATCTGGTACAACACACCTGGAAAAGACTAACCTGTCCCTCCAGCTGGCGGCGGAGCCTACTACTTCGCAAAGCAATCCATCAACGCCGACCGCCAATCCCGATTTGACGCCGAGATCAAGCGCAAGGCCCAGATGAGAGCAATGGAAGATGAACACAAGCGCCAGGCCCTGTCCGCATCCGGGCCTACCCCAGGCAACGACGCCAACCTAAAGCGAGCGAACATGACACGGTTCCAGAATGCCGCCGACGACGTCGCCTCTCCCAGTGCCGAAGCTTCTCATGACCCCGCGCCCACCCGCCATGAACCCTTGACCGAGGCCGACCGTGTCCTAGAGAAGGGCAAATACGAAACGTCGACACCATACCGACCTCCAACTGGGAACCGGTTTAGCTAAGCGGCTGGCCGCATTGTACATTCTGATATCAAACCAAAATAGAGTGGTGGTGTACTTGATAAGGATATACTGAGGTTGGCTTCAACTTCCTGTGCTATGTTTGATTTGTTGCTCAATGCTAGCATGTATATTACTCGAGCTTTGTCATTTCATTAAGGAATGGATTTGCGCAAATTTGGCTATCTGATGACGATCGAGAGATCTATGACATCTTCATCCTTGGTGGTTGTATTAACAAGCAAAGCAAAAAAGATCCCATCCCAGGGTACTATTGAAAGCAACCCATAACGCCATCCCTAAACTCCGTGGGCATCATGCATCACCTCACAAGCCGGGCCTCTGCATCAGCGCCTGCACCGAGCAGCTCCTCGAGGTGCGAGAGGTTCTAACGCAAGGCATCTATCTTGCGTGGAAGCAGAGTGGGGGGTTCCTGCGTTAAGATGTAAATAACGTTCTCCACATAAGCTCACAATAGTAAAACGTTCAGTTGAAACTCACTTGTTCCCAGTAGAAAGACCCGAATTTCGCTGGCGCGAACTCTCCAAGGCGGGTGGCACGAAGGGCAGGACCACGCCAGACACAATGCAACCCAGGCTGATGGCGCGTGCAGCGCGAGAATCAGGACGAGGACGGTGGGCTGAAAAGTGGCGGATGGAGGGGCGGGCGAGCTGAGCGATAGTGGCCATGATGTCGATCACTTGTAGAGCGGGATGTAGAGAGTAGAGTGGTGGTAGAGTAGGATTGTGGTAGACTTGAGAGGAGAGAGGAGAGTAGAGTTGAGAGCAGGGAGCATAGAAATAGTTAAAGTTTATAGAAACCACTAAAGGGGGAACTATGAGGCTTTTATAAGCAACATCAGGCCATGCAAAGTGATCCGACTGTGGGGGGACATGCGGGGGACGCTAAGGCATGGCCTGATTCTCGCAGTTAAATATCTATCCGTGATCAGACGCTTAAGGCTGATCTACATGTACAGGACACTCGGATCGGACTGTCGGCAAGTCCTCACGCCATCGTAGGGTTCCAAGTCGCAAGGGGGCGTGGATCATAGTGTGGGCTACGGTTCGTGCGCAGTAGAGGGTTTGGGGTTTCACCGCATGAAACGAGAGCGGAAATGAAGTTCCGAATCAGAGAAGTATGATGACGGCTCGTTGATATCCGGAGGGGAAGTGGCAACGTGGGTTACTCTGCATAGATCATCTTATCTGGATCTCCTGATTCGGGCAACTCTCACGTGTGTGCTGGTATCAGACATTCAGGCATTCAGTTGTCACCGAGTAACATCAAATAACATCAAATAACTACCAGCTAATAGCACAATATGCCAAATTGTAATCTACATCTACTCTACTCACTTATCTACTTCATCGCGCTAACCGCGGTCACGTGTGATAGGAGCTGCGATAACAGAATTGGAGAGAATCATGAATCTCCCTTTCTCCAGGTTTCAGCCATGGCGTCCCATCAGATCGCCATTGCAAAGGCCTCATTCTCGGCGGGTCTGCTACGCCCGGATCCGACCTCTGTGCCTCGAGATGAGATAACCGCCTTCCATACCTTACTCGAGCGCGTGCTGTCGCACTGTTCTACAGAAAACATCCAGGTCTGACTCGTTGCACATGCCTCTCACGTCCCAGTTACTAAATCACAGTCACCTCAGACCTGCAAAGCATGGTTGCTTCAATATGTTGCTGCTTCATCTAACCGTGTTGGGGGATTGGCCAAGTACCTGGTAGCTCTAGCTACCTCCTTCGAACCACAGCCCGCTCAGCACACCACACCGAAGCGTCGACGACTCCACATACTCTATTTGCTCAATGATCTGTTTCACCACTGCAAGTACCACCTAGGCTCCACTGCAACCTTCTCCACGGTGAGCGGGTCCTTGCAGCCACATATCGTGGACCTCGTTGGCCATGCCGCCGCCTGCGATCGCCAGAAGTACCCCCGGCACCACCAGCGGCTAGATGATCTGCTTGATATCTGGTCCGAGCACGGATACTTTAATTCCGAGCTTGTTGAGAAGCTTCGGGAAGTGATAATTAACTCGGCCACCTTGGGCGCCCCACCATCCACTGATGGTGCCGGCGAAGCAGACCAAGCCAAGAAACCCGGGAAGGATGTCCCTTTTGTCATGCCATCAACCCATGGAGATTCATCGACGCCCTTTTATGACCTCCCTGCGGGCAACCTCATCCCGCACATCATTCCGAACTCGTCCATTCCCCTCCGACCCGATGGTATCAAACCACTACACCTGCAGGCCGGACCTGCAGATGGAACACTGGTGAAAGCTCTCAAAGGCTTTTTGTGTCAAGTGGACAAGATCTATGGCACGGACGACCTCATTAAGGATGACGGAGATGCGGACATCGACGAGCTAGGCCAATCAGTCCTCCGGGATGAAATCACAGGAGACATTTTGGATGGTGAAACCTATTATGGATGGTCTCGTGCATTCTGTCAACAGATGAAGAGGGGAGAGCCCGAGGATTCTCGCAGTCGAAGCAGAAGTCGTAGTGGGACACGAACTAATATCAAGCGCCGGCGCTACAGTGACAGTCGCTCCGAGTCAAGGACACCGAGCCGCTCCCGATCGCGATCAGTCAGGCGTCGTCGCTTTGACTCGCGTGAAAGAAGTCGCTCACCAAGACGCTCACGCAGTCGAGAAAGCTCATACACACCTCACGAACCGTCCCCTTCACATTTCCCACCCCCTCACCAGCCCCATCAACCTCAACAACCTCAACACCATACCGCATCTATGAGTTCCTTCCCCCCTCCACATAATCCAAGTGGACATGGTCAATATGCCCACCCATCCATGGGTCCTAATAGCGGCTTTGTTCCCCCGCCCCCGCCGAACTACGGTGCCTGGCCTCCACCTCCCCCACACATGTCGGCCATGCCCTATCCCCCACCTGGTTCCGGAGCTCCTCCCTCAGCCTTCCCTCCTCCGTTCAATGCTCCTCCCCCACATATGCCACCAGGACAGGGTCAGCCTATACCACCTGGTCATTATCATTTCCCTCCACCTTATTCGGGTGGCCAGCATGGTGACCCACGGGGTCCTCCTCCCCAAGGTGGACGGGGTTGGCGCTGAGTGTGGCACAATTACCATGAAGAGACAGATGAACGAAACTTGAATGAAATCTTTTAAAAGGAGTGTGTGGAGGTACGTCTTAAAAACTTCATCGTAGACAAAACGGCCATATCCACTAGACATAAAGACATAAGGGTAATACATGTAAGTTAGTTCCTAAGGAAGAGTAACGTTAAGAGGTGAATTTAATTAACTCAAATGTATGGGTCTTCATGTGCGACGATGTCCTCATTCCAAACATCTTATTTTGAGCCAACATTTCCATCAACACTGTCACGATCTCGATCGTCGAATACATCAGCAATTCTTATTCTCACGGCATGCTCGTTCATTATTGCTACCCTGCAGAAAGGTAATCTTAAGTATTCATTGCACCGAGCTGCCCTGTTGGCATCATGGGTTGCTCCATTCTGGCAGGACTTTGTAAATTTCCCTTCTGCTTCATTGCCTTATTTGGTATCATCTGCCAGGTTACAGGCCTTTTCCTCTACTCGAGCATCGATTTAGCCATCCATCTCTGGCCAGGACAGTTCGGATATCTGGCCCTGGCAGGTCTATGGGTGGGTCTGACTTTAGGCGCATTTTCCATGCTTGGGCCTCTTGTGGTGGGTAAGTGAGGATCACTCCATCGCGGTAGGATCGGGCTGCAACTTCGACTGCTTGGTGGTGTTATTGGAGTGGCAGCTTCGACCGCCATGCTCAATCATTACCTCGACAGCAGATTGCCATGGGTTCTCAAACCGGTGGAATTAAGCGCGCTTTGGCAACTACCGAGGCTATCTTGACGTTTCCTCCCGATTTTCAAGCTCATGTCCTAGAGACTTATGCTATGGCGTATAGATCACAGATCACACTAGCGGTAGCATTTTCGGTTGCACAATTGGTTGCTGTTGCGACTATTTGGAAGAGACAATATGTCAGGTACTTAAAGGAGTGATACTAGGTGTTAATACAGGAGTGTCCATACGGTATATATGTTTCATCATCTTTATAGAACCCTTGCTCTTTAGCTCCCCTCCTTCGACGCCCGGAAAATTATGTCTATATAATCAAGAGATCAAATAGCACAACAACGCAATAGAAATGGATGTTGTACACATTACACGTCGAAATCCTAAATCTAAAAAAAAGTATCACAAGTAAAGTCTCCAAGTAATATCAAGTAAAGAAAGAAAATGAAACAAAAGAATCTCCCTATCTCCAATCTTGTATCTCCTCACGCCACAAGTTATCCCCAGTATACAGAAAAGTACATCTAAATCCTTATTTCATCCTCATCCTCATTTGCAGTCCATGTCGCAAAACGCCAGGTCTTGGTGACAGTCACTGAGTACCTAGCCTTAGGTAACAGCGTCCATGATAATGTCGGCCTGGGTCTCGGGGAGATGCATTCTGTGGGAGTAATAGTCCTGCTTGACCTTTTCAAAGGGCTTGCAGGCTTCGATTAGGCCCTGGAATAAGTAAACATATATGTTAGAGTAAATTCTCCCACTTCGTAGTATTATCATGCACGAGAATTGAGAAAGGAAAGGGAGAGGATGAGATGGACTTACATTGTCCTTGCTGTCACAGCACATAGGAGAACGCCCGTGCCCAGAGCAAGAATATGGCGGATCTTCCATGCTCATCGGCTTGCCTATACCAAAATAGAAATATTAGCGACGACTCGCAATCCAGCAGATCCAATAGATCCATGTTGCTGAACCTTCAATCTCCTACCAGAGGAAAGAAAACATACACTGGTAAGCAATAGCCGAGCTAACCTGCAATCCACCAACCATAGGAACAATATCGCCCAGCGGCTTGAGGATATCATGAGACGCCTGCTCAACACCCATACAGCAGTTCTTATACTTGCCCTTGGGGCAGGAATAAGCCTCGAAGGGGTTCGGCGAAGCAGAAGGGGAAGCGGATGCCGAAGCAGATGCCGAACCGGAGTGCGAAGGTGAATAGAGAGATGGCATTGCGCTTGTTGGTGTCGGAGATTGAGTTGGACTCGCCATTGGGACAGCGGTGGTGACGGCGAGCAGGGTGAGGGATGTGACGAGGGTGATTAGATGCATGATTGTCGATTTCTTTGTTTCTCCTTTATAAAGCTCGCTCTTGGTGTTTGGCTGGTCTTGCCTTTGGCTTGATTATCTTCTGTAGAAGCTGTTGACTGGAATTTGTGTCGGTAGAGAATGGCTGAGGTATAGAAAGGCGACCTGGCGCGCCGCGTGGTGTTGCGGGTGTGGCCCTAATATGGTCGAGCCTGGAGGCAATTTATTAAAAGAGTGTGGTTTGGCATGTGTAGGTCTCTATAGTGAGACCTGAAAGAATGACTAGAGCTGGGCCGGGTGGTTGTTGCACGAGGTTGTCGAGAAAGCCGGGGGTTGTCGATGGGGAGAGAAAGAGAGACAATTGCTGACTGCCGATGTATGTGCTACTGTGGCCAGCGCTGCCAGCTCGTGTACATAATGGACGATCCTGTTTTCTTTTTCCCTCCCTTGGAAGCTTCTGGTTGGTTAGTTTGAATCCCGGGATTCCAGAGGTTTCATCCCTCTGCTTAGAAAGGCACGATATGGCCTTGATTCGTTGTGGGATTGAATCATTAGGAATGTCCATAGTCGGTATTTCTTGAAATGGGTTTGTTGCGTGGCTTTTCTCCGGTATGTGCATTTTGGTTTGCTGTGTTGCTCTTTATCCAGTTCGTTGCGCATGCTGGCAATGATATAACGTTATACACGATCTTCATGTTTCGGATACCTAAGTCAAAGGCCAAAGGCTGCGGACTTTTTGCATGAGAAAGCCTATGTCATTTCATTATTATGCTTAATGAGCCAAAAAGGCAAAGTTCCTTTGTCAAGTGTCGGAATCTCCGAAGGTATGCAAGGGGTGCCAGGGACGCGAATTCTCCAAGCCAGAGATGTTCATCTTGGCGACATAATTATAGGAAGCCAACCGAGTATAACTTAGTTCACAGAAAAGAGTCATAGTGTTGTCGTAGAGCTCAATAGTCATGGGTGATCAATAAGTGCCTCATGTTGTCTGGCGGTACCTCCTCGCACCAGGGAGATACGATAGACCAATTTCCCCGGGCTATGAGGATCAACAAAGAGTTATTGCAATGCCTTCACATCCATTGAACATCAAAACTGTGATCAGGGAGCGCATTCATCCTTACTCAGTGCACCACATCCCCATAAAAACACGCTTATCAGTGCTGGGCTTTCCAACGCTGTGTCACCCTCAACGATCGAACTCATCGCGCACGCCGCATGGTACTATGGTATATGCATGGCGACGGAGAGAGTTCTATTGCAGAGAATAGAGTATTTTCCGATGTCGGATTTCACTCGTCGATAGCATTGCTGTCTATATAAATGGCAGGACTATATAAGAAGTAATACGTTGGAACTTTGACTTACTTCACGACAACTAAACTCTAAATTGAAGATCAACGCATTAGGTTTCGGCGCCAGAAATCAGGGATAATTGATGTATTCCGTTTTTCCTGACCTAATTACTATAGTACTAGCATTCAATGTAAGAAAGGTGTCGAATCAATAGATACATATTAAGTAGGAAAGTTCACCTTGCAAGTACAGGCGGGATAATATTTTCGGTATCTTTGGTGTAAATTTAAACTAACATGTGTGTAGAAATATATCGAATGTTGAAGTCAGGCTGGAGCAGGCGAACTCCTTGTATATATGGATATATTCAATAATCATCGAAAGGTAGCCGTCCTATACATATTCTCATACCGTATAGCAACCTAGGCAAGGGCTTGGCCTCTGCATATATGTATCTTCTTTCAGGCCTTCCAGTGCTTATAGGTAGATACCCCAAGACAAATCTGTACATATAGTGCTTCCCAAATTATACAATAAGATAACCCAAATCCTCAACCGGTTGCTGTCAGGAACGCGTAACAACTATTTCTTCCTCACTCACAATAACAATACCAGCCGTTACCACCTCATCTTGCACCAACTCCTAGAACGTAGCATTCTCCAGCCCATATTGAACCTCGTCAGCATATGCCGCACGCACCGTAACGCTGATCGAGACAACAATCACATCTCCGGGGTTTACCACAAACTCATCATAATACACGGAAGGGTTCGGGTACCACTTATACCATGCATCTGTATATGGCTCCTCATCAACCATATAAAATCAACCCCAGTTGCAATATAGCAGCTGAGTACGTGCTCACATCAATGCCGACCCATGCCGATGCTGCTTGGTATGTGGTTGCGTCGGTCAGTGTTGGGGTTGGGACTGTGATGGTCGCTGAGACGTAGCTGTGGGTTGTGTCTGGGGGCGGATTCTCGAGAATTTCACCAGCCCAGTTGCAGCTGTATGTTCCTTGGATTTCGGACGCGAGGGTGTCAACTGTCTTGAGACGCGAGAGAGAGGCGGGATTGAATTTTTGGAGGTGGTTGGCCGTGTTGGGAAGGGCGGTGGTTGCACTAATATGGTACATTGGGGGGACATCAAATGATATGTTGTTTCAACAACAGGCACATGAGCTTCACTTCAAGGTGTGTTTATGTATAAATTACGTTTATCACTTTATATATATAGATATTAATGGTAAATGTCCCAGGAAGCTACGATCTACGGCGTAGCGAGCGTGCGCAGATCAAGGAAAAGGAAAAGGAAAAGGAAAAGGGAAAAGAAAAAGAAAAAGAAGAGAAAAGAAAAGCAAATACTCCAAATATATCGCTCGTAATTGTACAGGTCATGAATGGCCAGCATGATTTGATCGAAACAAGGGGATATCACATCGTAACAAGGGTATTTTCTCCCGAGGAACAGCCAGTGCCCTCGACTCAGGAATTGTGCTGGTCTATCAAAGGGAGTATCACAAAAGCAGAAACGAAGAACAAAAACAGAAAGAAGAAATCGCTCGCTCACTGCCAAGGGCACAAATATAGTCGTGTACTAGCCAGTATTTCTTCAAGGCGTAATAGCAGGCAAAAAGAAAGATTTGATCGTACACCCACGCCCCGGGGGCTGAGGGTGTGAATGAAATATCTGTTTTGACTGATCACAAGTCCGACAAGGGACACCGACACAGTCATAAATGACAAAGCCAAGTGAATGACAAGAAGAGAAGAGAGCACAGAGCCATACCAGTGAGTCTTGACTCTATCAGCGTGGTGTTGGGTCTGTGGGGGTGGAATGGGGGAATGGGGGAATGGAAGCAATGATTCACGACCAGGGTCCTAGGGTTAATGCACGCTCGCAATAAACCATGTGCGACTAGGCTCCGATCATAGAATGAATCGGAGGTAGAACGCTGGGCGGGGATCAATAGGCATCCAGAAAAAAAAGCTATGCAAGGTGAAAGTGGGCAAAAAGGGAAGGGGGCATGGGCAAAGGGAATTGACAATTTGCAGATCCCCGACTGGCGCTGGGGACAACAATATCAAACCCGGGAATTCGCTTCATCGTTCAAGCGCACGCTCTCCCGTGCGACTTTCATAAACTCCGTAGAAATCAGTGCCTGGCAGGGAATATTGACGGAAACACAGCCAGTCGATGGTTCTAATGAACCACCCTCGTCAATGGGGCATCCAAAAAACTTCAGAGAATATTGTGATGAGGCTAGATAATAGTTAGCAATGTTCAAAACTGTGAACAATGGATAAGTAAATACCTTAGTCTGGCGCAGACCTAAAATTCGGAATTGGCAGCCATGTCGCGGCCAGAGACCTTGTTCTCAGCGATGTGAGCAGCATGTTTGACAGATGTTGGAGGTCCATTGGCCTGGCGAGCGAGTCCGGAGGTACTACTGCGACCACTTTGGCCGCTGCTCTGACTACTGCGGCTGCTAGATCCTTTGCTGCGGTGAGAGTCATCGATGTCAACAAAGGTGGACATCTGGCGCTGAGTGTACTGCAGCATGGACCGGTTATAGTCGCCCAGCGAAGCGCCGGCAGGGTCCAGAGGCTGGTAAGAGTCGATCATGGTCTCGTTGGACGGATTGTCCACTCCACCCGAGCCAGAGTTAAACGTGTTGATGTTTTCAGTGCGCTGCATCTGAGCTTGATTCATGGTGGGAAATGTCTAATAAATCATAGAATCAGCATAAGTTGCTCGCAGGGGCTAGGCACTGTGTTAACAGCATGCGCCGCCGGTGACGTGGATTCCGAGTAATGCAAAGACGAGGCCGACAGAGGGCGATCGCGGGGTGCGAAAAGGTTTTTATGGGCGCATCGTTGACAAAACCCACACTCCTAATGTTTCAGGTGCAAATAGCATGCTCACCGTTGTATTCTTGGTTTTGTCAAGTGACTTGACTGAAGATAGAGGAAGATGTGAAGAAGAATGATCACGGTTGGCTAAGGTTGACCTGAATATTCAACGGTACGGACCAGAATACTGTAAAGTGTGTGTGATATGGGGGCGAATCAGAGGAGACAAAGAAAGAGATGGGTTAAATCCGAAGCCAATTTGCGAGCAAGGGTTATATATAAGACATGGCGGTTCCACAAGGGAGGATGAAATCTCATCGGTTGATCGAAGGAGCGAAAGGCAGCTGTGTAGGACCTCTGATACGTCTATAGGCTGCTTAATTTCTCCTGAACGCATCCATGGGAAATTCGAATAGAGAACTCCACCGATTACAGCGAGCGGAGTATGGTGACATCATTGGCTGAAAGGGGATAATACCCCTACATCATAAGAGAATCGGGCTTCCCCCAGCCCTTAGAGATCGGTAAAGGTGACTCTCGACGGCCTGTGGGGGTATACCATCATCAGCGAACGTTATGAAATAGTCCAGCTCCACATGCTCATGGAGACTGGTGAACACCCGGCGATATCTCGAGCCAGGCCCACCGGTGGATGGGTCAGAATGCACCGATGAGGTCACTGGGGAATGCAGATGGACCACTGAGTGTCGGAGGCGTACTGGGATCGGCATCATTGAAGTCTGGTCCCCTGCAGATCTTCGCCCTGACGTTTCCCAATAATTCACAATTGATGACTATCATGGTCTTTGCTTTCGATCAGTGCGGCGCATTCTGCATTGCAGAAACTTTCTCTTTGGCTAAACGGAAATAATGCGGACATCCTCGGTGAATTGGGGCCGAATCAGTGGAAAACACACTGTTCTTCCGCGGGGATATAGAGGTCTCGATCCGTCCAAATCAAATACACGTACAGTAGTCGACTTGACGTGCATTGTAGATATGAGGTTTGCATGAAATGTGACGCAGTCCAGCGCCTGTGGCGCAAGAACGTTGCGTGAGGCTCACGAATGGAGCCTGCGACGTCATACCCTCCAGGCATAGGGGCGGCCCGAGCAGTTGATGCTCTGTCGCTTCATCGGGACCATGACCCCGAATATGAATACCGAAGAAATCAAAACAACCTCAAATTGATTTGATGAATGCTATCAAAAGTGGGACTTGCCGAGATGGAGCTTGAGCCCCATGAGCGAAAGAAAGCTAAGAGACCTATACAAAACAGTACAAAACAGTGGAGACAGTCATAGTGGAGGTTACCGTATACTAGGGACGGCTCTCATTCAACTGCGGAAAAGACAGCAGAGAGTGGGCAATCCATGGAGGGATTTGCCTCTTAGCGCCGAAGACAGACACCGCCTTCAGTATACTGCCGATATACTTCGCATATTGGATTAGTCTATTATAGTGATACTCATGCATGTGTAACGAGGTACATTAGATGAGATTTGATATCATGGGACAGTATATTAACATTTCAGCAGCAACGTGCCACATGGCAGTTGAGATCACAATCCTCACTATGGAGTACAATGTATGCAAGCTTCAACCCAAAGCCGGTCCCAAAGCCAGTGATCCAGCGGAAACAACCAATTGGTCGGAAGAACCAGTAGGATGCAGCGTGCGAGTGACAGCGGTGTTTGCATAGAACGGGGTCTGGGAAGATCATTTGCCATCCCAAATCCCTGGATGGAGGTTGATGGCCAGCGGGGGAGGCGAATTGCCGATCGGCATGACTGCGATGGTCTCGAGATACCCATTACCATATCAATATGGAGATCGGGAGCTACCAATTACGATAGCAGTTGAGATCCGTATTAGCTGTGACACAAGGGATGTCTCATCCGTGGGGAAACACAACCACGTCAGAGAAATCTCCGGGATATCATCCATCCGCTAACTAATTTTCCCTATTTTTGAGAGAACTTTCTCTTGGGTCATCGGGAGGAACCCGTATATCCCAGCTGGGGTCTAGAACAGCATCAGTGAACTGTTTCGTCATATGCTAAGGGTTATCCGCTGCAGTCTGTATACTCTCGTATTGAACAGATTGCAAAATGGAGACTATGATGCCATGTGATATCAAAGTCGGCGCAATTCTGTACTATGTCGTAAGTAGAAAGGAACTTGTGGAGCCGATGGGGCTTGAACCATACCATGTAGGGTCTGATCACAAAGATGAGATGACAGCATAGAGCTGATCAACTGCATACCCGAAGTTCCATCAGACAAAGACACGAGACACGAGACACCTCAACGTGCCTGTGTTGTCTATACTTTAGCGTATTGACCAATCTTAGTCCTTAGAACAGCCCACTTTCTTCACTATATCTCGGTTACGTGTGGAAATGGACCACCACTAGCATGCCCCTTTTGCTTATGAGAAACGCCAGAATGCCCAAAAGGCAAAATGCGTGCCGATCAACACATTTTATCACTTTGAGGCTGGTCTCTCATCCCATATTAGATGATATCACTGCCTTTTCGGATAGCATATGAGATCACCGGTAGAGATTGAACACCCCGAAAATTGAAGCAAAAAGTACCGTACTATACTCGCTAGCACAGTTTCGTGTCACAGGCTGCTCGTGTTTTCCCAGCAACTGAGCCAGGGGCCGGATGGCTCCCGAATGTCGTCCAGAGTACCTGACCAGCCAAAAAAACCTGTTTTTGAATCAGATATCGGTCTCGACGGATTGATCGTCTCAGCAATCAATGCACTAGAGTTCACTGATTTTTCAAGACATACGCTACTCACGCTTGCAACCCTCAGGCATCATATTTGATCACATCTGGACGACAGGGCCGACCTGACGCCAGTAATCCGCCGTTACATCGACACCTCACCTTCTCTACCTCCTCTCGACTCGATTCTTCGGTCTCGACTCATCGATGGACATTCTCGCCTCCTCGTCGGAGAATTTCTCGGACACAAACGGTCAATTCTTGCTAGCATCGCCTGTCCCCGCTTGTTGGTCATTAGTATCCAACGGCCGTGAAGGCGCAGGTATCACAATGGACAAATTGATGAGGTAGTGATCATTGTTGGAGAGGACAACATCGACGTGACGTAGGAAACCTGCTTTTTCGTATCGGTATGTCGACCATTCTGGTCTGGCTCTTTGGTCTCGACCTGGAGGTGGATTCTCTCGCCTGCTTGCCTCGCTGGGGAATCCCCTCGAATAAACCGGTTCCGTTCCTTTCCTTGCGAATATCTAACATTCCCGCTCGTTGGTCTCCAGCATCAAACTACGGTGAGTGCACGTGTATCATGGCAGTCAGAATCAGGGGACATCGGCGAGGGACTGGCATCGTATCTGAAGGGCACAACGACAATTTGACGCAAGGAACCCGCTTTTCTCCTCGGTATCCCAACCATTTCAACCTGGTTCTTCGGTCTCGACTCGGGGATGGACTGTTCCGCCTCCTCGTCGGTGACTTTCTTTCGAACACAAACCGGTTCTATCCCTGCGAGCATTGAGCATCAAGTATCCCACGACTGCTCTCACGGTGGACAGACTCAGGAGACACTAACATCTCCGCAGAAGACAAGTTGATTTGACGCAAGAAACCGGTCTTGTCCATAGGCAGGGAGCCGTCGCCCTGGATACTCGGTCTCGACTCAGATATAGACCATGCCATCCTCCAACCGGAGAGCTCCCATCATCTACCATCCTGCCGAAACCTGTTTCTGGCAAGAATGAGCATTGAGCATCCCCAGTCCCTCAGATACACCTGTTCCCGAGATCTAGCGTCGACTGATTGTTGTCTGTCAAGATGCTTGTCAGTAAGTGGCTCCACTCACACTAACTCCACAGCAAGGAAATGCATAGCTACCACAACCAGCCTGCATCGATCAACCCTCGATCCAACCCTTGATCAACCTGTCTCGATGTCAACTACAGTACGTTGTTCGTCCTCCGACACAGCCCTCGGGGGCGGCCTCCTGCCAATAACAAGCAGGGCAGACCCAGAAGATCGATAGCAAAGGGAAAGTCGGGAAAGTAGATGTCATATCGAGTATAATTTCCTGTTTTCTAGTCCAAACGGACAAAGACACCTAATAGATTGCAGAGATGGGAAAAGGAAAAAGACACAAGGCCAACACGCCAGACATAATTGTAGTAAATGCATCATATTATTACTCATGCTCACATCACACGTAACCTAAAGAGATGTTATTACGAACCCTTTATCCATATCCCTGACTGGAAACCAACTGAATAGGAAATGAACATACCTTTCCGGGCACCCTGGAAGAAGAAGCGCACAACAAAGACCTGCAACGCCGCCATGGAAACCATCATCAAAGACTCAATAACGCTGAAGTTGAAGATACGGCGCTCGGTACTCCGCACGGTACTAAAATTACGGTTCTCGCGTGTGCGGAAGTACTTCTGGTTGCGGGAGACGGTTGACAGCTGAGCGGAGAGCTTGTAGATGGATTCCTCCAGGCTGGTGGTTTGTTCGGGGCTGGCGCCTTGGCGGGAGGGCAGTTGGGCGCGCTGTTCATTCTCGACCTGGATTTGCGATGGATTAGTATCTGCTGACTTATTTCCATTTCCTCTGTTACATAGACTCGAAGACTGTCGAAGGGACTGGTTTGTTGTGGGGATGGGGATTGTGGCATACCGCAATCTCGAAATCGACCATCTTCTCGGCGAAAGTCGACATCTCGTTGTTGAAGCAAAAGGTGTACTCGCCAACACTCTGGGCAGTGAAGACGAAATCACCCTGGCGCTCCTTTGTTCCGTCTAGGACGATCTTGCCGCCCGGTGCGGTGACGGTGTAGTCGACATCGAAGGATCCGCCGGATTGGACCTGCCGCGTACAATGTTAGCGGGCAGTCTCCATGATGAATGCCTAGTCCATTGAAGAGGACACTCGGGATAAACGCAATATTGTCGGAAAGCCAATTGGACGTACAGCAAAGTAGAATGCCACCTTGGCGTTGCTCTGGTCAACGTTGGTGAAGAAGCATGCTTTCTCATTCGCCTCGAGCTTGTAGGTGAGGGCAGTGGCAGTCACGGAGGAGACGAGGGACGCCAAGCCGGCGAAGAGAGCAAACCGCATTGTGACAGAATTATTTGGTGATGGCGGAGGGTTGACATTCGCGTCAGGAGGTTCTGGCCAGCTTTGACTTCCGGTGTTTGTTTTGTTTGCAGCCAAACAAACTTCCGCATACATCGGTCTGCTGTAGGTACTGTACACATATTACACATGAGTAACCGAACTCAGAGACATCATATAGACTGTATTGTCTTCTACGTGGGCTGGCTACATAAAAGCTTACGCAAAGACAAAGGAAAGAGACATGATCATCACATCAGACCGTTGCTGCTCATGTACCGGATCGCAGCTTTCAGCCCTCCCCCAACTCGTAAACCCCAGCGCCATGAAGAAAGTATGGAATAATGACTTCTTTACCGAATGAAGAACCCTTCACTTTTGCCCCAGAAGCTCCGGCTCTTGTTGGCGTGGTCAAGACCCAGGAAGTCATCGGGGCCGCTTGCGACGTCTGACAGGATATCGCCTGGAAGATGTTAGTATTAATGCATGAGATTGAGAAGTATAGTGACTCACCATCTTCGAGATATTTCGCATTTGAGAATGACGCCCGGGGAACAACAGCGAACTTGATCTTCTCGAAGTTCTTGCCCTTGATCTGCGTCCGGGCAGAAAGCCGTTTCTTTGTCTCGGCGAAGAGTTCGCCCTGTTCCTGGTCAGTATTCTGGCTGGTTAATTAAAACGAACGAAGAACATACCGGCTTGACAACAAACTTGAAGGGAATGCCGTGTGTGCGGTTCGGCTCGCGGTCGAAGCTGAACACGCTGATAACCCGGTCCTCCGGCTCGAGGTTCAATTCCTCGGCCGGGATCTTCTCAGCGCACAGCGTGGCGTAGTCATTGATGGCTGAAATATTCTGGTCATCCCGAAGCTCCTTGTACTGTTTTCCACCGTGAGTTTCAGCGACGCGGATCGCCTCGTCACCGAGGTCCAACTTTTGCTGCAGGGCAGCTAGGAGATCGGACACAGTGCCGCTGCGAGAAACCAAAACCTCGACATTTTCCTATTCTCATGTTAGTCACAGGTCGGCACAGGCCTAGCTGCGAAAGGATAGAACGAACCTCTTTGGTAACTCCATCAGGGAGCCATGTCACCTTGAGCAATTTCTTGCTCTCATAATCACTCAGGGCCATATCGAGAACCTCGTAGTATAAAGCATCTGCGCGGTGCATGGTGTAACCATAAGCACCGTATTGACCATTGAGGATTTGAGACAGATTCTGGTTGATGGTCCGCTTGAAGAAAGGCTTGGCCTTGCCAGTGCTGGCCATGACGGGGGCGAACCGCAGATGTGTAGGCTCCACCTTGAGGTGCTCGGCAACCTTCTTGGAGAATTGATCGTAGGTCATCTTGCGGCTGAGAGTCAAAGTGAACTCGTCACCTTCATTGGCCTTGATTGGGGCGAATGTGACATCCATGCGGTTCAGCAAGTAATCGTAGAACTGGCGAGCATCCGTGTATAGTGCCGTAGGAGGCAGATCTGACTCCTTCACTGTGCGCTGGAAAGTGATGATGTCGCCATCTTGAATCTCGGATTGCTGGAAAGTCGGCTTGGGCTTCATGAGGTCGATCATGTTGTGTTTGATCTCTTCAAAGAGCAAGAAATCGGTACCGGCCGGCCAATTCATCCTGGAAAGAATCGTCGAGGCAAGTTCGATCACTTTTTGGCTCTTGCGGACATAGACAGATCCCACACCAGACAAAGTTTGGGTCACCACATCAAAGTTCTTCAGGAAAATAAGGATCGATTCGCTGTCGGACCACGCTTTTTCATCGGCAGGAGACGACGCCACCTCCATCCACAACCGGAAGAGATTGCCCTTGGTGCCGAATTTGTTATACGCCTCTTCAAGAGTCACTTCTTGATCACGGATTACCTGATCAGGCCGGGTGGTTTTGTTTTGGCGGTTGACCATTACCCAGAATCGAATTGATTCCGGCTTGATACCCCGTTCCTCAGCAATTTCTTGTGCAAATTCCTTCACTTTCTTGGCTCGAAGAGTGCGGTACTGCTTAGGAACTGCTGGGTCCTCCGCGGGCAAGTCTGGGCTGGTCAGATCAAAACCGTGGTGTGATTTGAACGTGTCGTCAGTCAAAACACCGACGTTCATGTAAAGATGCGCCTCTTCCCTCTCCTTCTTGCGACGCGCCATCTCCACTCGGTCCTCGGATAGACGCTTTTCAATGTGATCGGGCACATCATCCTTTGTGACCGGGAAGAAAACGTCATCCTGTCTCGTCTTTCGAACGTAGACCAGCATGTAAGCGTTGTTTGTGCGAATGGCAGACCGGCCTCCAGTCGCTCCGTTCGTGCGCTGCTGGGAGTCGCCGTAGTTCTCATCCAGGACTTCCTTGTCAGTAGCGCGGTTGACTCGGTCATCATCGAAGCGGTACCAGTGGCCATCCTTGCTGGGCTTGATGAAGGCATAGTAATGCCCGGCATCCAGGTTACCACTGTGAACGAGGACTCCGTGCAATTGGTAAACCCAAGACTCCGACCTGTCAGCACCCTCGGAAAGATAAGGAGCGGCATCAAATTCCATGGGGAATGTGTGAAGATCGTTGACCTTGGCCATCATATCCAAGTTGAGGTCGTACTCGAAACGTTTGAGGTGAAGGTGCAAAACTGGAGGGAAGCTCTCGAAAATGACGCCCTTCTTGGCGTCTTGCAGACCATACGGCTGCCCGGCGTCGTACTTGTTCTCTCCCTCAAGAGTCTCGACCTGGATGTAATCTCTGAAACTGTCGTCTAGGGTCTTGTTGCCTCGAACGTTAAGCTGAATGTCCCAGAAATCCTCCACGCGAGAAGACTCGTAGTCAACGTTAATGCAGGAGATATATGTTTTTGTTTTTCCCACGAACAGATCTGGCAGAACCTTCTCGGCTACAGTGCCCTTCATCTTGTGCTCCAATCGCTCCATGAGCTTTCGCGAGAGCTCCTGTACATCCTGCTGTTCAAAGATCTGGCTAGATTGCCAACCGAAAGACGCTGTGAGCTCGGTAGTCGAGACTGCAGTGTCGCTGGTCTGCAAGTTATAGAACAATCTCTGAAGCGCCCAGGCGCTGTTCTCCCGCGAAGCTTCCTGATCAGTCGGTATTTGATAAACAGCCTAGATATTGGTCAGACTCATCAAGCGCATTCCAGACTAGTTTTCTTACCTTGCGGAAAGCGTTTGTGAAGTAAAGCGACTGCAAAAGTGAGTTGAGATAGCAGGTAGCTCCCTGGTTTCTCAAACCAACCATTCCAGTCTCCTTCTTCGAGTCATAACTAAGAAAAGGTGAGCCTCTTGTATTGCCGAGATTCTGGAAAAAAACGCACTTCTGGAAACTATGCCACAAAACACCCGTGGGATCTTTCACCACTCGGACGTAGGCTGTGACATTGGCCTCGTCGTCCTGGACCAGCGGGACAGATTTGCCTTCCCACGCATCGGCAAACAGACTTCGGAGATCGTAGAATCGGGTGAAACCCCAGTCACCTTCCTCGGCGGTGAAACGGTGGGTTGCAACTAAAGTTTATATTAATCTTGCTACTCAATTTCTCCAAGACTCAAACTTCTTACCGTGATGCACGTAAATCGAAGGATCGTTCACGTTCGAGAGAACAAGAGCGAATTGCACACAGGCGTACCAGCCCTCCGGGGGCTCTCCCTCCCACGCATGTTCGAGGTAGAACGAGGCATGTTCGGCGTGGTTACCGTAAGGGAAGAACAGAATGCGCCTATTCACGAGTCAGAGCCAATGTCGGTATAGAGCCTCTCCGGCCAAGAGATTTCAAGCACCCACCAAGGCGAGCCACCACACTGGAAGACCGGGCCGTGAGACTTCTTCTCCATCTTCCGCCAATCGGATAGACGCCATGTATTATAAGCTTCATCTTGCGTTTCGAGATCGGTGTTCTTGGGGAGGACCCGGGCCATCATCGCCGCATCTATTTCCATCGGAGGCTCTTGGTTAGCTACCATGTCGATTTACAGTGTAACCAAACAAACAGAGCGAGAGAAGTGTGACGGAGGGACCTCATCTGGGCGCCCCTCGGTCGCTTTGTGTCCCAACCTAGACACACTCGCTTATGTTTGTCTGCTTTGGCTGGGAAGGGGAAGCAACAAAGAACGTACGGTCATCGGCAGTTGGCGTCGAGTCGGGCTCGTCGGAGGCAGACCGAGACACGACGACGACATCGGTCTTTTCGGCGGGATACTGCTCATAGTCGTCGACAAGCATGTCGTTCTCCGCGAGCTGTTGGCAGGGTTAGCGCAATGACGACACTGAGGGGCACGGTCGCTCACGTTTTCCATCGCGGAAAGCGGCTTCCCGACCAGTCGGCTTGAATACGAGGATTTTTAGGAGAAAGTAAAGAAGAAAGGAAGAATAGTACAGAGTGGTGGAGGATGCTGAACCTGCAGAACTAATAAGAGCCGGAGCTAACGGTGGCGGAGCGAGGACTCGGCAGTATCAGTGGACCTTCGTTCTTATACAAAGAGAGCAAAAGAGCTCGATTGCAAGGTTGTTTGTAGTATTTCTATATTTATCTTATATGGTGACTTTACAATTACTCTATTTCTACAGTAAACAGGTGTGTAAGTAGTAACCTAGGCGAGTTAGATGTCTTGGGGATGTTGCGAGTATCAGTGGACCCTTTCAAATCAAGGTATGGGGGTATATAAAGCCCTAATCCTGATCTCCTAGTACATGCCTAGCTATAGCCAAGCCCATAGGCAAGACTATAATATCACTTGTGCGTTTGGATCCTCTGCAAATACCAGCCCCCTCAGATCCTCATCGGCTAGCTCAACCTTGTGCAGCTCTTGATCCGAGGCTAATAGCAGTAGCCCTAGGATTACTCTCCACGGTCAAGTGAATAAATACCACTAAACAGTAAGATGTAACGTGTGAGCTCACAAATATAAAGAATATAAGAATCCAAACAAACAAGCAGAAATGCCCCAAAGATCCCCAGTGTGGCACGTCACATGCAGAGAATGCCTCACCGCCCGAGACCCCAAAATCTGGAGATGCGATAGAACACTTGGAGATACTCTTTTGCATGGAGCACAATGCGGTCGAGTTACTCAGCTCGGAGCTGGAATGTACTCCAGTCTCTACCAATACGATGCTACTCAGGAGCCCACAGCCCGCCACCCTGGCGGCCAGTTTCTGCTGTCGATGAGTACGCATGACTCAAGACCTTCTCGGAAACGTATCCCTGGAGTAATGCTGACGCTGTATGTTTGAATAGGTGGGCTGAGCGAGCTATTCGCCCTATCAGTCTGCGACAGTTGACCTTTTTTGGTCGTACCTTGACCGAACCGCGCCTCATTAGCTCGGCGAACTACGTGCGGACGGAGCTACCAACTCGGTATGTCGTGGGAAACACCAGAGGAGATATGTGGGAGCTAACTGGGTGGCGGAACAGCCTTGCGCATCGCCTGCGAGATATCCAACAGCTGCCCTATGTGGTGGTTGCCAACCCGCATCTCACCCTCGTGTATGAATTGTACTACAAAGCGTTTGAGACGGTTCGGGTAGTGCCTGAAATTCGCAGCCTCGAAGATAATGATCGTTTCTGTGATATCCTTCGGGGAATGCTCAAGGAGCATTTGGTCGCGATTCCCAACCTAGCTATGGGCGTATTGGAGTGCCGCAATCTCGCCCCCGCAGATGAGATGGATAGGTTGATGAACACGCTTCTGCGAGCGGTATGTGCATATGATCCTGGCTCGAGCTGCTATTGAACTGACACGATTGGATCATGATAGAGAATCTCCCGTCGAGTCATCGCTGAGCAGCACCTAGCTCTGACCGAGACGTTCAACTCACCATGGCATTTCCCTGATTCACACGATCGAACCGATATGAACGCCGATTTCGTGGGAGAAGTGTTCCTCAAGTGCAAAGCGAAGGAGGTGGTCGAACGATGTGGAAGGGTTGCACAAGAGCTGATGCGCAAGAGCACGGAGTCGACTCAGATACCTGCCATCACCGTCCAAGGCCATGTGGACGCCACTTTCCCGTACATCCTCAGTCATCTGGAATATATCATCGGAGAGCTTCTCCGCAACTCCGTGCAAGCAGTCATGGAGAAATATCAGCATTCATCACAACCCCCGCCTCCCATCGAAGTGCTCGTGTGCGAGACTCCGCAGCATGTAATAATGCGCATCTCAGACCAGGGAGGCGGAATCCCACGAGAGATCCTCCCATATCTTTGGTCGTTCAGCAAGGGGCCTCGCACCCAGTCCCGGCTGGAAAACCTCGGCCAAGTCCCTGCAATGGCGGCTACAATGCAGGAGCTGCAGGTGTCACACGAGCGCAAACAGGCCGACCGGGAATCATACCACGAAGGATCCCTGGACACCCTGACGTCACGGCCGCCCAATCTCCGTCTGGGCATGGGTTTGCCTATGAGTCGGGTGTATGCTGAGTACTGGGCGGGCAGTCTAGAGCTGCATAGTCTGGAGGGGTACGGTGTGGATGCCTTCCTGCAGATCTCAAAGCTTGGCAACAAGAACGAGCAAGTTACCACTCGAGCGGCAATTGATGCGGTATGATGTGGACAAGGAGTCCCAGTACCTCTAGTACTTGCCTATCTATGTACTCTGTACTGCCCTGTGTATCCTGTACCTGCACCGCCACATACGCCACAACCCGGAATGACGTCAGCATCCCCGATCGACGTTTGGGCAGCGAATGAAATGCCTCAGCCAACTTTCAGCCCTACACGAGTTGGACGACCATGAAACGCATTAACTCCCCTGCCGATGACAGCATCCTATTTATATCTTCCTTCTCCTCTTCGCAATCCTCTTCCTCAGTTTTCTGGCTACTACCCAGGTCAAGCGATCCCCCAAATCTCAACAATATACCGAACCTACAACCACCACCATGGCAGGCACTTGCTCGATGCTCTGTTTGATCGTCATCACATTATTCAGTAAGTGGTCTGAGACTACTTTGTGTTTCTGCCTGGAATTACCCCTCAAAAAAGACACGTTATGGTCAATTCTCTTGCCGGCCTCCACCCCAGAAATGACAAGAACCAGAACTAACAACCACCAGTTCCTCCCCTGGGAGTTTTCCTCATCTCAGGCTGCGGCGTCGACTTCTGGATCAACGTCCTCCTCACTATCCTCGGGTGAGTCCATTATTAAACGAACTCAAACCGGCCAGATTTAAAAACTAATCGGTGACTTCTGACAGCTACTTCCCCGGTCACATCCATGCCTTCTACCTAGAATACGTCTACTACGACCGCCGCAACCGCGATCCCCTAACTCGGACCGCCCAACGACCAGCCCCTGGTGTCTACTCTACTCGCATCCAAAACGGAGGTCATCATGCGCATTCCCCGACACATGCTCCTGCCGATAGGGGCTACGGTACTATGTGATTTCTGCAATCACCCGAGACCCGTTGTTGAGCTCTCTCGACAACGAAACCGCTCTTTTTGAACATTCTCAGCGAATAGTTATTGTCAGGTCTCTTCATAGCGTCCGCCCTTGTTTCTCGGGATTGACTCTTCTTCTCGTGCAAGCAATGAAATAACAAGGACTAAATCCAATTCTTAATGGCTCGATTCTATATCCTCGTATCTTACTCGAAATGTAATAGATGACTGGGTCACGGCCAAACATTACCAAAGAAGACCATACACCATACACCATACACCTATGGACTCTCCTTCACCTTGGCCTCAGCAGCAGCCTTCTTATTCCCCTTCAACTCGGGGAAATCAAAAGCCTCACTGGAAATAATAGTCCCAGCGGTACGCGGCACAGCCCCAGTGTTAGGAGCCCACCACAAAGCCCCAACCCAAGGCTGAACATTCCACCCAACATGTAACGTCACATTCTGACGCTCAGCAAGTCTCCCCGTAATATCACTAATCTGATACTTGCCCTTCTGACCCCGTAACCGAAGAAGACCAGGCGTCACCGGCTCATCATTCTTCTTCTTATTCTTAGCAGCCGCGGTCTTAGAAGTAGACTTCCCAGCACCAGCGCGCTTCTTAATGCGCCGCTTAGCAGCCGCCGCCGAAGGAGTGATTGATTCTGGCACGCGGGCAAGGATTTCGTCTTTCAGGATATCCCAGGAATAGGGCGAGGGCGCGGCCTCAATGATCGTGTCCCAGATTATGGCTTCGGAGTTGCGGACTTGCGAGTTTGGTTTGTCGGAGGAGGAGTAGCTGGCATAGACGTAGACGAAGAGTTGTTTTGTGTTCCAGTTGAAGAGGGGACTTAGGTCTGCGTCTAGGTCGAACCGGAGCTGGGCATATTCTTCGCGTTTGGTGGAGTAGTAGTGTGGTCTGCCTTTGACGCTGTTGTTTGGGAATTGGAGGTTAGTAAATTGGACTTCTTCTTCCCGTTTCTAATAGTACCGATGTGTATACGTGTAGAGAGGGTCGGTTGGGGGCCGAGTCGCGAACTTACACTTGTACGTTCTTCAGCTGTACTGAGGCCGTGGCGGCATCTGCTGGGAAGAGCAGCACTGACACTGCGGCCAGTGCACTCACCACCAGTGCGACAGTGGTAAAGAATCCGAAGACGGACTGTACGCGGTTCAAGGAGGAATGCATTGTTGATGGAGGAAGAGAAGGGCGGATGAAGCCAGCTGGGCCTGTTTGTCCTTATCGATAAGGGACTATATCTATACCGTCACTGCTTCTTCTCTCTATCTCTCTCTCTCGCTTGTATATATGTTTTTCGCTTCTCTTTCTCTTTCTCTTTTCTATCCCTTCATCTCACCGATTTATCATCTTCTCTTCTCCAAAGAGTCCCATCTCATCAATCACACATCCCGACAACCCAGCGCAACCCTCACCCCTCACCTGTCAAAATGGGAGACAACACCCTCTTCTTCTATGGTAAGACCCAATAACCCAGAATAAAGCTATTCGAACCAACACCAAGCTCGCCAGGGACCCTAATGGCCCCACAAGTCCTCTATCGAGTAATCCACGGCCAAGCAAACCCAGAGCCCTGGCAAAAAGCCATGCTAAGCTTCCAACCCGCAATCCTATACGGCTACCGACGCCATCGCGTGCGGTTTGCCGATTACCCAGGGATAGTACCGGTGACCGGTACAGAGTCAGACAACAAGCCATCAACTCCATCAGCTTCATCAGCATCATCTGCAGCTCCAACATCAACCCACAACACAGTTCTAGGAATCCTCGTGACAGGCCTAACAGAAGGTGATATCCACCGCCTCGACAAATTCGAAGGATCAGAGTATACACATAGAAAAGTCACCGTGCGGACCTTGCGCACGGTCAAGCACGCAGAGGCCGGAGAGGCAAGAGATACTCTCAACGATGGTGGCGAAGAGCATTTGAAGGATGTTTTGGATGCGGCTAGTGCCGAGAATACGTCTACGACTGAAGGCGAGGAAGTGGATGCTATGACATATGAGTGGATTGGTGGGACGACTCGGCTTGAAGAGGCCGAGTGGGATTTTGAGACGTTTAAGAAGGAGAGGATGGCTTGGTGGGTTGGGGCGGACGAGAGTGAGTGGTAGAGACGTTATGGAATGGGGGTTGCTGGAGAATGAATGGGATTTTGGGGGTATTTGCAAGATAGCTCAGACTAGAACTAGAACTAGAACCGGAACTGGGGCTCGAACTCGAACTTGAAAATACCCGTGAACATGAAATGTATTTCAATGCAGACTGTGGTATCTCATGCCTTCCACTCAAACAACAGTTAAAACCGAAACCGAAATCTCAAGTGAAGGAGCCTTAACAAACGCCAACAACTGAAATACCACGACGAACCCGGTATTAATGCTAAAACCAAATCAGAAAAAGAAAAAGAAAGAAAAAGCGTGAATGCATATGCATATGCTAAATGACCGAAGTCTGTACTCGGCCGAAAAAATGTATTCAATAAAAGACCCTATTAGACAAGAAATGGGAAATGAAAACATTCATCCCTTGCGCGAAGGACCCCGTGGACTCCGTCGTACCCGTTCCACTGACGTTCGTGGGGGTGTGCCTGGAACTTGATGTTCTTCTTGGCTATCAGGGACTTGAATGACCGGTTCTTCATTAGCAGGCGAAGAGCGGGCACTTCGCTCCTTTGGGGGTTTGAGGTGTTTGATGGGAGTTGCTGGTTTGGGGGCTGATCTTGTGAGAGGGACCATCTCAACCTGGTCCAGACTTGAGTCTTCGCTCTCCTGGTCTTCTGTCTTTCGGGTTGTACGGGGTTTGACTTCCACGGTTACAAAGTCCTTTGGTTTCTTGGGCTGCTGTTGAAGCTGTGACTCGGGGATCTCCTCCTCTTTTTCAGTCTTCTCTTGAGCTGCTAGAGGAGGGCCTAGCAGGAAAGAGATTGGCTGTCGATCCGCCATGACCTGCGCAGGTTCGGCCTTGTATTTGTTGGCTTGTCTCTGTTCGTCGTAAAGCTCATCGAGGAAATCGCGAAGGCGCCGGCGTAGGAGACCCGAGCCCAAAGGAGGGAAGTCGAGATGAGAATCCATATCACGCTGGAGTGTTTTTGTGATGAAGTCATCAGGGTTCTGGACAAACTTCTCCAAATAGGCAAGCAGGTAAAGGCCGCAGTCGGAAAAGTTTGGCTGAAGAGGGATTTGACGTGCGCACATGCCCTTGATTGTCTTCGTATCGATTTCCACGCCACGCTTAGCCGTTGCTTCGCGGCAGATGTAGTCTTTGAGCATTCTAACAGTAGTGCTGCGGCCGATGCCGAGAGAATCGAATGTGATAATGGAGGTCTGGCTGGGACTCAACCTGGGTCCTTTCCGTGTTTTCTTCTCGGGCTTGCTCGCTGATTTGGTTGCTCTAGTCTGATCAATGGTGAGCTTCTGAGGCGGAGGAGTGAAGAACTTTGTGACTGGAGCAGTAGGAGCTTCGTCGGGTTCCGGCCAAGAGTCTTCGGCAGATTGCTGGTCCTCTGACTTGTTCCCAATCGAAAGGAAAGAAAACGACTTCCGGGTTTCACTTTCCTTCGAACGTCTCTTAGACGCCGATTTAGATGATTCGTCAGAGGTAGCTTCGGATGCCTGTTCCGGTTCAGGAGTTTCGCGTATTTCTTCCACCTCATTATGGGGCTTGGGAGATTCCTTGCTGTTTGCAGGTGGTTGGGCCGGCTCCGCAGGGTCCGCAGACTCGAGAGCCAAACTTGGCAAGTTGCAAATGATAGCAACATACCAATGAGCGTTCTCATTAATGGGAACGACAACATAGTCATACGTGAAAAGATCAACAGCGCGAGTCCACTTCTCCACACCACCGTAGTTGACTCCGCGCTCACCTCGAGCAGTGTTTGTGAGGGTTGCAAAGAAGTAAGAATTGAAAAAGTAGATCCGCTCGGCCGCCTTCTTGTTGGTACGCTCAAGATGATCCTGAATGAAACGCATATAGAATGCGATAAGGTTGTCGTTCAAGAACTCGTCTGGAAGAAGTCGGTCACGGTCATCAAGGTTGACCTCAGCTTTCTTCTTCCCGTTTCGGGGATAAACCAAAGATTTCTTCCACTTGTCGCGGCCGGTATCATTTTTGAGATACGCAGCTTCTTTGCCGGAGTCTTCGCCATCATGTTGGTCGTTCTTTTTCGGCGCACGACGTGCCGAAGATCGAGTCTCTCGTTCGGGTGGGTCATTGATAGCCTTGAAAGGTCTCACGGGAATCTCGACTCCGGCGTCGGCGTCGGTATCAGGGCAATCTTTCTTGTCTTCCGACTTATTTCTGGACTCGATATTGCCATCCGTCCATTTCGAAGATGGCTTGCTATCACGCTTCTCTTCAAGTAACGACTCATCCCCAAACTCGCCATTTGCATCCTGCAAAAAGTCTGAGATCTTTCGTCGTGGGGTTGAGGTCACCTTAGGCACAGGAGCAGGATCTTCCGTGTGATCATCGAAAACAGTGTTCTTGGACGGGGTGCCACACTGTGCCACATCCTTTTCATGTCTTGCAAACGCCTTGTCCATCCATTTCCTATTTGCATGTTAACAGATGAACCTTGAGAATAAGCCTCGAACATTAAAACATACATGTCTCTTTCAAGGACAGTAACATTGGCGACCTGCAACCTTGTGATCAAAGCAGTCTTCTGGGGTTTAGTCGAAAACTCGATGTCTAATATTTGGCCAGCCCCGGTAGAACCCTGCGAAAGCTTGATTCTAACTTTTCGGCTTGGGTCCTCGCCAGAAAAGACTTGACGAACATGTCTGAAAAGAATCTGTATGTCGCTACCACTGTCAAGTAAATATCCGGAGATATAAAGTCCATCTGGTCCCATATGTAAAGTAGCAGTCTCTTCTTTCGTGCATGATTTGGTAAATGGTCCAATTCGAAAAAAGGACACTTGCAACGGAATGCGAATATCAGCGTTCTTGTGAGAGCGCTTAGTCCGCTTCGGACCTTGCTGTGGTGATCCGGTGAAGTCAGTAGATCGAATGTCGGTGGGTGAGCGTTTCCGACGAGGAGTTTCAACCCGGTCTTCGTTTTTGCGTGCGTGGGTGTAGTTAATAATGGTCGCCCAGGACTTGGGCAATGGCTGAGTCGTAACATCACCTTGAAGTTCGTCCGGACTTTCAGGGTCAGATCGACGAGCTGTCTCAGAAGAAATCGTGGATCGGTCACCGGCAGGCTTCGTTGAACCTTCAATCCCGTTCAGCAGAAGGGACCTCGAGGCCCGATCTGGATCACCATTGGCTTTAGATAGGGAATTCAGGACGTCAGACCGACTGCGGCGTTGCTGCGTGGCAATTTTCGAGAAGCTTTCAATTTGAGATACCCGAGAAGAGCCGCGAGCATCTCGAGCGCGACGAGGACTGCGCGACAACATATTCTCTGTGTCTCTGAACTCGTCGATCTCCATTGCACGATACTTGTCTTTGGACTTGGAGGGAGCGAGTGGTGAAGTACGAGGTGAGCGATTTCTGATCGAGTCCGTTGCGCTCATATCATCATTTACAAGATCAATCGGGTCACTTTGTCGTCGCCTCTTATTCGGTCGATTAGATTCCTCAAATGCATCATCCAGATGAGAGGATTGCTTTGCGGTCGAATTCTGCTTATTTGATTTCCCTTGGGCGCGGACAGGTCCACTCGTTCGTCCATTGTGCGAGCGCGAGATATGGTCCATAGGGGAGAACCCGAAGCTAGCCTGCGAGTAACACATCAGACAAAAGGCCACACCCATAAATAAATTCGTAGAAACTCACCCCCGGCTTTTTGTTCTTCGGTAACGTTTGCCCAGGTGTGATCTTAACCCCGTTCTGAGCGTCCCTTTCAAAAACCACCTGTCAGCAACAATATTCCAATTCGCATAACGTTCAATCGCATAACATACCTGGTGTACGTCCCTCCCAATAAGCGGACCTCATCTTTTCGATCTTGGGAATTGGCCCGCTTATCCTTGTTCACCATCTGCGGCGACTGGCCCAGCCTGGGGAAGGGTAGTTTTGTAAGTCTTTGCCTGGCGGCGGGGTGTGGCATGGGGAGCATGATCTAACCAGGTGCCGAGCGCTAGAAAAGGCTGCGAATTCCGCTCGCGAAGTCGTTCGCGTGCAATTGGGGATCCAGATTGAGAGGGGAATGTATCGACATAACTATGAAGCGCCTGCGTATATTGGATTAGTTTCAAGATAGACGAGGCAAGTCAAGAACACGAATGATAAGCGACACGAGCCGCGCTGAAAGGAGAAAAGTGACCGGCGTGGCGCGGCGCAGTGCTTCGGCTTTGGTTCGCGTATCAAAAGGAAACCTGTTGCAAAAGCAAACATCGGCGAGACGGGTAGATACGCACCTCTGGATGTGTAGAGGGAGGAACGTCCCCGCCGGCGGTCACTTCACTGGGATAGGTGTCGTCGTCGGATCCGGAATTGAAGGGGTTGCGAGAGAGTTGGGCACGTCGAGTGCGAGGAGGAGGGGTCGTGGTTGGTCCACGCTGGACTGCAGACCGTTGATCTTGGGGCTGTCGGCGCGGCGACAGAGCAGTGACGAAGTCGGACAGGCTTTCAAACCAAGGCATCAAGACAGCCGCAGGATCATGGCAGTCTGCGTCGCACAGATTCCATGCCAGTTGAGTAATCCCGTTATCTTTCTTTTTTCTTTCTCCATTGCTGGGACCAAAGCATGCCGCATCGTCATGGCCAGGGCGGTGAGAATTTCTCAACGCCTGAGGATTCAGGCGCCAACTTTATAGTTAAGTTAATATCGGACCCGAAGTATAGTTACTTCGTATACGACGAGGGATCGTTCATTGTGACATGCTTTATGCTGAAATGGCGATTGGGCTGGGCCGGTACCTCGCCGGCGCTGGATGAACTACAACCAAGGCAAGTTCAGCTCCCTAAAAAAGGGAGATATCGCACCATGACGCTTACAAGGAACAAATAGGGAAATATAGGTTACTCTCCGGTGAGAAAAGCATTAGCAGCTGACGCTGCATCATGTTGCATACAAAAAGGGAAACATCACGCATAAGCTCGGCAAAACAAAAAGAAGAAGCATATCACAGATGAGTTCACTCAAGACATAAATCAAATCAAACCGCTGAGTTCGCCTCGATGCCCCACCGCCCCTAAGACCCAAACGCGTCCCAATGATTCGTGAATGAAGGTTTTTTTTTCGGGTTTACTATACAGGGCCCAAGGCCAGGCTGGGATCTCAGATCCATTCACAGGGCCATAGCCTTGACTTTGTCGGAATCGTCAGTGCCTGTGCGCCGCCGTTCATGGTGAGTGGGAGCGGTAGCTTTTTCTTGGCGGGCCTGATCGATTGCTGAGCGCTGTGCAATGCTGTCATCGTGGCTCTTCCAGATGATGTTGGTGTCTGCGGGGAATGCTAGGAGGCGCTTGATCGTTTCTCTACATGAACGTTAGATATGGTAGTTGGGACTTTGTAAAACAGCAAATCATACCTGATCTTGATGTTGCGCCCACCGTCAATTCTTGTCCAGACACTCAACACATCTTCGCCGCCCCGAACGCTCAGCACGGCGCCGCAGACTTCGTCTCCAGCCTCCGCGAACTGATCACCAACCATGGCCAAAAGTAAATCCTCCCAGTAGCGGTCAGACACACCCTTCTTAAAACGCACGATCCACTTGCCACCCCGCTTATTGGCCTCATCCTCCCAAACAGGACGGATACCCTTCTTAAAGATATGGTAGTCGGAAACAGTTGGAAGAAGAGATGGGCGCTTAAGGTGAGAATAGACTGCCCAGAAACTCTCTACCGAGGATATGGAAGCAAGCGGGACGGTGGACTTCTCGTAGTCGGAGTATTTGGGAGTAGGAGGGCGGTACCAGACGATCCACGTCGACTTGAGGGGGTGCTCACCAGGAGCAGAGACAGAGCCGTCAAAAACCTTTTGTCGTAGAGCTTCGTCATGATCCAAGACCTCCCGGCGTTCTCCGGGTGTTTTCAACTCAGAGCCACCGGGAGTCTTGGGAGCACCGAATGAGGCGAATGCGCCAGATCCGAGACCGAAGGCGGAGGAGGCATTGGTGGATGGCGAGGAGACACCGCCGGATAGCGGGGATATTGCGTTAAAGGGATTCGAGCGACCATGCGAGCTGTCCGGCCCGAAGCGTTTCGATGCGCGGGGCATTTCAACCCGAGCGCCACCGTCTTTGCCTTCCGTACCGGACATTGAAAGTGACAACTTTGAGGAACTGAGGGTGGAAGAGAAGAAGCTTGGTCAGTGACCATGTTCCCCCAGCCGGAGGAGGGGCACTTACTTTGCCCGACGGGTCCACAGGTTTGCATTATCCATCGCGGCGGGTGAGAAGTCTGCCCGAGACACGAGCGGTCATCAGGGGGAGAGAAGAGAGTCCGATATATCCGTTACACAAAGATGAGACGCCCGCGCTATGATCTTAGTGACGTAGGGTGGTAGGGTTTAGGCTCGGATGATTCTGCGCAGGAATTCGGCGGAGGGAGAAACGGGTATGAATGCGTGAAGGTGGTATTGAGTAAAGATAGGGAATAGGAAAAGGAGAGAGGAGAAAAATAGACAGGGTATCGAGTGTAGGTATGTAGTTCAGATGAGTGCAAAGAGGGAAAAGTGTCGCTGAATCGGAGACTCGACCTGGGCAGCTTCCACCCAATCACAGCCGCTTTCGCCTGCAGTGCCCGCACCGTCTTTTTTCCTTTTTTCCCTTTTTCTTCGCGCGATTTTCTTCTTTTTCTTCTTTTCTTCTCCAAGACCACCAACTCAAATCAACGCTGGCGACTCATCCTTTTACAGCTCTGGCGTTTCCGATGTGTGTGTCGAGATCAAATGAATCGCATCTAAAACCATCATCACGAGGGCTTTATAGCTACCCATGAAGCGTTGATGACCTGATTGACGGCACATTTCTTGACTATGTTATTTCTTTGTTTTTATTCCAGTACGTGTGCAGATAGTCCAATCCGATGTCTCTGTTATATGAAGAAAAACTCGAGCTCTCTGGTAATCCGAGGTCTCAACCGCCTTTTTACACCTGGCCTGATGGCCTGGGCTGGTTGAGCGTGCGGTAAACAGGCAAAGTCTGATTGTCCGGAATATGCTATGCAGTAGCTGTTGTCAATTGGAAGAATTAGACTAACCAGTCATGCAGCTTACGTAGGATTCTCCACAGTCAAAACAACCCTGTCAGTGTGTTTAGGTTCTGTCACTTCAGCCCCTACTGATGCCACCCGTACCATCTACCATCTACCATCCACCATCCACCACCCACCTACTCTAGCAGTACACCCTTTGAAATGAATATAAATAAAGTAAATTTTAATTTGAAGGTTTATGCTCAATGGGCAATAAGTAACAAGCAAGCCCAAGTCCCGAATAGTGAATCCCGTAAACATAAATGCAAACCATTCCACCTGCCAGGTCCGATGCAGTTCAAAAGCAAAGAAGGAAACATTAAAAAAGATATCACTCGTCACCCGTGCGACGAGCCATGGCCACTTGTATCTTGCCTCGTGCGCTTGGGATCCCGATCACTGCTCGTCACCGAAGCTTCGGCCTTGCGCTTGTCGCGGTCCTTTTGGTTCTGGTATTCCACGCGTCGAGCTTCCTTGCGGAGGGCCTTGGATTCAAACTCGTGCCAGTCTCCTTCAACATGCTCCAATCTGAAAATGAGGTTAGTAGGTGTATCAACAAGGCATGTGGATTGGGGATACGTACTCAATCGGTGGGTGAGGGGTTGGTTCCTCCGATACGAAGTAGGGATGTTTGAGGACATCTTCGGCACTAGGCCGTTGAGCGGGATCATAGCGGAAGACGGAAGAGATAAGGTCCATGGCACCAGATGTCAGCACATCACGGTAAACATCCTCGAAAACGCGCTTCTTGCGTTCGGCTGGTCGCATGAGGTGGAACCATGGCATCTCCACGAGATCTGGCCATTCGGTCTTCGTGGGAGTACCCAAAAGATTGTAGAGCTTGTCCATCTGGCTCAGTTCGCCACCTTCGCCGGGGAACACAGCCTTCTTGGTGAACATCTCCATGCAGACACATGCAGCACTCCACACATCCACGGCTGGGCCGTATCGGGTCTCACCAAGAAGTAGTTCAGGGGGACGGTACCAGATGGTAATGACGCGGTTGGTGTAGTCGAGTTGGCGACTTTTGGAGAAGAATCGGGCCAGACCAAAGTCGGCAAACTTCAACAATCCTCGATTACTGATCAGGATGTTGGCAGCTTTGATATCTCGGTGGAGGACACCACGGTGATGAAGGTAATTCAGACCTTCAAACATCTGTTTGGCAAGATCCTTCTTGTGGGCGAGTGTGAGGGAGAAAGTAGGGTGGTTGATGAGACCAGTTAGATCGTGGGACAAATATTCGAAGACCATGAAACATTCGTTCTTTTCGACCATAACCTCGAGAAGGTTGACGACGTTGTGATTTCTGAGATGTTGTAGCAACTTTATCTCTCGCACCGCTGTGACGGGGAAACCGTCTTTTTCACCTTCCATTCGGATTTTCTTGAGCGCAACCTGCCGCTGGGTGTAGACATGGATTCCCTTGAACACTTTGCCATAGGTACCGGCACCGATGACAGACTCATTGCCCGGCTTTCGGAAGTAAACAGAATCAGAATCGGCAAACTCCTTAGGAATTGTGGGTGGAGGTTTAGGGCGAGTGAGGATTCGTTTCTGCTTGGGTGCCTCTCTCACGGGCTCTGGAGACGGTTCACGGCGACGATCTGGTCCAGGAGGTCGATCACCTGGCCGTCTATCACGGCGTTGATCAAACCGGCGATCATCTCTTCGGTCTCGCGGGTCACGGAAATCTCGTTGTTCACGGAAGTCTCTGCGATCCCGTCCACGATCACGTCCACCCCGGTCACGGCGATCATGCCTTGGTTCCGGTTTGAACTTGGGCAGTGGCCCGTTGGTCAGCCGATTGCGAGGCTGTGGTGGCTCGGGTGCACGAGGGGCCGGCTCGCGAACTTGCATCCTCTGAGCAAGATCAGGTACAGGTTTCGGCGCGGGTGAAGGTGCAGCCTTGGATTTGAAAGCAAAACTGAACTTCCCGCCTTTGTTCGGAGTCGAGGTATTGGGCTCATCAGTTGGCGGTTGCATGGATGGGGCATTCTCGCTTTCCGGTGCGGGCTGTGCCTGATTATCATCATGGTAATCTCTGTTGGAAGATCGGACATGATCCCCATTTTCGCCTCCCCGAGGGGATTGAGGGTCATTGGTGGAACGTGGTCGATTGGGGGTCTGTGAGCCATGGCTATGCGCCGGGTGAGGGTTATGTTGTCCTCCACGACCTCGAGACCCCGAAGCGGTCCATTGCAAATTATTAAAATGCCCCTTTGCGTCACGCTGCGGATGTCCAGATTGATAATGATGGGAGCCAGGGCCGGAAAATCGCCGGTCGGGCCCTTGGTTTGAGAAGTTGCCCCGATGACCACCGCCAGAGTGACCACCTCGGTAAGATCCACCATACGGGGACTGAGGGTGATGGTTCCCAGGGCTGCCGAATTGACCTTGATTATGAGAATAATGCCCGTGCCCGTTCTGTGAGTAGTTATCCTGTCGATAAGGAGAGGCGTGACTGGGAGAAATGTCAGAATAATTCAGGGACATAAATGAAAGATGTGGAGTGTCATCTCACCCAGGTCCAGAATACGCCGGCGGGCCATTCCATCCACCTCGTCCAGAGTAAGGCGAGCCTGGTGGCGGGGAGCCATGGTATGAGCCGGCCGTCGGGTGTTGAGGGGATGTTCCATAAGGTCGAGTATCAAGATGTGGCCGGGACGATCGACGATATGGCTTGTGTCTCATATCTGGTCCATGCGGTCCATGCATTGAAAATGCATCTCGCGGCTCACCAAAGTTATCAGAGTCAAAACTCGGGATCGGACGCGGTGGAGATGGAGACCTAGGTCTGTCGTCCAGAATGGATTGAATTGGACGGGTAGCATTCATTTCAGAGAGAAGCCTTGATGTGTGAGATGCTACAGAGAGTCTGGAGTGTGAGCCTGCGGAATGCCGCGAGTTCGAGCGATAGTGAGATCCGTGGTCACTGAAATTATCACCAGTTAGCGATCGAGACCGTCGGTCAGGTGAAGGATGAAATCCCCGGTCATGGACTGGTGATCTAGATCTTCCTGGGCGCGGAATATCTGGACGGCGACGGTCTTTTCCACGGCGATCCCGGCCTCGTCGAGGTGATCTTCGCCTGGGACCACCACGGCCCTGGAACCGGCCACCACGTTTCTTGAATGAAGGACTTCGGTCTCGTCCTTCGCCGTGCTTGCCGTAGCTTGACTGTGGAGGGAGAGGAGGTCGGCGGCCACGGGGAGAGGGACTTCGAGTTCGTTGGCGTTTGAATGGAGGTCCTGAAGGTGACTCGTCTCGTCGAGTACTCGGGTATTCTCTGTTGAAAGAACCGGAAGGGTGGCCGTTCCAGTCCCCCGCTGATGATGGTCGATTCAAATCTGGTCGACGGTTGTTGAAGGGGGCAGGTCCAGGGGAACCTCGAGGAGGAGATCGATCTGATGCAAAATCACCAGGGCCGTGAGAAGGGCCAGGGCCAAAGCGGGACGCGCGCGGTGGCGACCGTCCGGGTCGGTCAAAATTGCGGTTATTGGGCCGATATGGGCGACCTCGATCACGCCCTCTACCTCTTCCTCGATCACGGCCTGACCCTCGACCTCTGCGCCGGTCCCCGTCACGGGGATCGCGGTCTTGGTCAGCGCTCCACTGGTCTCTCAACGGACTCCTACGGGACCCAGCCATGTGGACTGCGCCAACGGCATCTGGTTCAAATAAAGACAATAGAGAAGGTCAACAAGCACCGGTACTTGGACGTAGGCTCGATCTGGAGATAAAGATGAAATGCGTAGGCGATCCAACCGTGTCCGCGTTTCCAGTAAGTCTTTCGGGGTTGGGGGGAGGCGGAAGGGTAGTTTTTCCGGGTACCGGAAAGTCCGCACTATCAAGCACTGATGAACATTAACGTGAGCAAAGAAGTTGAATGGGGCATACGCACCTATCCAGATTTATCAATACACCATTCAGGCAGAATAACTACTTTGTCGTAAGCGCTGCACGGGGGTTGAATGGGGCCCGTTGCGGCTCTACAGGTTGATTCGACAAGATGACATGCAGCTGTTGAAACATGTGCAGCTCGTCCTTTGGGTTGATTTCCGGACAGGAGACTTGCCTTGGGTGCCGAGTGTGTCCACGTTTAGCTCAAAGAATGATCTGAAGGGGTAGTTGGTGAGCTGACAGAGTTAGTTCAGATATCGGAGCTCTTTCTCGAGTCCGATCCGCACTCTGTACAGTTGCCCGTGGCGAAGCCACTTCAGACCGAGTTTGCTTGTCCGACAGAACTATCTACGTATTGTAGGCCAGGCTAACTGCAAGAAAGATGCTGTTGTGAGCCGTCGACTGAACCCGTTGAATCATCGGGTCACACCATGAAAATCAATGGTCGCTTGGAGCATTATCATTCGCCCCAGTGATCATCCAGCTGCCAACCAGGGAGTATCGACTCAACACGTCGTGCTTCTCTGTTGAAACCAAGTCCCAGTATCACATCGAGGTCAATTTCCCGGACCTCACATTGTAGGCCTGTCAACCCTCCTGTCGGGGTGCAAACGAAATGCAGAGATCGTCGCGATTTACAGATAAACTGATGGCTGGCTAACCGGAGAAATTTGCCAGGGAATAAAGCACGGGCGGCTATGATTTCGATCCTGGGTGAGCTGAACTGGCATCTTGTCCGTTTCTGAGGTATAAGCGGGTTCTCATGTTGGCACATGTTGATCCATGGAGGGGAAGTCGATGAGAACGGTGACGGAGTCAATGTACGAGACGCTCAAGGCAAATTCCAACGCTTTTTCCACCCTCGTAGTCTCCGGGAATATAAGTCCCCAACGCTGCGCCCTGTCGAAATGCTAGACCGACTAGAGGTCTGACCATAATCAACCCCGCCCTCATCATATTCAACCGCAAGACATCCAGTTCTAGGACAAGGAGCCGACAATGTGCAATTTAAGATCAAGAAACGCCTGATGGTATGGTGGTTGAAAGGAAAGGCCGGGCCTGAAACTTTGGGCCGCGATCGAGCGGGATGAGCTGGTACAGGAACACCCGACCGTCCTCACACGGGGGGAAGCACACATCACAAATCGACCAGGGGGAATTATTCAACAAAAAAGAATCTGTGCATGATCAGTAAGGGCGCATGCCACGTTGAATGGAAGAACTAGGGCGGAGATGGAGGTTGATGTCATGTTCGAGGTCGAAGCGTTGGATTAGAAGGTGGTGTCACATGGGGATCATGTGATGTAATCTCTACAAGTTAGGGCAAGGAGGTTCGTATATCACTCGTTACATTAATTGTTCTAGTCTTACAGAAACTATGACATTTCCTTTCTCGGCAATTGACAGGTCATTCATAATCCGCAGACCCGCGACCTCAACGTCTCTTAACTTTCCCTCGCCAATACTCCATACACAAATTGTCATTACAAAGGTCGGTCGGTGGGCATCTAGTTGGGCAAGGCACACTGCTCGCTCAGGAACTGTTGCATCTCATTCGCCCTGTAAAGTGAATCGTTCACACCAGGAGCTTCGTACACCTCCAAGGTGTGTGAACTGTCCAGTTGACGGCGCGCATATTCATCGTTTGTCAGGATATCCAAAGGGACCAATTCCCAACGTTGGATGGAACTGGGAGCAAATGAATTGAAATTGATGTGGGCAAAGCGAACGGGACAGTAGACAGGATACTGCACAAAGTCAATCCCACTACTCAAGAGGCATCGGACTTCCCACGTTGTCCATGGGTACGCAATGGGAATAGGCTCCTCCCAGCGATGCCAACCTATCCAATGCGGAGATGGCGTATGTTTCCGAGAGTTGCGCTGTGTCTCATGTGATTGGAACAGGAAGACTTGCATCTCAGTCCGAGTTTGCGGTGCATGGTCCTCTAAAAACCAGCTGGTCATGTATCCCCAAACGAACTTTCGTAGGCCAGTGCTTGTGATTGCAAGAGATTCAAGGTCTGCTCCGGTGAGGTGATCTGCAATAAGAGCAAAGATTTCGAAAATTCTAACCAAAGGGTCGCCAAGAGAGAAAGAGCTGTCACCGATCGCGTCTTCATTCGGGCTTGGAAGAGCTTTTTCGGCAAACTCTGGGTTCGATGCAAAGAAATTCTTACGGTCAGAGCCATCTCTTGGAAAGAGATTGAGAGTCAAACCTTCACCTGCAGGATTTAGCCCCAAGACACCTAGGTTGTCCGTCAACACTTCCATAAAGAGGGGCTCCATGGGGTGATTGGAAATTGACCATACTACTCTGCTGTGGACAGAGAAATATGGATTGGTAGGTGGTCTGCATGGGAACCATTTGACCTGAGAGGTTGAAATTTCTTCAGGAGTCTGTGTATCTCCGGGAAGTACCCCGTCTTTGCCAATTTCGTTGTCCAAGAGATCCAATGTGGGAATCGGCGCCCAACATCCGTCACCTCCTCCGAAAGGAGTCTGGCGATGGATATTGCTAGCGTCATCGGAAACTGCTCGAGTAACTTGAAGAGGAATATCTCCAGCCGGAGTAGATCTCTCGCGAGAAGCATTGTCAGTCTGGTTCACACCGCCCCTAGACCCTGCATCTGGTGTGCGTGATGACCCACGGGCTGGATTGATAGGCGCCGGGCGTGGTGTGCTTGGGCGTGGAGGATACGTAAGAAGGTGACCCGAAAAAATAGCCGTGTTAGTCAAACGGCAATGCGTCAATCTCGGACGTGGATCCCTCGAAGCAGATAAGCTAAACCCAGGGGGTCGCCTTGCTGCTAGTCGTGGATTAAGCACCGCAAAAAGCGGGGCCGATGAGATGGACGAAGTAGGCGCAGAGGCGTGCAGTATTGTCGGACGAGGTCGTGGATCCCTCATAGTAGACGAAGCAGGAGTGGTGCGCAATGTCATACGCGGTGTCAACACGCCAGGTGGCACCGAGGAGGCAGGCAACTCTGGTGAAGGGGCGCGCGGTCTTACCGAACGGGGATTTCTCATGGTAGACGAACCAGAAGAAACGGAGCGCACTGCCAGGGTCGGATTCAACACTACAGGCGAGAGCGATGAGGGGACCGGACCGGGTGAGCGAAGACGCACTTCCGCCTCACGAGGAGGTAGATCAATAGTGGGACCTGATGGGACAGACAGAGTTGGTGAAGCAGCGTGTGGATTTATGCGAGCAGATGAAACGGATTCAGCCAAGCGCGATATTGCCAAACGGTGATGCATTTCCAAGGCTGATCTCATATTTCGATTGCGCTCAGCAGCGGCCCTGGACACAACAGATGAAGTTGACGTAGCAGAGATAGTCGAAACTTCAGGGACAATTGGTGCGGCAAGAGTCGGTGCAGGAGGCGGGCTTAGTGCGGTAGAGGGAGCCGGCAACCAAGGAACACGGGGGATAGGCTGCATGACACCATGAAACCTCGCAGGTGGAATAGCCACAATATGAGCGCCTTCGGGGGTGATGATGATCCATGGAGGTGTCCGGTGGGTGCGGCCTCGACCAGGGGTAGTCATTGGCTGGAGTTGGTCAATTGGGATGCCAACAAGCAGCTGCTGCCGGATGAGCCATGCTTCCAGCATGCGCTCTGGAGAATATGGCACAGCACCTTCGGGCCATGGAGCTGGCGACGATGACGATCCTGGCTGGCCGAATCGAGATGCAAAGGATGTCCCACGTGTAGGTGACACGGTGTTAGGGCTGGGAACCGTAACAGGGGGGGTTTCCGCAGGCAAAGGAGACTCGGGAAGGGGAATAGACGTCGGGCTAAGAGACACTGGGAGACGAATAGAGCTAGAACCAGGTGATAGCATACGATCAGAAGCTGGACGGTGCGTTGGATCGTCGAGCATGATCGGGACTTCGAAAGACTCAGGCAGCGGCAGCTCAATAGATTGAGTCGCAACAGCTTCAGAGCTTGGGCCAGGTCTCACAGTTGATGGCTGCACGGCTGCTCGTTCGGTACGAGAAGTATTCGGGCCTGAGTCAAGTCGCACACGGCCTTGGAACGTGTTAATGAGGTCCAGGATCGCTGGTGGATATTGAGGCTGAAAGGAGGGTGACTGGTGTCCAGGACTGGGAGACTCGTCTCTGTCAGAGCTAGTCATGGAGCCTCGGGCGGCTGGACGCTCTGCACGATCACTCATGATGATTCGATGTATCTATTTTCCTTTTTCGTATTTGTTTTTCTGGGAGTTTTGGGGCTTCGGCAGATAGGGCTGGGGGCTCGACTTTTCAGGCAAATTGTCAGTATGCGGTCAAACAGCGGGTATGATCCACAACAAATGTCATGGCATATGCTCAGTGTTTGGGATAGGGAAAGGGAGCAGCAGAACGAAAGGTAAACAAAGAACTTTGTGTCACTCGTTCCTGCCAAAGGCAGCGGTCTTGTGAGGCCGAACGTAATGTAATGAGAACAGGACGGCAAACCGTCAGACTCCGCTTATTATATTCAGCAAGACAATTGACGGTAGTCGGGCCCAGTGTTGAGGGGTCCAACCTGACTGACAGGGTGAACTCTATGCACAGGTGCCGGTTGCACAGCCAGTATAGGCAGGGTATCATGGAGCAGGCATATGGGTATGTGGCAGATAGGGAGAGTAGATCAGACATGAGCAAGAGACTTACGGTAATTTCGACCTGGTGACCCCTTTGGCGGTGGAACTGATCTTGAAGTGAAGATGCCATAGGCAGTGGCCGGCAGTAGCTGGGAGTTGATGAAGCGCTGAGAGGTGCAGATGTGCAGATACTGCACGTATTTGTGCAGAAAGAGAGTACGGAAATAACGGTGAAGCAGGATGGAAGTTGGGAGACAGCGAGAATGAGATTGAAAGGGAGAAGAGGGAGGTGGGAAAAAACGATGGGTGAAGAGAAGTGTAATAAACGAAGTGCGAGATATGTAACGTTATCGTATGCTTATTTGCACAGGCTCCTGAAGTGAGGATTATACGCCCGTATAGTGGTAGTCGCAGGCCCGTATGCTCGTCTCGCTCGGGATATCTTGTCGTATTTGAGAATTTGTTCTGGCGAATAACCAGAATCCTAAGTGGCAAGCACCACTTAGCCGTTCCAATTTCGAACACTCAACGGGGCACTTTGGAGATGACTCGAGAAGTCCTCGTTTTCTCATGCTGGTCCCTGGCGATTGTTACATGGAGATTTGTTCAGGGTATGCATAATTCCCCTTACTCTTGAGTGACGAAACGAGACAAAATGGGAAGGACACTGGTACGTAGCACATATACAAAGATAAAGAAGGAAAAAATGATTCCTAGGTAGGAATAGTCATACAAAGTGGGGAATCAAGTGTTGAAACAGCCTTGCCAGCATCATTGAGATCGAGGTTGAAACTCACGGCTAGATAGCAAAGGCCTCTTGAGGGTAGTGTTAGTAAGATTTTCTTTTTCTCTCTCCTTTGTTGATCAAGGAGAGGGTTCCATCATGTCGTGAAGTCGTCAAGCAGATTGCGAGAACATAACTTCATAGAACAAGGGAACATGACATAACAGGGCAGATGATGCCGAAGTATATGCAAACATTAGACAAGACAGAGAAACACCAGTTCACGCTCTACATGGAAAAGGAAGAAAAGCAAGAGCACCCAAAACCTGTTGAAAGGTAACCGCCAAAACTCCGGAATCCGTAAATCACCGCCCCATAATTAAGCACGGGGTTGATGACATGAGTCATTATCTGCGGTTGAGGAGCGTCAAGAACTCCTCTCGTGTCTTAGCGCTGGACCGCATGCATCCAAGCATGCAGCTGGTAGTCGTGGTGCTGCTGACCTTCTGCACGCCACGCATGACCATGCAAAGGTGAGAAGACTCCATGACGACACCTACACCACGAGGCTTGAGGACTTCCGAAATGGCAAGGGCAACTTGCTTTGTCAAGCGCTCCTGGACTTGAAGTCTGCGGGAGAACATCTCTGCCAGACGAGCCAGCTTGGACAGGCCAAGGACACGACGGTCAGGGATATATCCAATGTGCATCTAAATGAGGTCAGGAAAGATCGCGCAACTTGGATATCAACGATTCCTACCTTTCCAGTGAAGGGAACCATGTGGTGTTCGCAAAGCGAGAAAACGTCGATATCCTTGACAATAACCAACTCGTCGTGGTCCTCGTGGAAGACGGCGCCGTTGACCAGGTCCCGAACGTTCTCCTCATAGCCCTTGGTGAAGTAGAGCATGGCCTTGGCATATCTCTCTGGGGTCTCGCGAAGACCTTCTCTCTCGGGATCCTCTCCGATACATTCAAGAATGGTCCGGATAGCTCCGGACAGCTTCTCAATTCGTTGGTCGGTCTCCTCCGGGGTCGACTCCAGCCGCTGTCTAGTTCCGGGGCCTGATTGCAATGATTAGATACAATTCCCGTCGGTATAGTGTTCAGAGGTGTAGCTGGCATCACTTACAAGGCCAGCTAAGGCCATCAAAGTCGATGGGCGGGTTCATTGTGTAGGGGCTGGCAGGGCGGCTGACGGTGGCCGGAGGGGTTAACGGGCCGCCTTCATCCCGGGGGTCGCGGGGAGGGTCATTCAAAGTAGGTCTGTATCCAACCGGTTAGCAAGAGATGAACGGTAGGCCACGTATGGCGTATATATCGTCAGATACGTACCGGACTGGCACCACGTTGCGAATTGGCACCGATGCAGCGGAAGTGGACTCGGTGGGGACGGCAGCTACAGTCTCGGGTGCAAATTGCAGGGGAACTCGGGGTTCAAAAGAGGAACGGATGGAAGAATTGAGGCTCTCACGCTCACGCTCATCACGGTTACCGGTGGACCGCTGCAGGGGAGAGCTTCCATTCAACATGTGGGACGGAATAGCTGACGGCTTCGAGGCTGGAGGGGAACCAGAACCCATGATGTGTAGGACAATGTCGTTGACGAAGTATAAAATAGGAATCACCGTCTGTCGATGATATAGCAGAAAATAAGAAATTCTAATCTTACAGAAGAAATTTTGGTCAGATTAGTTGCCTCACGGGACGCTAACCTTCTTTTTTCCCCCCGCTCTAAAACCCCCCAATTTTGTTTCACCGCCCGGGCTATCGTTATCTGCCATGTAGATCACGTCCCACTTACAATAGGCCTACAGGTTTGCAGCATGCATGTGATGGGCTGTACATGCCTTTTTAAAGTCATAGTATAGTTTTAATACGTCAATAGGCAAACTCGCTTACCCATGTATATAGCCTCAGCCCTATTCGGTGAATCATTCAGATGAAATGCAAATGCTGTTGATAATCCCGGAGGGATCAATTGGCATACCCAGCTAAGCCCTTTGACCCATCCACTGTTTGATTTGTTATAATCCCTGTGGTACCATATGAGTCTGTATTGGCTCGATGCTGATAATACCCTAGTTAGTTAAATAGCGCGCTAGAGTGCTATTTGATTGTCACTTGCCATTATATTCCCAGATATATATTTAGCCACTCTATCGTCATGTTATGTTTCAACAGAAACTTTGCAGGACTTTCACCTAAGCCATGGCTGGCTAGAGTCCCGAACAGCCCGTGAATGCCTCGTCATCGGTCTATTGGTCTATTGGAGAGCCACGAAAAGATTAGGAAAAGCTCACTGCAGAGCCTAGGTTTGACAAGGAGTACGATAGATTGTATATCAAATGATTGGTATTTTGAATAGTTGCTCATTATTGTCCTTTTGACTCGTCTGCACCGAAGAAACACCGATACGGCAAATAATTGAACGGGCACCTGCATGTTAAGTAAATATCACGCCTCTAGCTCTTCAGTGGGGACATCATCCAAGTCCTTGCCCACGATGGCATCGGCCACCTTCCACACCTGCAATAGATTGTCCTCAGCAGCAGAGCAAAGAACCCAGGGGTCGCTAAGGTTCCAGCTGAAGTCAGAGATACGGTTTGTGTGTCCACCGTGCATAAATAGCCTGGGATAAAGTCAGTGATCAGCTCAAATAGATTAATACAAGCAAGACACAGTGTCACATACAGCTCTGGTGGCCCATCCTGGGCATCCTCCGGGGTTTGCTCCTCGCCTGCTCGGCTGAGGTCCCAGAACATAATCTTGCGGTCGTAGCTGGAACTGGCCAGGACTGACTCCTCAAATGGATGCCACGAGATCGATTGAACCGAGTCGGTGTGACCCTCCAGCGAGTGTAGCTTCGACTTCAGGTTGCGGAGATCCCAGATTCCGATAGTCTTATCTGCAGAACCCGTGGCCAGGATTGTCTCGGCAGCCGGGTTGAAGGAGATGGAGTTGATAGCATCGCGATGCTGGCCATCAGCTGAAGCAGCCGCACGTGTAGAGTCATCTTGACGGGTATCAAGGATCTGAAGCGTGATGTCATCGGAGACGGTTCCGATGAGCGAGGAATGAAGAGGGTGGTGTTGAACGTCGTTGACGATCGATGAGTGGTGAGTGAAGGTACGGCTTGGTCGAACCGCCTTGTTACTCTTGGTGTATGTGGTAATATCCCTGCGGACCAGCTCGGTCAGTTGCTGTTTCAAATGCCGTCCCTTGAGACAATCAATGCTTACCAGAGTCGAACAGTCTTATCCTCGCTACCTGTCGCAAGGTGGCCAGCTACGTGGGGGTTCCAGCTAAGCCCAAAGCCTTCGGCCTCGTGGCCTAGAAGCTCCATTTGAGGGTTCACTGTGCCGGTTGGCAAGCTTGGATGCTTCGAGCGATCCCAGATCATCACTCGCCCATCCGTGCACATCGTCGCAATGATATTAGGGTTTTGGGGTTGGTAGCGGGCCTTGTTGACCTCGCCCTTGTGGTCGATCTTCTGAACGATGTTGAATTTAATTTCCATCTGGGGCTTCTTGGAACTTCCACCGTAGCCGCCAATCTCTCCCTTGTCCTCATCGTAGTCATCGGGATTCGGGGCATTGGGGTTAGGAAGCTGAACATGCGCAATCTGAAGGTAATTCTGCGCTTCGCCAGTGGTATGTGTGCCAATGAGAAGACGATGGGTCGAGTAGGGCTTGTCTGGGACTCTTAAAGAGGTGCTTGGTTAGATCGACAATCACGATGGGTGTACTTGGAGCATACTCTTGCTTATCTGGCAGCCACTGTGTTGTAAGAGTCGGCCATTCTAGCGCCGTGCTCAGGATCATGTCATAGAGGAATGGCGCATTCTTCTTCCATGTTTTGTACTCTGCGCGCATTGAAAATTAGCGCTGGATACCATTGGGTAAATTGGAAAGGCGCTCAGTGTAGCTACCTTCATTGATGATCTTCTCGTCGGTGTGCTCCGCGTCGTGATCCTGGTCCTGGTCTTTCTCATGCTCGTCACCAGCACCTAGGCATCATTAGATTGGGACTTCGAGCGTCTGCGAGGTTATTGAAACACACCATTCTCCTCTTCATAGGGATCCATGACCGCCAATATGTGTAGAGCGAAAAACGAAAGAAAAAGAGAATATGGAGTAAAGGGTAGCGATATGCGAAGGAGAACGAACCCAACGCGCAACCGCGTAAAAGGTCTTGGCATTTGCGCTAGTCCTATTTGGTAGGCGGTATAGCCAAGAAACAGCATCGTGGGACTAGCTCGCCAGCTTTTGGTGCCGCATCATACACTCCGAACAGCGTCAATTTCGTCACTTTTCGCGTTACGTTCCCATTTCCTTCTTCTTACTTTTTAGCTATCGCTGCACGTCCTCATCCTCTTCAGGACTGCAGTCCCTCGGCGCACTTTCCTGTCCCAGATTCACCGAGTCACTGGATGATCTCACCTTTTGTCGCATTTCTGCTTCAATCCTTTACGAGTACCCTCTACGACCTCGACTTTTACGAACCCTCGACTACGGTCGTTTTCTCTGACGAAATATCATCTGAACTGGCCCAAATCTCATCATGGGTGTCCCAAAATTCTTCCGCTGGTTGAGTGAGCGGTATCCCGCGATCTCGATGCTAATCGCAGAAAGCCGGATACCCGAATTCGACAGCTTATACCTTGATATGAACGGCATTATCCATAACTGTACGCATAGTGACAGCGATTCCCCAACCTTCCGAATGACGGAGGATCAGATGTTCATTGCCATCTTCAATTATATCGAGCATTTGTTTGGCAAGATTAAGCCCAAGAAACTTTTCTACATGGCCGTTGATGGTGTCGCCCCGCGTGCGAAGATGAATCAACAACGTGCCCGTCGATTCCGAACTGCATTGGATGCAGAGAATGCGAAGGAGAAGGCTATTCAGCAGGGGCTGGAAATGCCCAAGGAAGATGCCTTCGACAGCAACTGCATCACGCCCGGTACGGAGTTTATGCAGAAATTGACGCAGCAACTCAAGTACTTCATCAACAAAAAGATCTCGGAGGACACTGACTGGCAAGGTGTTGAAATTGTCCTCTCTGGCCACGAGGTCCCGGGAGAAGGAGAACACAAGATCATGGAATACATCCGTTGCTCGAAAGCGCAGCCCAACTATGAATCCAATGTTCGCCACTGTCTTTACGGTCTCGATGCCGATCTGATCATGCTGGGACTTCTCAGCCATGACCCCCACTTTTGTCTTCTTCGTGAAGAAGTGACCTTTGGTCGCCAAGTTTCGAAGAAGCCCAAAGAACTCGAACATCAAAACTTTTATTTGCTGCATCTCAGCATGGTCCGCGAGTACCTGGAATTGGAATTCCAGGAGCTAGAGCAGGAAGGTGTTTTAGATTTCCCATTCGATATGGAGCGTGTTATTGATGATTTCATCCTCATGGCATTCTTCGTCGGAAACGATTTCTTACCCAACTTGCCGAACTTACACATCAACGAAGGTGCTCTTGCCCTCATGTTCAAACTCTACAAGGAAGTACTGCCAAAAATGGGCGGCTACATCAACGAGCAGGGTGTTATCAACGTCCAACGCTTGGGTATGCTTGTGGAGGCATTGAGTGGCGTCGAGCATCGATTCTTTGAGGCTGAAAACTCCGATGCCCAATGGATCAAATCCAAGAAAAACGACGGATCTCTTGAACTACAACAAAAACCGAAGGAGCTTACCCTCACCCCGGCTCAGAAGGACATTCTCAAGACGGTCAAGAAGTACGTTCTGAACCGGTCTGATAAGGACTCCGAACCTCTTGACCTTCCTCCTACACTCCCCGCTCGTGACCGCAGCTTCGTTGAACGCCTTGCGGATGAGCTTCGCTTGTCTTGGTCTTCTATCGATAACGAGAACGGCGATCGATTCATGAGACTTCAGCTCCCTCAGTCCCAAAGCGATGGAGACGACGAGGATGACGAGGATGAAGAAGCATCAATGGCTGTCCACCGCATCATTCGGAAATACGAAAAGGCCAAGGTCCAAGAGATGACCCCCGAGGAGGCCCAGGAGGCGGCGGAGAAGAAATATGACGCCAAGTTCCATGAGTGGAAAGATAACTATTACCGCTCCAAGTTCGGTTGGGGCCTTGACAACCAGGAGGAGATGAAGAAGCTTGCGCGGAACTATGTGCAAGGACTGCAGTGGGTCTTGTTCTACTATTACCGTGGTATCGCATCATGGCCTTGGTTCTTCCAGTATCACTATGCTCCTATGATCTCTGGTGAGTGGCACTGCATTCCTGATTTTATCCTATTGCTAACAATTGATTAGATGTGAAGTTTGGTCTGGATGCAGACATGAACTTCCAGCTGGGACAGCCTTTCCGGCCGTTTGACCAGCTCATGGGTGTCTTGCCAGACCGCAGTAAGAAGATCGTTCCTACTGCCTATTGGGATCTGATGACCTCGCCTGAATCTCCTATCTACGATTTCTACCCCCGTGATTTCGATCTCGACATGAACGGCAAAAAGATGGAGTGGGAGGCTGTGGTCAAAATTCCATTTATCGACGAAAAGCGACTTTTGTCAGCGCTTAAGACAAAAGAGCATTTGCTTTCTGCGGACGAGAAGGGAAGAAATGACTTCGGCACCAGTCTCAAGTTCACCTATTCCCCTGATGTGAACTTTGTCTACCCCTCCTCAATGCCTGGCGTGTTCCCTGACCTTCCAAACTGCCGCTGCATTGAGAACATCTTCGACCTTCCCGCTATGGATGGATTAGAGCCATATGCTGGTTTGATGGACGGTGTGCATCTAGGCCAAGCCGCGCTGGCTGGCTTCCCTACCATCAAAACGCTGCCGCATCATGGACAACTGGGCTTCCACGGAGTCTGCGTCTTTCAACAAGATAGCCGAAATGAGAGCCAGGTTATCACCCTTCTTGACCCCGGTAGTCGGTCTGGCGTTGAACTGGCCAAAACGAAACTCGGGAAACGTGTCCATGTGGGATACCCATTCTTGCAGGAAGCTCTTGTGGTTCGTGTCTCGGACGAGCTGTTCGATTATATCCTCCCTCCAGGCGAACAACACCCTGTGTCTATCCCTCACACCCCTCAACAGATTGAGCAGTGGAAGAAGAAGGCCACCAAGATTGAGAACATCTACAGTAAGCGTCTGGCAATGATCATCGGAGATGTCGAGTCCCTGGTCCACATTCAACTCCTCAAGGGTATGTCCAAGACGGACGCAGGTGCCACCATCAAGGAGTTTGCCGATATTCCCGGCCAGGAGACAGACTATGCTTTGCAGGTTGTTGTTGATGATGTGATCAACCCCGATGAGCGTTTCATTGAGCGCGAGGCCATCCCTATTGAAGAAGAATTCCCAGAGGGCAGCCGCGCCTTCTTCCTGGGTGACTTCAACTACGGAAGACCTGTTCATATCGGTGGGCACGAAGATGGAAAGGTGAATGGTTTGATCGCGGCCGTGAAAGGTCGTGAACCCGAGTTCGGACGTGAACGTGTCAGACAGGCTGAGCAGCTTTGCCCTTATATGCCTTCTTACGCTATTGCCCGAAGCCTTCGTCTCAACCCGTTGGTTCTGGCCAAGATTACGTCTTCTTTCACTGTTGATGTTGAGGGTACTCGTGCAAACCTTGGTCTCAACTTGAAGTTCCAGGCCAAGCAACAGAAGGTTCTCGGATACTCCCGTCGTGGAGAGACGGGCTGGGAGTTCAGCCAGAAGGCAATCGACCTGATCCAGCAGTACATGATCAACTTCCCCGAATTCATTGCTGGTATCCAGCGCAATCCCCAGGGTGACCGTTACTCACCGACTGATTTCTACCCTGAGGAGACTGCTCTTCTGAAGATCAAGGAAATCAAAGATTGGCTGAAGTCTGTCGAAGCCAAGAATTTCGAGAGGGTCCCTCTTGACGCTGAACAACTTGACTCGGACATCGTGCAACTGATAGAGCAGGATGCCGATAACCTCAATCTGGGTCAGCCACAGATGCAGCCGAAGAAGGTCCGCGGTGTCCCCCGCAGTGCCCTCCTTCGCCCTGCCGATGTTGAGCATCGTCTCGGAAACCAGACTTTCAAGCTTGGTGACCGCATCGTCTACGCTCAAGATTCTGGAAAGGTGCCGATCGCTACTCGCGGCACTGTTGTCGGTCTCACTAGAACCCCACGTACCCTTCTGTTGGATGTTGTCTTTGACGTCTCGTTCATGAGCGGTACTACACTGGGCGGCCGATGCTCGCCATTCCGCGGTCAGACTGTCTTGGCCTCGTCTGCTCTCAACATCTCCTACCGCCAGTTGATCACCAGCTCCCGTGCTGCAACCAGTCAGCAGACCCAGCAGACCCCAACTCCTTTGACTGTTGCCGGTTATGGTGCGCCCTTGGGTCCCGGTGGTCAAGGACAGCTGCAGAACGCAGCCACTCCACCTCCGCTGAGAGGCTCTTTCCGTGGCGCTGTATCCGGACAGGGCAACGGAGGCGGACGTGGAGGTCGCGGAGGTTTGAACAACGGCCAACAAGCCAACCTTCCCTTCCGTCCTCACGCCAACGGTGGTCCTCCCCGCGGTCCCCGTGGCCGTGGAGGCTTCAACGGCAACCGAGGTGGCTATACCTCAGTGGACAACAGCGACCCCAGCGAGGGCGTTGTCCAGAACAACCCCAACTTCCGGCCCCAGAACTACAGCCAGGTTCCCCCACCGCAAGGAATGGATCGTGGACGTGGTCGTGGTCGTGGCCGTGGCAATGGATCCCGTGGTAGAGGTCGTGGTGGGCGAGGTGCCCTTGCGGCTGGTGCCCAGTAGGAAGTGGAGTGCTGTTTTGAAGCTCGGGAAAGAATTGTAATTTGAACGGATTTGGATTCATGTATCATATGGAAGCTTGCATATGTACCGGATACTATCTAGCGAATCTGGCTTTCCCTTTCCGTTTTATTGCTCCCTTGCTGCTTTTTGCTCACCCTGAGCATCCCGAATACCTTCCATTTCTAGAACTATTATATGTGACGTATAACACTTACTCTTCAACCTCACTACCTATCAACCTGGCAACCTCGACATCTCAAGCTTCAACCTCACAACGTGATCTAAAGCGGTGACCCATGTTACTGGCGGTGGGGAGAGGTGGCTGAGATCTGGTCAATTGTTTGATGCATGTAAATTGCTAAGTTGACTCACCCGTCGGAAACATATCGGCAACATCCTTTTGCGATAGCTTAAAAGCTGATTTTAAGGTGTTTTCTATTCACGTACATGGCCACAGTTAGCCTGACCCGTTCCAAGGTCAAGGATATGTGTTGAGTTCTCGCGTCACTCGATCAACCAAATTCCTCTCATTGCATTATAACTATTAAATTTTATCGATTCCGACTGAACTCTTATAGATCACCGAACAACTGGCGATCTCTTGATTTCATAGGAGGTCCGCAGAAAATTGCAAGACTTAATCTCTCGTTTGCAATACACCTGTTGCTTGTTTGCGTAGGACGACGAACTCTGTGCACGCACGCACGCACTTTACTTCTGCCTAGAAGACGCTGTAAACGAGTTCCTGCAAGCACGATAACCTCATCGGGCATTGCTGGGACGGAAATGAAAGAGGCATCCAGTCCTATACCCTCGCTGTCACGCTTGTCCGTTGTCCTAAGACCGGCGATCTCCAACCCATCGCATGCTTCACTAGCCCGGACCAAAATTGTCAATGTACTACTGTCCATGTGAGCTGGACTGAAATGAACTCTATCGCCTAGTCTATCAGAGTCATAGAAGTTGACACCCAAAGATTCATAGTCGAGAGATGGTGTACCTATCAAAGACTCCTTTGAGTCTAGGATGGTAGACAATGTACTGAATAGCTGACTTCGTAAATTGGTCCACTCCTTTCCGTGTGAAGAATTAGCTCGAGGCTATCACAAAGATAAGGCACAACTTACATTGTGTACGGCTTCGACGGAACATTGAAATCCTAAAGGGGGAGAGTAATCGTTCTCTGCGCCCTTTTTGTTGAAGTATACGGTCTCCTTAGGAATGGGTGTTTTCCCACGAACAAGTTCAGAGTCAAAGGCTGAGTAACCTCTTGTTTTCTCTTTTACTTGGGTTGGTAGTTGGAAGAATCCACGAGCCTACGGCCATGTGTCAGAATCAGAACTCAATGCTGGCTGTATAGAAAGAATGGCCCTTGCATCTTCGAAAACACTATGTAAACATTGTTGAGTCAGTTTTGGAGCCACCAGTCGAACAGCGCCAAATTGATGCAGAGCTGTCTGTGTACTAGAGATAGTAGAAGGGCTTTGCTTTGTAGCCAAGTCAATAAGGGGAAGGCAGTTTTTCGTGGACATCTCGGTGGTAGGTAATGAAAGCGAGGACTGTTTGCACTATCAGAAGGAAATTCCCCTCGTCTACGGAAGGCTTTGGTGACTAAAACCGCAATTCCTGCTTGCGACACGTAGGTCAACGAAGGTTCCTCCACTGCCATGATTCATCTGCTATAGCGGCAATGTCGTGTGGCATAGAAGCAATTTTGTTGGCAACGTGCATGTAACCAACCCATCAATTTTATCGACTTCGACTGAACTCTTAATAAACCAAACCAAGGGCATAACAACCTCAACAACCCTAAAGGAAACAGCAGACTCCAACCACACTTCTCAAATCCCAATAGCCCTCTTCCGAAATAGCACATGCGAGTTAAGATTTGGCAAAATATGCTCCCCAACATGAGTATTAGCAGGTCTCTCATCACCAACAAGCTTGAAATCATAGTCAAGAATAACCCGACTCATAATCGCCTTCAGGGTATTCGCCGCGAAGAATCGACCGGGGCAAGCCTGACGCCCGAATCCGAAATGCATGTTTGTCGCACTGATAGTCACAAAGCTGGCAGGCGAAGTGACAGCCTTCTCTGTATTTTCCTTCTCCTTCTCGCCACTTGGAGTGGCAGCAGATGCCCCCAACTCAGGAGACAATGCATACCGGTCTTCGGGCTTTCGACACCACCGGAACCCGTCGAAGGTTTCTGCATCTGGGAGGAAGTCCATGTCTCTGCTAATTGGGCCTGCAGCGAAGCAGATATGTGTTTCGACGGGGAGCGTGAGACCATCGTGGAGGGTAATTGGTTTTTTGACGATGCGGTGGACAGATACTGTAAAGAGCGAGTGATTAGGGCTGATAATAACATTCCCAAAGCGCCCCCTACAGCGAAAGATAGCATAACTCACATTCACCAGGCGGACCAAACCGCTGTGACTCGCGCATAAAACTGTCCAACCGATGCTGTTCGACCAGCGCAGCCTGAGTGCCCTTATACCAACCATCCGGCAGTGTCCTTTTCATCTCCTCCCTCAACGGCTCCAAATACTCCGGCATAACGATCAAATCATAGATATTATGACACAAAGCCATAGTACTAGTATGAACAACAGCCAGCGTAACCAGGAGGAGCATATGATGCGCCAGGAGCTCCGGATCAAGCGTCTCGCCCTGCTCCTCACCAAGATCTATCATCCACTGCAGGAAATCATCCGGGCTCGTATAATCCGGGTCATTTGCGAGCGCGGCCTGTCTGCGCTCATGGACCATAGGTGCGAAGAGATCCTTCGCGAAGCGGAGTTGCTTTTTCATTTGTTGGACTGATGGGAGGAAGAGCGCTACTAGGGGTCGGAGGTAGGCTGGGAAGGGGCGTATGAGGATCACGGTAATCCCTATGTTTTTTGTGTAACTGCTTGCGATATTTAGCCATTGTTCGTTGCGGCGGAGGACGTCGCCGGCCATTACGCGTGATGTGGCTAGGGCGATTAGGCGGGTGAAGAGTTCGTTTGGGTTGATTTGGATCCAGGTGTCTGATTGAGGGGGCTTAGTTATATGTTCTTTTTCTTTCTTCTAGGTGGGTTGTGGTAATGTATTTTGTACCTTCGCATCCTGGGAGGAGTGCGTCGAATGCGCCACGCAGTTCATCGATGACTCGGGGGACGATGCGGCCTGGTTGGGGACGTCAATTATTTGGGCTGGAGTGTTTAGTACGTAGGGTTGTATTTACCTAGAGCTGGAGTCAACTTCTTCCGAACGGTCATCGATGGTAAATAACTATCGATGATGATGTTGGTGTATTGGCCCAGCGCATTCTATATCAATTAGTCCGAGTCCACAGTGTAACGTGGCACAGCCTGGGGAATTACTTCATATTGTGCATGTAAAGAACTGAGTTGTGATGGAAGCAGATGCCTCAACTCTTGTTGATACTTAGTAGGCAGGACGATGACTTCTCCGTCGGCTGTGAGCATGCGAAATGGTGTATCCTTGTACTAGATGAAGGTTAATAGGGCTGAGTTGGATACTGATATAGTATATACCTTTTCATAGCCCTTTTTTATCATTGAAGCAGCCTTTGGGTAGTACATGATTCTATTGACGAAATCAGGAAGGTAAGAGTTATACCTGACCGTCGGGATATGCTTCAAGGTGGAGGGTTGTGCCCGTCGCAGTATGTAAAGAACTGCAACGAAGACCCCGACAAGGGGCCAGAAAGCTGACCCAGCCATCTGCAAGCTCACCGGGGATGGAATATTGCCTTGCACTGAAGGGGAAATGTATTCTGATAAATAGGATTCAAGCCTCCAAGACGGGAGTTTTAGGAAGTTGCTCGGTGGTATGAAGGACAGAGAGGGTGGCACAGAACACATTCGGATAGTATTGGGGAAGACTTTCTATTTGGGCAAGGCGTTTGCTATAGGCGAAAATAACAAAGAGACGCCCGTTTGAGGTCTCAGGGCGGGTTATTTAGATATTAATCACACAAAACCAGGGAGCCCCTGTCTATTTCCCCTTTTGAGTCTTTGCTGCTATATACAAAACGCCTGGCTCAGATGCAAGTAGACATACACGAATAAACCCATAGAAATCATTCAAGGCCAACCCACTCACCCTCGTCATCGTCAGCGTCGACCATCTGATCATCAGCACCGTCGGTCTCGGCAGTGTCCATGGCCAACAGAGCATTGCTGGTCTTCTTAGATTCAAGAACAGGCTTTGAGAGCAGGTAGTTGAGATCATAGAGGTTCTTTTCGGTCAACCGCTTCAGGTTCTCGCGGATGTCGTCGACAGCACGCTGAACGGCGCGAAGTTCAGGTGCGAATACACCTGTGTTGTCCTTGAGGTAGCGACCGTGGCTGCTGAACATGGACTCAATCCACATGAGATTAAACTCCAAATGGGGCGTCTCTTCCGCGGCATGTGCAACAAATCGGAGCAGGCGAGGTAGGTAAACGGAGGGCACGGATCGAACCACATGGGGAATATCCGACGGAGGGATTGACTCGTAGACGGCACGAAGAAGCTTTTGTTCGTTCAATCGGAAAGCCATGATAAGAGCCTTGAGGAAGGTGTTGTCCTCGTCGACGGTGTCGGAGGCGGCAGCTTCCTTGGCGGCGTCTAGCGTGGCAAGGATGCTGGACGGTGTGATAGTGATATCCAGATCAAAGGGATCAAAGATGAAGTCAGTGTCCAGGCTGTAGACGAGTAGACCTTCCGTGGAAGCAGCACAGAACGACCGTCCAGTCGGCGCAAAGTCAACAGATGTGACCCGCACTTCGGGGCGAGTGGTTCGTGCGCCAGCATCTCCGCGCTTCGCACCGGGAAGGGTGCGATCCACACGGTCTTCGTGGTCAGAGGCTTCACCGGTTTCGTCGATAAGAGCACGGGGACCAGCCTCAGTCAGATCACGACTGTTAAGGAATTCCTGGGTGCCATCAAGTGAGGTGTTGACGGAGACAGTGAACTTCTTGATCAGTGATCCCGTGCCGACATCATACAAGCAGATATACTTGCTGTTACCACCGGCCAGAATGCAGCTACCGTCTGCACTGTAGGTGATTCTGTTGAAAGATTTGGTACCTGCGGCATTGGCAGCAGTGCGACGGTCCGCAATTCGTCGTCCTCCGGAGACGTCACGGCGGCCGTCAACTCCGCCTTGCTGGATAGCGTCTTCAACTGACCAGAAGGAAAGCTGACCGTCTAGGGTAGATGCTGCGACTTGCTTTCCGTCTGGGCGGAAAGCCACACTGAGAATGTCGGACATGAGCTGAAGAGGCTCACTAGTTTGCGAGCGTCCAAAGATGCTCCAAATGCGAACTGTGTGATCCCAGCTTCCACTAACAAGGTGGTTGCCATCGGAAGCGAAAGCGAGACTGGAAACGGGGCCTTCGTGACCGGAGAGCTGGTCAAGCAATTGACCGGTCTGCACAGACCACACATGGATATCGAACGAGTCTGGGGAACCGGCACAAACCACTTCACCACTGGGGTCCACGGCGAGCGAGCCGAATGAGAGTCGGGATGGAGCGGTGAAGGTTCGGAAATTACGGTAACGGATAAGATCCCATGCGCGAATGGAACCGTCCAATGATGCCGTGAACAAGACACTTCCCTTCTTTGCGAATTGGCATGCCGTCACTCCACTTGTGTGTTCCGTGAATGTGACAATGCAGAAGCCTGACTTGACATCCCACACCTTAATTTTGCCGTCATCGGCTGTCGTAACAATTTTCGTGCCGTCTGGCGAGTATGCGAGGGCATTCATAGAATCGAGGTGCCCTTGTTGCTTGAGAATATAGGACTCGGATTGCCACTCCCACACAAGTAGCTGACCGTGCTTGGACGATCCGAATGCGAGCCACTCGCCTGATTTGTTGATAGTCACAACATCAATGTTGCTCTGGGAGACACTAAAAGTCTATTAGCAACTATAAAAGCAATGCGACCTCCAACGTGACTTACCTTAGAAGATGAATCATGTTGAAATCTGGCAGGTCGTAAAGACCAAACAAGCCGTTGGAGAATCCCACAACTAAAAGGTTAGATGGGGCGTGGAACGCAGCACAATTGACCTTGGCATCGTTCTGCATGAAGAAATCCTTCTTGACAATTCTCCACCGGGCCTCCGAAATATCCTCCATTGTGTCCTCGTCCTTTTTCGTGACATATTCCCAGCGGAAGAGCGCACCATCTTGGCTGACAGTGTAGATCTATGATCCAGTTAGTAGTAATTTCGACTGAATGTTCGATGAAACGTACAGATTCCTGGGACGCATTGAAATAAGCAGCTACTACACCCTGTCTATGTCCTGCCAGAGTAGTTGGCTCGAATCCTTCCTCCGGATCCATACTCCATACTCGCGCCGTCAAATCCTTTGCAGCAGTGAGCAAGAAGCGCGAATCACTGGACCACTCGACACTTTGGATATCGTCGAAGTGGGCGGCGAGGTCTCGGTGTAGAACGAAGGGAGCGAATTCAATCTCTCCATTGTTCTCTGTTCCAGGAGTAGAAGGAGTCTGCCAGATTTGCAGGCGTCTCCCCACACCAACGGCGAAATGACGTCCAGAGGGAGAGAACTTGAGAGCAGAAACTCGGGATTTGAAGGAAAAGTGGTGAATGGCGATGCGCCGTTGGAAGTTGGTCAGAATGGCGCGGCCATTCTCGTCAACGGTCAAGAGAAGGTTGCCCCTCGGCGAAAGATCGAGACGGTCTATGTTTGTCCGGTGCGAAAAGGGCAGGGTGTAAGAAGTGTTTCTATACGGTCAATGGTTAGCTGGCTGACTTTTAAGCTTGCCAAAGAGGTCAAGGAAGCACATACTGCACCAGATCAAAGACAGAGACCCTGTTGCCTACTGGCGACAGCAAGCATGTTCCATCGGGAGTAAAGAGAAGATTTCCTTTGCGATAGACCGTCCCCAAGAGGTTGGAGAACTAGATTGGTGTCAGTAACAAGATTATAATCGCGGATTCGTTCCAAGCAATTTCGTATAGAATTCAGAGCGTACTCACCTTGAAATCGGTCTTCATTTTTGCTGTTGCGGGATCCCGAAGATCAAAAAATTAGAGATATTCCAGGTGATAAGGCCGGATCATCCAAGCCCCGACTCCGAGCCCAACACAGCCTAGCGCGACGCGCTAGTCCCAGATAGGCAAGGCGAGGTATACTCCAGAAAACGAAAGGAGATTCAGGGGGAAGCAGCGACGGGCAGTTCGAGCAATCCGATTCCAACTTTGACTCCTCCTTTTCCCTCCAGGAGCTTCATTCTTCCCTCTCTCACCCGGGGTTCTCTGTGTTTTCTTCTTCTTCTGTTCATTCTGAATTGTTTTAATTCCCTACACAATGTCCACAACAGAGACCGCTACGCCTATTGGCATTGCCAACGTGAGTGCCAGCAACCCCTTTTCAACTGGTTGATAGCTAACAAACCATTCTTGATGTAGCTCCCTAACCAGAGGTATGACATCGAGCGATAAATTGGGGATTGCGGTGGAGGGAACAAGACTCTAATCAAGCGGTATAGGCACAAGATTGTCGCGAAGCGGGGTGCGGCCTTTACTATTATGGTGTGTTTGACACAGGATGATCGTCTACATGGACTCCGCGAGCCTGAAGCTAATGATTCGCTCGTCAGGTTGCTGGAGAATCGGGATTGGGAAAGACGACCTTCATCAACACCCTCTTCTCTACCACCATCAAGAACTATGCCGATCACAAGCGCCGCCATCAGAAGCAGGTTGACCGCACCGTGGAGATTGAGATTACCAAGGCCGAGCTCGAGGAGAAGTTCTTCAAGGGTAGGAGATGCACATGATTCAAGTCCGCGTTCCGGTAGCTGACTGCCAATTTCTAGTCCGCCTCACCGTTATTGATACCCCTGGCTTCGGAGACTACGTGAACAACCGCGATTCGTGGCAGCCCATTATCGAGTTCCTGGATGACCAGCACGAGTCGTACATGCTCCAGGAGCAGCAGCCCCGCCGAACCGACAAGATTGACATGCGTGTGCACGCTTGTTTGTACTTCATCCGTCCCACCGGTCACACCCTGAAGCCTCTCGACATTGAGGTCATGAAGCGCCTGAGCTCCAGAGTCAACCTGATCCCCGTTGTTGCCAAGGCTGATACCTTGAGCCACGGCGATCTGGCCCGTTACAAGGAGAGAGTGAGTTGGACCGCACAAGGATGAAATTGGAGACATGGTTAACAGTCATCAGATTCGCGCTGTCATTGAGGCCCAGGGCATCAAGATCTACTCCCCTCCCGTCGAGGAGGACGACGAGCACGCCGCCTCCCACGCCCGCAGCCTCATGGCTGCCATGCCTTTCGCCGTTATCGGTTCCGAGAAGGACGTCAAGGCCAACGACGGCCGTGTTGTCAAGGGTCGTCAATACGCCTGGGGTGTTGCCGAGGTTGAGAACGAGGACCACTGTGACTTCAAGAAGCTCCGCTCAATTCTGATCCGCACTCACATGCTCGACCTTATTCACACCACCGAAGAATCGCACTACGAGGCCTACCGTGCCCAGCAGATGGAGACCCGCAAGTTCGGCGAGGCCCGACCACGCAAGCTCGACAACCCCAAGTTCAAGGAGGAAGAGGAGACCCTGCGCAAGCGCTTCACCGAGCAGGTCAAGGTCGAGGAGCAGCGTTTCCGCCAGTGGGAGCAGAAGCTTATTTCCGAGCGCGATCGCCTCAACAAGGATCTCGAGGCCACCCATGCTGCGTATGTTTTGGATAGCTCCCACGCATTAATAATTACTGACCGATCGCAGGATCAAATCCCTCGAGCAGGAGATCGAGGGTCTCCAGGGATCCAGCACCCGCAGCCACGGACGTCGTTAAGATGCATTTGTACCGGGCATCCCGGAAAAAGGGGAGTAGTAGAACCATGTTTTTTCTTCTCTTCGAGTACTTGTCTTGCTTGGGACCTTCTCGGGTTTCGTTTTCTTTGTTATATCCATTTACCGCTGGTAGCTAGCGATGGTGTGTCTACAACCTTGATAATAATTTCTGTATTCTGTAGCGTGGAAATACAGATTAATTCTTGTGAGCTGGCTCAGTAGTAGTGTTCCCGATATGTAAAGCTCCGAGCTCCAACCATTCCAACTTCTTCAATTCACTCGCCATGAGAACAGTCTTCCCAACCAGACCCGTCCACACTCTCAAAACACACAATGGTACTCAATCCCAATCCTACTCCGAACCAACACTCTAACCAATCCAACCCAGGTCCGGTAAACGCAGTAACATTCTCCAGCTACCCAGGCACCTATATCCTAACAGGCTCCTCCGACCGAACCGTCCACCTAACGCGCGCAATCCCCAACACAAACAAAAAAAGCGATCCAATCGAAACAACCTCCCCAATCCAGAAATACGAAGCGCACGGCTACTCCGTCCTAGACATTGCCGTCGCAGCCGATAATGCCCGCTTCGCTAGCGTAGGCGGTGACCGCCAGGTCTTCCTGTGGGATGTTGAGCAGGGTATCACGACGAGACGGTGGTCAGGGCATAATAGTCGTATTGAGGCTGTACAGTTTGCGGGGGAGGGGGATGGGGTTGTTGTTACTGGTATGGCTCCTATACTTTATTCCAACGCTACAATCCGACTGAGGTCCAATCCAATCAGTCTATCAGCACCCAACTAACAACACGATACCACAGGCAGCGCAGATACCACAATAAACCTCTGGGATACACGCGCCAACAGCCACAAACCAATCCAAACCCTCACAGAAGCAACCGACACCGTCTCAAGTCTACACGTACACATGGGATCATATTCAATCGCAAGCGGGAGTTATGACGGCCACGCGCGGATCTATGACGTGCGCACGGGCAAAACGAGCGTTGATGTCCTTGCGCATCCAGTTACCAGTGTAAGGTGTTCTGCGGATGGGAATGCTTTGCTTGTTTCTACGCTTGATGGATATATCCGGATGTTGGATCGTGTTGATGGGGGGTTGTTGAAGGGATTTGGGGACGGGAATAAGGAGGAGAAGGGGAAGGGGGCTGGGCATAAGTATCGGAATACGGAGTTGAGGGTGAGGTCTGTGTTTGCGCAGGGTGATGCTGTTGTGTTGAGTGGGAGTGAGGCTGGTGGTGGTGGTGGAGATGGGGCAGCTTCGTTTGCGTGGGACGTTATTAGTGGGGAGGTTATTGCTGCTGTTCCTATGGGGGAGAAGGTTAAAGCTGTTAGTTGTGTGGCGTGGAATGAGAAAGGTGGGGATTGGGCTGCTGGGTGTTCGGATGGTATGATCTTTGTCTGTGGTTTGTTGGGCTCTTTTGCTGACTTTTGTTATAGGCACTGTTCGCGTCTATGGCTGAATGGGTTCATGGTTAGGAACTGAACCATCTTCGCTGGACTGTACATCTTAGCCCTTCGTGAAGAGACTTCAGCATCATCTATCCTCTATGGTGGTGTTATCCTCACCACCACTCAACTTGAGACATTGGCTGACTTGGCAAGTGGCTCTACAGTAGCCCCAAGTCACTCTATTGAGACCCCTGGGCTGTGGTGGGGTTGATGATTTGCAGTCTCGCAAATCAGCCGTTTCAATCCTATGGCACATGTGGACCTCAATGTAGGCCCTAGAAGGAGACTACATGACATGTCATTCCTGCCATTGTGACAATTGAGTATGGGTACGAGCCCTAGCATATTATTAATGAGATATGAAATCAACTGCATTATGAACAAGCTCTTTATTACTTTTGAATTCGTGATTTAGATCAGAATTTGGTCTATAAGTTTACAGAACCAATTTAATTCCGATGGTAGTGACGGTGTATGCACATTTATTCAACAAGAAAAGCCTCACATCCAGTTCAGCTGCTTGCAAAGGGATAAAGTGCATTTCCATTGTGGATGGCCTTGAATCTCTTCCGACAGTAGAAGTCATCTCTGTTCTACAATGATTTGGCTTTGGGTTATTGGAGGGTGAACACTCAGTCGATAAAATAGTTTATGTGAGGGTTGTGGTAAACACGCCTTGAAAGGGGGAACTCCTCAGGCAATTACATGCCCTACTTGAATGAGAGTCTATGTGGAGGAATCTGTGTAATCCCGCTGAATCTCAAAATTCCCCTCTGACCTGAACGACAAATGTGCCACTTAGTGCCAGGACACTGTGCAGCAACAAATCATCATTGTAAGCAATTGGCATAAAACCTAGGAACAAATAGGGCCTTTAACTATAGTGCGGTGGCTAGCAGTGGACGGTATTCTCGAAGCAATAAGACAGCAACAACGGTTAGCGAAAATCATTCCGGCTCGCCTTGGACTCAAGAACGGGTTTAGCTTCCGCAACCCGGGGATCGAATTAAAAAACTGTTGTTTGTATTTACTCTTCCAGATATCAAAAGCTCAAAACATCTTACGATGGCCATATGAATCAAATTTTGAGGGCAGACCGGTAATCTGAAAAACATCCAGATTGTCTACAACGTCGAATCTCCACTGCACGCTCCCCCATGCAATTTGTTAATAAACATTTTCAATAATCAGCCTCAGCACTTCAGTCCGCATATCTTACTACGTCACAGGAAGTAGGAGCTAATAGATCAACTAATTTGGATTGGATGTCCAAGGCTGACAATTCACTCAAGATCAAAAATCGCCCCCCTCAAAAGACTCATCCTAGCCATATGTTGGCCCGGCGCACTAGGCGGTCCCATTGACCAGCTTGTCACAGTTATTCGTGCTGAGCGAAGGATTCACCTCCATAAACAAAGTCCAAGCAATCTTATTCTTCACGCGAACCGTAGTGTAAGTTTCCTGCAATGCCTCGTTCGTGACAACATACCACTTGCCACAACGAAGGGTGGCCCCCTCAGCAATAGTCGCGTTATAAGGAGGCGGCCTCTCGGGAATCCAATATCCATCGGCGTAGCTAGGCGACGTTGGATCTATAGCAGGGGCAGTATCATTCGAACTACCAGCCTAGGACGAGAGACAAATAACATGCCCGTACGCGACATGGCTGACCGTCTGAAGATTGGAGCAATCGTAATTGATCCAGGGATTCTATTTGCGTAGTGAGCTTCCATCATTGTATCCGACGCTCTAGGCCTTCTCGATGGAGATGTAAGTGTCGTTGCTTTTGATGGCGTAAACGGTTTCACATTGGAATCGCATGCATAGTTCCGTGCCGACTACAATGTCTTCGTATACAAACAAGTTTACGTGCCCTATGAAGAGAGCTGCTAATAAGACTTTGTACTTAGTAGCAATCGAGTCGTAGGTATCGCCTATAACGGTAATGTATTTGATGCCCGATACGCACGAGTCCGAGGGATTGTATAGGTCGATTGTTAGCTAGAGAGGATCTAGGATATCGGTAGGGATATTGAGGCCGTATTTTGAATTGATGTATTTTAGTTAGGATTAGAAGGTAGTATCGTACTCGGAGTAGGGTGTTAACTGCATATTTTGAAAGCGGTCGATATAGTAGGATAAGCAGAGTTCAGTAGTAGGCATATTGTTAATATCAAGGTTGAAGCCACTGAGAACGTCTATGTGTAATCATATAAGGATCGATTAAATAAAAGTAAAAGAAAAGGTTTGGACTTACCACCACAGTATTTACCACTCGTAAGATCCTTAGCATAGGTTTCATTCCACCCTGCCCATATGCTTCCGCCTATCATATTTAATGAGGCCTTATTTTTTCGTACGAGACAGGGGTTCTTAGGTCAAGCGGCGGGCCAAGCCGTCGCAGATGTGCTCTTTGGTGATTTCAACCCCGGTGGTCGAGTGACAATGAGTGTTCCTTATGATGCTGGTTCCCTTCCTGCGTACTACAAGTAAGGTTGCCACTGATTCGGAATGATCATAGCGCTAAACATGATCATAGTCAGCGCACTACCAAACCTGCGAGTCACATACCTTACTACCTCGATGTCCCAAAGCCTGTACTGGTATGGCAATAACTCCTTCAGCGCTTCTCGCTTTCAAGTCCGAATAAATCGAGACTGAGCGCCTCACTTGTAGGTTGTCACATCATTGCTAATCATGATTCCTAGTATTCATTTGGATATGGATTGTCATACACGACGTTTTCTCAGAATTTACAAAGTGCCAAGTCTACTTCTGAAGGTCGCAATAACGGCACTTTCTCGCACGGCGATACTGTTGCCTTTACTGTGTCCGTCACAAATAAGGGCACTGTGGCTGGAAGAAGCCATGTTCCCGAGGTAAGTCGTAAATTCTCCGGCCTGAAGAGACATATGCCTCTTCCTATGCCGCCCCGGATTTCATTCTTCTCCTATGGCTTCCAGTTTCTTACACTAAAGTAGATCTACCTCCTGAGACGTTGGGGGTCGTCCGTTACAACGCCCAATAAGCAGCTCGTCGCACTTACTCGCCTTGAAATTAATGCGGGAGAGACTGTCACTGCAGTGTTGGAATTGGAGGTGGACCGCTATCTCCCCGTTATCAATCGCGAATATGAGCGCGTATTGGAGGCAGGGCAATACACATTTGCCCTAATGGACGACGGATCACTCGACGCCCCGACAATCGCAGACGTTACACTGATCGTTGAGTCCTCGCACACATATCAGAAGTACTAGAAATATGCGTCCGCTGTCCAAACCGTACTAGATCATTGGTCACTCTGTCGGCATGCTTTGCACGGGAAGCCACGCGGGCGTTGAATGCCATGTTAAGACAGCACACCAGATAAGAGTCAGACTGAACCCATGTCCATAAAACAGAGAGGGGTAGTTCTGAGACTATTTGATCAAAATGTCATCCTATTCTCAATCTCTAGAATTGTGATGGAAATCGGGTCATAGAACGCACTCAAACTCATAGATACAGCTCTCTTGAGCCATCCCTAAGCATCCCTAATCCATTTGACTGTGGCGCTTTCAGCGCGCAATCTCTCAGTAGAAAAAGCATGTCGAGCTTTCTTTTGGGCAAACGCGCCGCCACCGCCATATCCAAAATACATGGCAAATCATCCTTAAACAATGCTGGGTATTTCAAGTGTGAGAGGACCCATACAACTATTGTCACACTTAGTAAATCCGAAGAGAAAAAGATGACTACGTTCAATCGGAAAATAGACTCGCTGAAGAAAGATCTTTCAAGATTCCCGTGCCAGGTCGAAGATTCAATCAAATTGCATGTCTTTAGCCATCCCACTGCTCGTCTTCGTTCAGCTCTGGGAAGAAAGAACGGATGAACTCTCCGGTGATTGGGTCATAGGGGAAATGCGTGTCGCCTGCGCTACGGTCATGGGTATTCGGCCCAGATGGAAGTTCAGCGCCCAATAAATCCGCAAGATTTGATTCAATTTCACCCCGGCTTGCGACAGAACCTTCCCGTGGATATGGTCGCGATAGACGATCGTCGTGGGTATACAATGTCCTGGGGTCAATTGTTTCATCCAGCTGCTCAAGCAAAGACGGGTCCGCAGGATCAACGCATGGCTTGGCCCGCTGCTGGTTTGGACGGAATGGTAAATTGCGAGTGTCGTATCCGAGCTTCAGCGCCAGCCGAGAAAGTGCACCTTCACACAGCTGCCATGCACGTCGCGATGCGATGCTATGCTGGGACATTGTGTAGAGCCATTGGACAGACTTTTTCCCGAGACGTATAAGACTGCTTTCTTTTCCTCGAATATGGACGCAGCCAAATGACAATTCCAAGATGATTACTGACGCTGTCTGCATGATATAGTGAAGAATACACCACCATGGACAGGTCTGATACAGGTAGATTGTGTTTGGCTCATCTGGCAACAAATCGAGCATGTGTGTCGCAGACTCCAGAGTCGACACGGCCATGTCGTGGGTGAAGCCATGCGTATCGCGATCCGTGTGCCGGCAAAGGCACGGCCGTCCTAGCATGATTTGTGTGCTATAATAGTGGAATGCCAAGCTTATTTTGAACCGATAGGCTTGGCTATTCTCTTCTTCCATATGAGTGAAATCTAGCGCAGATGGAAGGCATGATACCCAACTATCGACGCTCGCTTTTAGCTGGTTGATGCGGCTCTTGATCTCTTCCCATGATAGCATCGCACACTCGACCGAGTAAACTCGGTTCAAGATTTCTTGAGTCAAGACTGTCAGATCGCAATTGTATAGGAAGTAAAGTGCGGCATCGGCAGGTAGGGCTTGAAGCCATGAGAGCCCAATTAGTGCATCCCGCGTTCGTTTGCTGTCCACTAGGCGTAGGTACGGACTCGTCATTGCTCTGTTCAGGCGGTTTTCTCTCATTTCCAGATCTTCGAGAAACCGGGCAGCCGAGGGCTCTAGCAATTGATCTTCGTTGAAGGGAAGCGGCAATTGAGAACTAAACATATTCATCGAAATTGCTGTTTTACGGCCAGTCATCAATCCCAGCTTGTGTTCGACAGTGAATAGACACCACCAAATTCGACAATGTGACTCTTTGATGAGACCTGGAAGTAAGTGGCTGTTATTTCTCAAATTGATACCGAGAGAGATTGCGGATCGAATTGCCAGGGCCGAGATCCTCCATGCCCTGTGTGTGCGTTTAGATTCGTTCGGCTGAAAGGGTTGAGATGGCATACCTATTAATCTGGTTTATAGACAGCAGGTGAAATGCAATCAGCCCCTCTATTTGCACTTGTTGGAGGTCAGGATGTTGAAATAGGTTATCGCCGCCCATACTAAGCATTCTAGCACGGGTCAGATATAACAGATGGTCTTGGGCAGACCCTGGCCCTGCTATGTCACTGTTACAAGAGTAGTTCGATGTTATCGCAAAGATCATGTTCAGCAGTGCCATCCATTTGTCACCTGGCAAATGGATCCCATCAAAAAAGTTTCTGTATTGGACAGAAAACTGGGTCCGGTCAATAATGGGGTATTGCGGGTGAACCATGAGCAAATAAGTTTCAAACAGACGATCTGCTAGCTGTCGGTGGGGCACCCAATACATTTGTACTGCCTCCGGAACACTGATGCTCAAGTCATCGATATGATAGTCGATGCAGTGTGGAGGAATTCGGTCACCGGAGCGGCTATCATCGTTACATGTTGATTTTGACGGTTTGCCATCGCGCTGCTCTTCTTCCAGTAGCCTTTTTAGCCATGTGATTTCTGAGCTTTTACCCATAAATCCTGTGGCACGAGAACTTTCAGTCTGATTGAGGTCCTCCTCAACTCGATCCACCGCCTCCAGTGATCCAATGGAGGAAGGTGAACTGGATTGCTCAGGCTCAGCCTGGTCTTGGGACACGCTAAGGGGCGTCGCATTGGACACATAACCTGAATCTGGATCATACTAGTCAAAAGTTAGACAATGCATAGATTCCAATGCAACCTTTGCGACACGGATCACGAACCTTGTGCAGTAGATCCCTAATACGCTTAGCAGGGGAGCCGGGAAGATTCCCCATCTCATTCAGCATAGTCTCATACTCTTGAACTTTGTTTGAAAGAGCTTTTAATTGCCTAATATTGCACTTTGGTTTAGCTCCAAGATATCAATATATCAATAGACATGTATGCTCATTGCCATTGTTGACTAGGCAGTGATAGGTGTTGAGAATACCTTTTTTGTCTTTCACGCGATGTTAACGGATACGAGCATCCAATGTTGAATTCTCGACATTGTCTGCAAGCCGGAGTGTCACCGGTGCATTTTATTTTCCGCTGATGACATGATTCACATGCCCGTGGGACTCGGTTGCCAGAGGGTCGTGGGGTGACGAATCGTTGCCGAGGAATTGCGACTTTCATTAGGAAAAACAGAGATTCCGGTGCAAGAGTATATGGTCTCTCAATCAAGGATGAAGTTGGATTTGGATTGCAGTGTCTTTTGATTACATTGTACCTGGTGTGGCAAAATCAGTGATGTCATGTTGCAGCTGCCTCCACGTCACGGGTTTAGATATTGCCAGCTAAACATTACTCATTTATCCAAGTCCAGTCGATACGGTCAGATAAAGAGGTTTAATTATCTGAACACCAACAATTTTCGATATGGATCAAACATCTCTAACGGAAAGACGTGGGTGCTTTGAATAAAGTCACTATGTAAGCCTACTATGTAAGCCTACTATGTAGGCATATGTCAAACCTCGGAAGCTCCAACATTTAAGCGGGGTGTGAACTAGACAAATTCCAGGAGCCGAAAATCTCAATAGATGACTGTTGCAACTGGACTACGTACGTAGGACGAGAGACTAGCGCAAGCTAAGACGGAACCTTCTACGCAACCACGAGAGAGAGCAACCTAGTGAGGCCGCCTAAAGGCATTGGTCCGATACAAGCAGGTAAATATATCTAACTACTAAAGCACAGTACAGTAGATTTCAAATTTTGTTATACCTCCACGCTCTTACCACTTGATTTTCGGAAAAAGGATCCGCAATATGCTAGCTTATTTTAGTTCAACGTAACTCCGACAAACCCGTATTGGTAATGGCCGTACTATTATGAATGGGTCATCATCATTATACCGTAACTAATACCCCATGGAGTCACGCAGAACCGCTTGGTGGTTCTGATGATATGGCAAGTCTTCCACCATCTTCACGCCTGCCCGTTATGACCCATCCCATCATCCTTCCCAAATGTGTCGCAGATTTCGACCACGCTCGCCAGGCATAATATAAAGGGCTGTGCTTAAGCCTAGCTCTTGGCTATAGTTCCGACCGAATTGAACCTTAGCCATCACGCTAGGTAGAAGATTAGCGCTATATTTTCTCACTCGAAGGTTAAACTAATGTTATAACTAACTTCGTTTAGGTATCTAGTCTAGACTATGTTACTAGGCAAGTCGCAAAATTACATTTCGTCATCACAATCACGAAGGCCATAACCACAACGATGGTAAAGCCCATTTCTATGCTAACGGCAGACTACGTTTTGGTACAGCCTCTTGTGGTATACATTTGAGATATGCAATGTTGACGGTTGGCTGTCCGATGGCGGCGACTAACTATATGACGAGGGAGGCGGGCGTGGAGCTATAACGGGGTGGGAGTGGCATAAGGAGACCTCGGACCACTAAGCGCATGTTTAATTCAAGCTGTCTTTCTTCATAAAGGTTGGTTGCGTGGCACGGGCCATTGTCTCCGCTAGTGGACCGAAGATTTCGTGCAGGGGTGGAGGTATTGGTCCACTGAAGGGAGACTCGCATCTTGGCATTGTAAAGGAGGATCTGGAATACTATGATGATGATGACAACGATGATGAGGAAGCGGGGTATTGGTCGACATTGAATGCTCGAGAAAACGGCAAGACCCTGTACAAGCCGGCGTTCCCGTCTGGGACAGACGAGCAGCTGCATGAGTCCCTGAGCTTTTATCTCTCACATGATTATGCACTGCCTTCGCATATATGGATCCATGCTTTGTTGATACGCTTCCGTTGATGCCATGCTTTCAAAGACTGGAAAGAGAAGTTAGCCAAAGACAAGGCCATAGTAGCTGGTACAAGGATTCGACAGTAACAGGCCTCAAGCCAACTCACATTCCCTTTTAGCTTGTTTACTCTCGGCCGTGTCATGCCACAGCCTCAACAGCCATGTAGCAACCAGTGCATCCCTCAACTCCTGTGGCATAATCCTCGTAATGGATAATTTACATCTGTCATCCTCTTTTTCATCAACAGCCACCTGTCTGCCATTGGAATCGCTCCATTTATAGCAATTGCGACCGACTTTCCAATTTGGGTGGATATCGAACAATAGTTGTTGTGTGCTCTCGTCAAAAAATGGCTTATTCGAGGAGGTTTTCTTCGGGCTTAACATCACTTTGAAGGACGTCCTCCGAAGCCGTGCCTCAGAAGTCTCGAGGCGAATATTGCCCACCATCTCCGGGACCGCAGAAGTGATGTAATACCTAGCAGGTATGTCGGTCCGGTATTGCGCATTCACAGGGTGGACGAGGTTGAAAAGTCGTCGGCTTCGCGGCGTGCCATCAGTGACGCCCTCAGTCTCTGTCTCGAGCTCAGGTACACCGTGCTCGACTCTTTCCACTGCCACGGACGAGTCCTTGTTCGAGATTGACCTGATGTCACTGTTTAACTGATAAAGTGGGGTTGAAGTTGCAGCCTCAGCGAAGACAAATCGTCCCGACAAAAAGAGGACGGCGGGCTCAAGAATGTCATTTGAGGGTTTTCCACCAGTTTTCTCGTATGATTCAGTGTCCGAATCCATTGTCTTGTGCATTGAGTGGGTCCGAATCTCTCAATATTCCTAGCAATCCAGTATGCGATTAACTTACTGATTGCGCAAGGTATGTTCAACGATAGATATCAAGAGTAGTAAGTAGTATGCTTTGTGGTCTCAGTTGTCATAGGCCGTAGTAGAGTGTACCAGTGATAGACCGCCCGAGGTCGACACCCAGGGACCTCCCCTGGGTTTGCTTAGGTGGGGATAACATTAGTTACATAAGCAGTCGTTTTGGCCCCGTTTGTACCTTGTACGTCATGTGGTGTCAGGCTCACCTGCCTCAACAGTCCGCGGGTATGAAAGACAATTGTATGAGGCATTTTTTCTCTCTCCTCAAATGAGGTTCTTTATGACCATCAGAAGACATGGACGCGCCAAGTTTGGGGGCTGGGGCGAGGCAAGCCGTGAATAGCAAGATTTAGGCAAAGATGGACGTTGGAAACTAATTTAAAGCAAACACCGGGGATCTGCACGAGCTAATTACGCCAAGCCGGGGTTATATAATCTCAGCTTTGAGTGGAGCTGTTCGGCGGGTGTGGCTGTGGGCCCCGGGCAACTCGCCAAGCAGAAACAAATCCCGGAGTAGCCTTCTTGGTACCCCCGTCCTTGGCCAGGAGGTACACAGCCCTCCAGGCCCAAAGAATCGGATTATTATTGTATTGCAGGAATTAATTAAAAATAACCAGCAGTCTAATAATACCCGTTACCTAATAAACAGTAACGACAAACCATTGATCGTGAATTTGGAGCCCCGGAGCTGTTGCAGCCGGCTTCAGCCAACACTTTCCTTGATGTGCACGTCGAAATACACACAGTCATGCGGACTGCTTTGAATGGCATACTCGCCGCAGCGCAGGTCATCGCCACCTGTTTCATGGCTTGGAAGGCCCTTTCACTTTGGGCCGGTACGCCTTACCCGGTGATGATAGTGACTACCGAGTCTATGGTTCCCGCGTTTGCCCCAGGAGACATCTTATTGATCTCCAACCACCATCAAAATGTCCACATAGGCGATCTGCCTGTATGCTGGTTACCTCATAGGGCGTTCCCAATGGTTCATAGGGTGCTTCGGGTGTCGTATGAAGAGCAAAGCAATCCAGATTTGACGTATGCACTGTGCCAGTCGTTGTATTCTTGCAGTGCGCTAATTTCAAATATACTATAGCCAGCTCATCTTGACAAAGGGAGACAATAACCTCATCGATGATACGTTATTGTATCCTGATGGCCAGGATTACTTGCTCCGAAGCCAAATCATCGGGTTTGTCAGAGGTTACATACCCTTCATTGGATGGTTCGTAATCGTCCTACAAGATTTCACACGCCTTCGGGAGGTCGCTGCCACGTTATGTCGGGTTATTGGCTTTACCATTTGATCTAAGGGAAGACCTGCGAGTGAATACAACATTGCAGCCTCATCAATAGACTCATAGTATTGGGTGTAATAAAACGTGGTAGACCTTAGGATAGACCCAAATTGGGGATATGCAGAAAAAGAACACGAAAACCCATGTTATGCCCGCAACCGTTCGCAACAGCGGTGAAAAGATCCCTCTCAAGTTGCTCCATACTTTCATCTTGGATATCGCTGTTTCCCCGGCGGCGGCAAGGAAACACATCTCGAAGAATAGGATGTCTCGGAATAGTGCCGCATCCCCCAGTGACCATCCAACCAATGCGTGTGAGAAGCCAGATATTGTGAATATGAGCAACGCGGTTATTGTCTTTTCCAACCTTGAGCCCGGCTGTACTCCCAAAAAGTGCCGAGAAACAAGGCGTGAATAATACACGTATGTAGGTATTGTCAACCTATGCCAGAACCGGCCCCAAAAGCCTCGCACGCTGTACGCTTCCATTGGGCTCCCAAAGAGAGGTGGCCAATCTTCGGGATAATCGAATCGCAAGATGGCCACGAACACAATAGCCAGAAGAGAATGATAAAATTCTAGAAAGAAATAAGCGCGCCAAATCCATTGGACTGACATAATGGCGCGAACTTGGATTTGATGGGATGATAGCTGGAAGGCAACTTCCATTTCGGGCGAGAAGTCGGCTACGACTACTTGCCCAAGCGCATGAATGAAGACTTTCTGAAAGACAAAGTGCTCGAACGCCCACAAAGTTGCTGCCTTCGTTGTCCGATTGAAGGAGAAAAGTGCTCGAGATTTAGAATCACTTGGCGCCTCCTTTTCGAGGGCCGAAAGCTGTAATGGTAGCTTTCGAGGATTGTTCCAAGTCCTGTAACAGTCGACGAAGCTCCAGTCATGTGTGCTAAGCTCTGGATTAACAGCATGCTGATCAAAAACGAACGTCTTTGTCGAGTAAAGGAGATAGAAGACCACCAAGCTTGCGAAAGTGCTATCAGCCCCAATCATCCAAGACAGCCTATGGGACGTGGCCAATGACATTAGAGAAAATAGCCAGATCGGTCCCAGCAACAGAAGACGGGTTTGCCGGCGAGTTTTGAGACCGATAATGTTGAGCACGCTCGCTATCATGTAGTAGAACAACGGTGAAAGTGGCTCGGGATCCATGGTCTGCAAAGTGTTTGTAGTTTGACAGTAGGGGACAAATGTGAAAATAGCAGATATGAAGATTAAGATGGTAATAATAAATAGCTTCTTACTCTTAACACTTGCGTAACATTCCGAAACCATTCCGAAACCCTCCCCGAGATGCTGTGGATGTGAATTCCCCACTATCACTGGAGGATTCCGTAGATTGCCCATCCATCTTTCTCAATGGCCAGGACAATGTCAAACAAGGTATGCCCTAATCCGTCTATCTGACTACTCAGACCGCGCGTTCTTTACTGCCAATTGATATATTGAAATAGCAGTCATGAATCTATCTAACATTTTATCAGACCATCTATCTGTTTATGGTGCCTACCTTCCTCATCAAGCTTGTGAGGCAATAAATTGTTGAAGTTCCGGGGTCTGCACTACTATTTTGGGGGCCAACCCCCACTGTCATCTTGATCATGCCGTTCTCTATGACCCACAGTATTGCTATGGACCAATTTTGGTCTTCCAGGTTTCTAAATCGCTCTTTCCCCATAGAGCCCCTTCTGATCCGCTCGCATGGAAATTTGTGTGTGATTGGCGTATTGGTCTGCAGCGTAAGGCACCCCACTTTCCCTGGGCGAGGGCGTGGGTCGGTCAATCTATGTATACTTGGCCCCCTTCGAGTTATGTGTTGTATCATGCTGCAAACCTGCCTTGAGCCAATTTGTTTACTTCGGGCAAGCTGTGGACCCAAGCTAACTAGGTGCGAGCGAGAAATGGCCCCATATTCCTGTGTAGACCTGACCTTCACGAAGGATCCTAACGTAACATCCTTGGGGCCATTACTTGGCCTCAATTGAGCACCTGCTTCAACCCACGGCATGATTTTTGTCAGATCATACGTCAGCTACCATTTACTCATGAATACTAACTTTGACGCTACCTGCTTTAGTCACCAGTTGGATTATGAGTACTTCCTGATCATGGAAAGTTATGCGAGATATCATGAGTATGCCTTTTGTCGTGGGTTGCTCCGGATGGGTATAAAACACCCATCAACCTTCATCTCTGCCTTTCTTCTTCTTCTCATCATACCAACGAAGTCTCACACAAATTTCCAAACGAAAATCTCAAACTCTTCCAATCAATAAGATGACTCCCATCTCCCTCAAAGCAGTCGGTGGCGCCGCAGCCGTATACCTGTTGGGTCAGCAGATCCATTGCCCTTTCGTTGCCATTCCTCTTATCGGTGATGCTGTTGCCATGACTGTCGCTCAAGTAGGCTCAGCTGCAGCTAGTTTCGGCGGTGCAATTGTTGGCGCGCATTTTGCCAAAGCGAGGGATCTAGAGGGGCGTGATACCCAAATTACCGCCCCCGCTGGAGTGCCTCAGTACAACTTCGATATGTGCGCCGAGAGCTTGTCCGACCCGTCGGTCACGGTCACGGTTAATGGTCCGGTTGAGAACAATGGTGAGCAGATAACAATAACACTCAATTTTGAATCACGCTAACCATTCTCAGGTGTCAAAATCGACGGCCTGCCTTCTACCTGCATGGTTCTTTCAACCGTTTTCGACGGCAATGCTGCCGGTGGTCCGGTGCCGACTCCCTGTGGCTCTGCATGCCTTCTGTACAACAACCTGAACCAGGATGAGTATGGACAGATGCAATCCACCTTCAACAAGTTGAAGAATCTATAGAGCTCTGAGGCATATTTTGCCAATGGTGTGCTCGTCCAACTAGGAGGTTAGGGTCTTCGTCTTGGTGTTGTGTTGTTGATAGTTTTACTGGAGGAGGTTGAGGCCTTGGAAGCCTAGTAAAATTTACTCTCAGCATACATAGGACAGTTCATGGAATCATTTATACACTTGAAACACTTGCTCAATACAGTTATTATTGCTTTCAAGCATATAAAATCCTATGTATTTCGTTGCTTTTGACACTTATTTTCCAAGACAGTCCCAGGTTGTTTTGGACATCTTCAATGTAATCCTAATAAAACGTATTTGCGGTTGCTCTATCATGGAAGAACACCGTCAAACGGGATTAGAACCAGACTGCCATTCCGTGCTGATTCCCCTATGGCCTCCTTCCGCGGCTTTTGAGTTGATATAGGAATTGCCTGAATGAGTGTCCTTATATATTGTTTCTGGATATCTTCCCACCCTAACCCTCGGTATACTGGATAAGCGCTGATTGTAGCTTTGTATATTGGTATACCCCATGGTATATGGCTTGCGGTATATGATCATGGGATTGGTCTAACTGCTAGCCGTGGCGATGAAAATGGGCCAGAGGCAGATATTATCCTGTGTGTACAGTTTGCTTATAACATCTGGAATTATTTTCCCGAATTCTTCTTTCCAATGTCGACGACGAACTTGCTCGTTCTCCCCTTTACGTGCAGTGTATAGAGCCTGATTGCAGTAACGATAACCATAAGAGTCCAGCGCTCCCCCAACGCGCCCGACTGACCATCCATCAGCTCAAGCGTGAACGCATGTGTCAGACTGGGCCAGGCCATAACCCATCCAAGAAAGGCGACAGTCTCACCATGTTGGCCTGCTAATGGAGACGAGGACGAAGATGGTTTTTGGACGCTGCTACTGCCGCTCTGCTGGGGTGTTTGTTGACTAGACGAGAGCCGAACCAATTTAAACCCATTTCTGTTGGCTTGATCGTCACCCTTCTTGACCTTCCTCCACGCAAACTCCTCCCGCCGCTCCTCCTCGCCTACCTCGATGGAAAAGTGGAAGGCGATGTCGTTGCTTGTGCCAGGTTCGGCGCGCATAAGTTCCGTATCCATGTGGTCAGACTTCTGGTCCGGATGAAGTGGCGGCAAGAAGATGATGCCGTCGGGATTGAACGCATGGAGGCCGCGCGACTCATCGCCGGCGGCAGCAAGAACTTGATCCTTGGTGCTCATCCCATCGCGCAGGAGAAATCCCGTTCTCATCCCCAGCGGAGGTTTGCCGCTATAGCCAGTTTGCATCTCAATCAGACACAGACGTTCCTTGGAATTCGCACCACAGAGATTCATAGATTTCCATTTTGTCCACTGGCCATGTACACTCATGGTTGATGGAAGCGAACCATAGCGAGATGATGTGATCAATGCGTCGTCGTAGTTGGGCATCGCTTCACTTTCCTGGTGTTTGGCCATGATGTGACTTAATAAAAGTTGAGAGGATAAATCTAGGACGCTGGACGATATCGTTGACTTTGGCTCATAGGCATTGATTTCGCTGGCTTTACATAGTGTACTCCGTAGTGACTCCGCCACTCCCCAGCTGCAGGATATTAATGTTTTCAGTGGGTCAATTATCGAGTTGGATCATTGATTGGTCTTGCTGAACTCCTTTTGGGGCCAAAAACACACGGGGAACCTTTCTTGGCCTAATAATTCAATTTAGTTGAAATTAAATCAATTTTCCAAAATAGTCAACTTACCCGTTGAGCACTGTCAAAGCCACTCAGGCGTTTTATCGTTCTCTACCTGCGCCAAGACATTTGGCTTCCATGATTACGACCATTGCGCGATCGGCACGCAAGGAACAGTCACCCATGTCCCAGTGGACTGTTTAAGACTGAAGGACTTGCGAAGAGAATTAAGGAGGAAGGTCAGCGACTCGTTCAACAGCGTGTCGAGTCTACCCGAGGCTCAAAAGGTGAATGAGGTAAACCAGAGAGCGTGTAGCGGGCCAGGACAGTCAAGGTTGTGCTGGGCTTCGCCGAACCTTCACAGTAGTTTCGAAGTCGCGCTACGAGGGCAGCCCAACAATGGGAGCGGCCATTAGGCCACGATAGGCCTTGACGAGGCTCTAAGTCCGTTTCAGGAAGTGGGGACAATCTTTATGCACGTACACGGAGACATATAGTTGTTGTAGCCGGCATATCGCTTCGCTGTCACCCCCTAAGGTAGTAAGCTATCAATCATCGTTATCAGATAAGGCAGGGCTTTGAATTACCCATGAATTACTCATGCAAGTAGCTTGCTTAATTGACCTTCAATTATTAGCCCTCAACATTCTCATTCCACAAATCATACCTTTCGGCTTCCCAGGCACTTTTCTTGTCCAGGACATAGCTAGCCACGATTCTGTGTTCAATTCTTCTAGTTATGTTTATTCTGTGTCAGTTTGAGGGTGTTACCCAGGCAGTTTAGAAATTCGCATCGCATGAAATACCCGCTCGCTTGGGCGACTTCAATGAAAGCCCGTCTGCTAAGATTATAAGAACAAAAGTGGTGGACAGTTAAATTGAGAGTGGTCTTTCCGTATTAAGATTAGCCCCATGTCCAAACCTTGCTCGGGAATTAAGAAAGAGCATGGAGGTTAACTGATTTCGAAAACTACTGTATCTAGCGGGTGCCATAGCTTATCAAGGTTCCCCGTTCCCCTTAGCCCGAGGCCACTTTCTTTACTTTCTCATGCTAAGTATTAAATCTCTAGTGTTAAAAAAAATAGCCATTGGTAATCTTGAATGTTCATCCTACAGCATTGTTCTACTCGACGATGATTGTGGCTCTCGCCTGATACGAGTGGGTTTCACTTAAGTCCTCTTCCGACAGATTTGTAGGGGCGAGAAGTGTGCTCCATTAATAGTAACTAATTACATTCCATAGGTGTTATGTCTCCTGCGTGAATCCATGTCCCATTGCCACGATAATCCCTTAATGCTTAGCAGATTCTAGGAATCATCAGTCTTCTGTCCGGAAAATGAACGAGTCATAGTAAACTGCTTACCCTTGTGGACATCTGCCTTTGTGTCATGGGATTTCTCGTCTTTCTTATCAACAAGCGCATCTTTCGCAGCGCTGGCACGGGTGCTTATATTGGCGTTGGAATCCTTGGCGACATTTTTGTTGGTCTCCTTGGAAGCCTCGGCACCTTTGCCCTGGACGGTCTCTGAGACGTAGTTGGCAGCATCCTAATATGCTTCTAGTCAGTATGCGGGGTAAGGTTATTGCTAGTCGTCTTGTTTGCTAACCTTAACAGTCTCCATTGTGAATATTCGGTTGGTTGTTGTGTTGATTGGTAGTAAGATGTGTGATGTGTATGATAGTTAAGCACTCTCAAAAGTCATGAGGCATACGTTCCGACGGAACTATTTATATGAAGGGTAGCTCAAGCTTTCCTACGTCATCACTTCACGATCCCGGCGCACGTACGGGGTACGATTTCGTCATATACTGTGATGTTGGCTGACAAAAAACCAGCATTCAAGATTAAACCACCGAGTGATCAAGATTTCCGTATGGTACATACTCAAAAGTTGGAAGTGGCGTTTAGGACAGTGGCGATCACGGATACCCTACCACGGATACCCTACCACGGATACCCTACCACGGATAACCGGTCTTGTGGGACATCCCTTGATACCCCAACCTGGCCGAACTTTGTAATTTGAGGCTCACTATCTGCAATAGTAAGCTATGTCTATCTCCTAAGATGTTATTACATCCTCAGCCAGTCCTCTTCAAACCCATGTAATACAGCTCTGGTGGCCAGAAATCAATAAACTCTATTGCCCAACGTCAAGGCACTGCATACTCCCTGTTATCCTTATCTACGCATTGAAATCGAAGGGTGTGAAATATAATTCATAGATAACTTTTAACGCAGCTTGAGATCAAGGCCAGTCTACGTTTGTTTTGCAAAATTTATCATAATCGAAGCAATATGTTTCTGGGTCAGTGGCCCCTTGTGTTGCTTCTGGATAGATGTTACCGGTATCCTGCTGCCGGTATCGTGACCCGGTAAACGGGCGTACGTTCCAGTCAACCCATCCCTGCTCTTATGTCACGCTGTGAAACTGCCAGAAGATACCTTGATTTTGTTTCTTGGCATTACCTCAACAATCTACCCTGTTATTGTATTTATCTGCCTGGCAACTCTTATACACCCAAAACGAAGTAACAGAATGCAAACATCTCAATTACAATATATACCATCATACACCGGACCAGCGTCCATGCCAGTCTTGAAAGCTACAATAATTGGTGATCGATTTACCACACCACAAGCAGAACTTACCGACTTGTTGTACACACCTACCTAGTCCGTCAAATTACTCCCCACGCTCAGAATCATGCCTATGATGAAGTCCGTCCGCTTCCATGGACCGCATGACGTCCGTGTCGACGATGTAGAAGAGCCGATTTGCGGGAAAGGTCAAGTCAAAGTCCGTTTAAGACCATTTATCAACATCCTTTTGCCTAACGTAAACCTAGATGCGGCCTGCCTATGTTGGCATTTGTGGTACCGGTGAGCTTACTCGTTTTATTTTAAGTCTTGTTGATTGGAATCATATCTCTTACAAGGGACAGACTTACACGAGTACATTGGTGGCCCAGTGCTGATCCCTCAGCAACCACATCGGATCACTGGCTCTGCATACCCAGTATCCATTGGACATGAGTTCGGAGGGATTATAGAAGAAGTCGGTGAGGGTGTGACGAATGTTGCTGTTGGACAGCGCGCTGTTGTTCGTCCGACGATCTTCGATGGAACCTGTACCCCTTGTAAGCAGGGATATAACCACTGCTGCGAGAATATCGGGTTCATAGGGCTGAGTGGTATGCTCCAGTTGTTTACTATTGAATATACATTGATATAAGGCTCACATGTTCAATATTTTCAGGGTATGGTGGAGGGATGTCCGAAAAGATTGTGGCACCAGCAGGACATTTCTACCCAATTCCAGACACTTTCTCATTAGAAGCAGCTTCGTTTATCGAGCCTCTTGCTGTCGCGTGGCACGCAGTCAAGATTTCGCTGTTTAAACCCGGGGACTCGGTACTCGTTGTGGGCGGTGGTCCAATCGGACTTGGCTTATTACAAGTGCTGAAGCTCCAAGGCGCCAAAAATATCATCGTGGCAGAGCTAATGGAGAATCGCAAAAGTCTCTGTCTACAGTATGGCGCAACGCATGTGGTTGATCCAAGGAAGGTAAATGTTGCGCAGATGACCCGAGAGTTAACCAATGGAGTCGGCGCAGACATCATTTTCGATACGGCTGGCGTGGAGAAGGCACTCCTAGACGCAATTCCAGCTTGTCGCACTCAAGGAACAATTGTCAATATTGCTGTGTGGGAGAAACGCCCGTCCTTCCCCGTAAACCAGCTGATGTACAATGAGATCCGGTATGTGGGTGCAGCATTGTATGATGAGGCGTCGTTTTTGGATACAATCCAAGCCTTGAGCGATGGTAAGTTGCGCAGCGTCTTGTCCTACCCCATGAGCTTGTTTTTCGGTTTTCTACTTCTGCTATAACATGGCTCTTTTGACACAAACTTAGGTCACCTGAAACCTGAGGCAATGATCACCGCACGTATCTCCCTTGGCGAAATAGTGGGGAAAGGATTCAAGTCTTTGCTAGAGCATCGTGATCAACACTGCAAAATCTTGGTGGAAGTACAGTCCTGAACGGGCAGTAAGCGATCGACAAGTGATACGTGTATGTCTTTTTATTGAATAAAAGCTAGACTCAACTGAATATGAGTGTAAAAGAGTGTTCCAAACCGTCTCTCCAATTTCCACGTCAATTGACGCATTTATCTTAAGGCAGAATATCCCACGTTAGGCGTTGGATCGTAACTGCTAGCTCCTTGAGAGCCAGCTGATTCGAGGACGATCAGCTCGTTTCCATTTCATCGAAAGAACACATCATCGCATTCAAGTTCCCACTTGAAGAGTCGTGATAAGATAGAATCTCCGAATATATAACCGTTTTCCAGACATCAGCTGGGAGATCTGCTTCGCAGTAATTCCAGTTAAATTGCTCCGCCGCTGCAGGTTCGTCTTCCGGGTCATGGTAGGGTGCAAGGTATTGCGCCTGGAGAGCCTCTTCTGCCGAGCAGCGCTTCTCTGGATCAATCTGAAGCATTCTCTCTAGCAAGGGAACAGCTGGATGCCTATTAGTAAGGATTAAGACTTTAAGAACGTATAATAACGTACCCTTCTCGTTAGCGTTAGGAATAACTCTTGAGAGAGGTTTTTGTGTTTGCTTTGGTAAAGAGCGAATGAATTTCAATGTCTAAGACTGTCAATTTCAGGTAAATGCCTCAAATATAGGATCACTTACGCTTTGACTGCTCACATTTGCAATCACGTCTTCTGGCGGGCTTCCAAGTAACTGTGTGATCACACAGTACTGATCGATATGATCTTTTCCTGGGAAGAGTGGTCGGCCCATGATCATCTCGGCGAAAATGCAACCTGCGCTCCAGATATCGACTTTCTCGTTATAGCGCTTCCAGGTAAGCATAACCTCCGGAGCCCTGTAGTATCTAGTCGAGATATAACCGGTCATACGAGAGTCCTGGGTGCGTGCTAGGCCAAAGTCGCAGATTTTTAGATCGCAGTTCTCATTGACCAAGATATTGCTCGGTTTAAGATCGCGGTGTACGATGCCCGCTGAATGTACATATTTGAGTCCGCGCTGGTTCTGATTTAGCATTGAAGTTGATCCGTTTGCTACCGAGGGCCTCACTATAATCTGATAAACGAAAATTTGAGTAAATTGGTCGTCGACCTTCTTGGTCTTTAGCAGAGTGTGGAGGTCCGTTGCCATAAGATCCGTCACGAGATAGCTTTTCGTAGTTAGCTGTGCTCAGTATAGAACAAGGAAGGGGGCGAATCTGTACATTTCTTCGGAGGGTGAAACGAATATGTCCCTTAAATTGATAATCTTTCCTTGGTTAAGCCATGATCCAAGTACAAGATTGGGAGACGAACGTTCTCATGTTCAAGCTGTATAAGCAATTTAACCTCGCGGAACATGCGCTTCGTCACTGCTGCTGTCCTGAATGGGTCGCAAAGCTTTTTTACCGCGACTGTTCGATTTGTAATTTGATCTCTTGCTGAACTATAACAAAAGGGGCTTATCAGAAATTGCACGTCGTGATACGAGCTGGTAGCATACCACACGAGACCAGATATGCCCATTCCAACAGGCTCCAACTGGTCATATCTAAGTCTATATTCAGCAATTATCTGTTGGCCAGCGTAATGATGTTAACCTCTTGGTGGTTTCAAATACCGAGCCCATAATGTCCTTACGAGTGAATTGGGCCAGCGACGGACCCATCTTAGGCGAGAAGCGATTGAGATCAAACATGCTAAAAGAAAATGCCCGTTGCAACGGAAGCAATATCCCAAAAGTGATTTGAAAGCACTTGTTGGAATAAAGTGATGAAAATTACCATCCTGGTACTGAATACGGAGCTGAAGTAGATAAAGTAGCGGAAAAGGACTCCGGAGTTAACAACAACATGGGTTGTGCGGTGGCAATTTTGTGTAGCGGAAAAGGACCCCGGATACAACACAATAACGTGGGTCCTTGCAGTCGTGCGGTGGCAATTTTCTGTAGCGGAAAAGGACTCCGGAGATAACACAGTAACGCGGGTCATCTCTGTCTTGCGGTGGCAAGTTGTTGTGACCAACCATTATGGCCAGCTACAGTAGAACGGAGCAAAGCCAAGGAAATAATTCAATTGCAGAAGCTTGGAATACCTCAGGTATCAAATTCCCCACACTCCGCGGATCGCCTTATATCATTGGTGGTTGATTTATCCGAGCCACCCGGGGAACCCTACTTGCACCTCCTTGAAAGAGACAAGGGCGCTAACGATTAAGAGATCTCCAATCTCTCGTTAGACAGGTTGCCGGGACGCGTGTCTCAGTAAATATGGCCGAGAAACAGGGACGTATTGTAAATCAATTAATCTAAATCAAACATTGGTTCACAGTATGAATGGCTGATTTCATTTATAATGCGTCGTGAACTGAGTATACATGTACTCTCAGACATAACGTTAAGCTAGGTTACATGTTAGGTAAATCAACGTACCAATCAAAGATTTCGGCACAAGTCGCTGTGTCATCCACCGAAGACGCTGGAGAGACTGTAGACAGGTCTGTTTTCAACCCCTCCTCGTCTGTTTTCATTCCCCCCTCCGACTTATCGGAACACGTAATATCCAAAACAGACGGACACTGCAACGAGCTCTTCTCGAGGAGTTTTTGTGTCATTTTTGTGAGCTGTAGGTTGATCCGATCGTCCCCGCATTTCGCGTGCGCAAAGACCCCGTTTTTGAGCCGCCAGGTCTCCTCTTTCAATTTTTTGACCTCAGCTAGGAGTGTGTTCCGCTTGGCTGTCTCTTTTTGTAGCATACGCTGGATTTCCTCGCGCTCTTGCTTCTTCTTTAAGCGGCATTTGTTCGCAGCAATGCGGTTGCGTTCGAGATACCGGGTCCTCTCTGGGCTGACAGCGTCTTGGGAAGGCTGAATCTTCGAGCCACGCCGTGGCCGGCTTTTGGGCCCCACCTGCGGCCTCAATTCTTGATTTAATGGGAGGTTGGCTGTCTTTTCGCTGCCTTGTTTGGTCCGCAAAGCTTCGGAAAGGAAATCACCTTCTTTGCAAGTGATGTGGGAAGGGTTCGACCAGACCGTAGCTGCCGGAATCACGAATTGCGTGTCTGGTTCTAAAGATTTTATGGTACTCGGATGCTCAAGCATTGTAGCCATCGCGCGATGTAGTCTCCGAAAGAAATATCGAGTTATGATTGTTGAAATATCATACTCTAGGAAGGAAAGGACATTAGAAGTATTGGGGAAGGTGGGATGGCAGAGGAGTTCAATCTTGGCTCTTATAACCATCACGAACCAACGCTTAACATGTTATTTCAAGATCCAGGGGTGAATAACCAGAATCCGGATCATGATGTCGGTAGCTCAGCAGCTCCAATGGTATGAACGCACATTGTGGGCCGTGGTCGAGATCTAAAGCCACCGCAGATCACAAGCCGACAGGCGGAGGCCAAAGAACCGCCAAATACCTGCATTTGCAGCATTGCCCAAGGGAGGCTCGCGCCGAGATACCACCAATGAAAGGCAAAGGTTTCCAGGATGGAGAAATGGCTTGTACAGAGTCGAGGCTATTCGAACAAAGCCTGGCCCGTCAGGAATAATGATCATCACAGGTGGCAAACGGGGACAAAGAGAACGCTCATAGGTTCACATTATATCCGGCATTATGGTACATTTAGATAAACGTCCCTCGATTGAAATAAAGCCAGATTGAGCTGATTTAGATTCTGAAACTTCCCAGAGGCCAGGAGATCGTGCAGTTTCTGTCGGAGAACGGTGCCCTTATTGACGGAGGGCGTGTGGTGATGTCACATTTTCTGGGCTCGGTTAAATGTGCGATATATCAGACAGTATGAAGCATATTTGGTGTGGTAAGCGTGGCATGAAGTAAACACTGTGGTTCCATTACGCAGGTAATCAAGATCCTTGTACTTTATAACTTCTATACACCAGATTCCTTGGTACCCCACCTCGAAAACCATCCCTTGGTACGCGCAGATCTTCAGCCCCGAGTGGTCACAAGAGTCGAGTCGCCCAATTTAACCCACAGACCATGAGCTTCCCCACATGATTCAGAGTGGAGAGCAATTTGTATTGCAGATTGCGTAGGCTGCTGGCTGCAGCAAGCATACTATCCTGGGAATCTCTTCCAGGAACACTGGAACACATGGCAGCGTCAAAGCACCGCCCAATGACAGTCCACGAAGCATTAGTCTAGCTAAAAGCATGTACCTGGGGAAGGGGATTGTCGATTATCCTGAGATGATGTCATACAGGTTCCGGACACACTCTAACTTTACACTAGCGAGTGAGTACAAAAGTACATGTAGGGTAAGCAAGCAACCTTGGAAGACGATTGCCCCACCTCATCTTTCCGCTTGACGCCGGATCGTACCAGCTGTCATTGGTTTGGCAGTTTGTTACCGCATGATAGATATCGCTTACAGTAGAGAAAACGCGGGATTTTGTGTAAATTAATTCTATATTTCAATCGGTCAAGTCTATATTAGGTTAGGTCTACCTCTCCCCGCCAGATTTCATACACAAAAGCATACACATGAGACAATTAAGTGCATCGCGATATATGAGGACTACATACTTATCTCGCGCATCTCACCCCACTCACTTACACGTCTCGGCCTAGGAAAAAGATGTAAGTCCCATATCATGTTTACCCTACCAGACAAAGCTCGGTTCCCGTGCTAATCCTCAGCAGGCCTTCTGCGACCGTCTTTGTTTCTATAAAAGAATGGTTTCGCTGTACAAGCAACGATCAATTTGACCATCAAAATCGACAAGCGATCACTCATGATATGCCACCGAGTCCTTCATCTTCAAACAGGAGGCAGGAGATCATCGCTCCTCGCGTGAGCACTATACCCTGCAAGTGTTGCCGAGAGAGCAATACACAATGTGACAGAACTATCCCGAACTGTTCGTACTGCCAGCACGAACAGCTGCTTTGTTTTTATGTTGAGTCTAAGCGTAGGATCAGATAGTTGGTCGATAAGTATATATGATCATTGGCTATGACACCTTTCAATAAGTGTTTGGAAACGAGTAATTAGCCTCTGTTGTGTTGGGCGGTAGGTATATTTTGGCAGTTGTAGCAATTTGGGGCCAAGTTGGCCGCCGAAAATGAAGAGGCTAGCCGGTTGATATTCACCAGGCAACCATTGACTCTATCATAGTTCAGCCAAAAATGGTCAATATTTAAGACATCTCCATATCGTTGGGCTGAACAGTTGGGTATGAAAGTGCAGTGAGAGCATTGGTACATGTGAGGTGCGCCATTGCAAGTGAGAAAACCAAAGCACGAGTAGTTGACGCCTCTTTAACGAAAAATCCACTTTCTATAATACACAAGGGCACGCTTCCGTCGGTAACCTTCTCGCGTTTTTCTTTTATGTTGAAGCCGCTTCGGCTTCCGTTAGTGTATGACAGACAATAGCAAGACAGCAAACCCAACCTCTGAATTATACCTGTTACTATGTTTCTCTGTCCACTAATGCCAGCATTCACGCGATCATCCAACCAGGGATATTGTTGTCATCTTTGCTGGAATCAACCCGAGGATCGAGCTTATTTGCGACCTTAGAGTCATGCGGGCCAGAAGTGTCGTTGCTGCCGTAGTGTCTGACTGAATCGAGATTATTATCGCCAGAAAATCTGCTGAAATTGGCCCCATGATTTTCTAGACAGGTCAACTTCTTGTGCTGCAATTATCGAAGGTAGATAGCTGCCACACCTTTATCACTAATCACTTGTGTATCGGCCTTATTACTTGGATCTGAATCTGAATTATGAGATCCATGATTGGAGGAGCTGTCCCTTTCGGGCTGCTTGCTCGTCATCGCTTCCTCTGCTTTTTTCACAAATGTCAACATATCGGTGATAGAAGTTGGAGAGTACAAATTTGTGTCTAGGCAATTGTTTGGTTCAAAAAAAAATCCTTAAAATTAGACTTGAAGGTGGGGAAGGGGCAGATATAAATGGTTTGTATATAATTGCTCGCCATGATATCATGCTGACGAACATCCGCCTTTTCGGGCAGGTAAACAGATGGGAAGTGCAGAGCCATCCCTGAATGGGCCGACGATCTGTGATGTCAAGTCTATAACGCGTTACCAGTTATTCACCTTTTTTTTTTTTTTTAGACTGATCAAAAGTATTCAGGAGTCCAATTCACTTACAGAATTATGGCAGAATCCTCTCATTCCCCATTTTCTCAATAGTTTTCAATGAACCCCGATGATAAGTTATATGATTCTGAAATATTACAAACTTTGACTATCAAACGTGACGCGACCGGATCTTTTGTCGCTGGTCGAACCAGATCAGCGAGGTTGAAGGCAGTATGAGGACCTTTCTCAACCCAAAACAAATAACAGCTTTCTCTTTCCTTTTTTGTGCTCGCCCTTGCCGCTTTTCATTCTACGCCAATTCACCACTCTCCCTTGTTTACATGCCCGAGCTGTATTTCATGGTACGCTCATCATTAATAAATTCGCGTAAACAACCAGTCGTTCCTGGTTAGTATATATTTAATTCATCTACTATATGATAGGGGCATATCTGTTTAGTAACCAAGACTCTAGGTAATTTAAAGGTGATATCTGGCAGCCACTCTAACATTTCATTTCTTCGACCTGAGTACTAACAGTTGATTTATCTTCTCGAACAAGTCATTCGTTCGATATGGCTTATGGATAATATCGTCCATACCAGCGTCTAACATCTCTATTTGTTGAGTCGCCCTCACATTTGCAGTGACCCCAAGAATAGGGATATTCGATGCACAGTCGCGACCAAGATTGCGGATTGCCATAGTTGCGGACATTCCATCCATGACTGGCATTTCTTGATCCATGAGGATGCAGTCAAATTCCTCACGTCGGACAGCATCCAAGGCCTCTTGGCCGTTCGTTGCCTCCGAGATATGGAACCCCAAGGATTGCAGCTTCCGAGAAACGATTTGTCGATTGACTATATTATCTTCCACCACGAGAACATGCCGAATTTTTGTATCAGATTTCACGCCAATGGTGCCGGACACTTCTGGGCTTTTTGAGATTCCGTCGACGTTGAGATCAGGGTGCAAGATTTGGTGCTCGCTCGCGGAAGGCTCGTCAAGATTAACTTGGTGAGCTAGTTCCAACGTATGCATGTATTTGTCGTCACTCACAGCACCCGGGGAGATTTCCGGAATGTGAGTGATAATGGGATTCTCTGGGATTTCAGGAGACTTCGTCCGGTTATTGACCCCGATAGCCTTGTTGCTCAGCGCTTGGATCCCACCAGATAACTGGTCAATCTCGGAATCGTCGTAAGTAGGCAGATCGGGACTAGATGGCTCAACTTCCCGTCTGACCTTGAAGAAGAAACCAAACGTGCTCCCTTCCCCTTCCCTTGAGCTTGCGCCGATTTCTCCACCGTGAAGGTGACAGAGCTTTCTGCTCACATTGAGGCCAAGACCAGAACCACCGTAAACGCTATCGGTTCTAGGTGTGGCTTGATTGAAGCGCTCAAAGAGCCGCTTTTGAGCTTGGTCACTAATGCCAATCCCTGTATCCTTTACGGCAACCATCACATATGCGATTGGATTCTCTCCCCACTCAGGTGTGTTTGTGGCATCTAAGCGAAGTGCATTTTCGCCGGATTCGAAAAAAACAACATTGGGGGGGTAAGACGGCGGCCGCTTCGTAGAGGCGCCAATGGAGACTCTGATCTCTCTCTTACCGCTCGCTTTAGCGGTGAATTTGATAGCATTGGAAACCAGATTGATGAGAACCTGGCTCATCCGGCTGAAATCGGCTAATGCCCACTCAATCTCGCAATCTGAGTATGAATGGTCAAGTTTGTATTCAAATTGAATGTCTTTCTTCCGAAGCTCCGGCCGAAAGATGGACAACGTTCGTGCCAAGTGTCGTTTTGGTTGAGCTCTTCGCGGTGACAAGGTCAACATTGATGCGTCTAGCTTCGAGAAGGTAAGGACATCGTCGACAATATTCTTTTGATGTGCAATGCAGAAGCTGATTGTTTCTGCCGCTTGTGTAATGTCTGCCACAGGTACCCCACTACTTTCTTTGTCCTTCACTGCTTCAAGTATATCCTCTGTGCAATGAAGAATAGCAGAAAGAGGATTTCGGACTTCATGACTGATCATATCGATGAAGCGCTCCTGTTGTTGCTTGCGCTCTTGCGCTTCTCGTGCAATATCCATTTGCAGTAGCTCGGCCGTCTTTTCGTGGGTAATATCTGCTATGGTGCAGATAAAGCCTCCATTGCTTAAATTGAGCCGGTGCAGATCAGCGTCATCTAACGGAGCCAACATCAGAACACGCCACAAAGGGATTCGGCTGCGAGTGCGGAACTCGATGCGAAGGGCATGCTTAGAGCGTGAGGTTTCAAGATAGGCAGTGGCTATCCGGTCGAAATCATCTGGGTGGATTGATTGTGACCAGCATTCGAATGATTTAGCTCTTGAACAGGTCATAAGCTCCCGGAAACGCCGGTTCACCATGATTGACTCGTCATTTTGATTGATAATTGCAACGCCGGTCGGTAGCATGTCAGCAAGCTCCTGTGCAGAGAGATTACCATCAAAGACAGCAGCCATCTTTATCTTGTGTGTGCCGTTGATGGTAAACCTCTAGTAGTAACGATTCCGTAAGCATATGCGTTGGCAATCAGCTGAGCGATAAATGGATGGAGTGGGTTGCTGAGGGTAACAATAATACGCCTTGAAAGGTGTGGTTTGAGAACTAGGTGTTTCAACGACTACGCTCGCGGCAATAGATCGTGCGTCCAGCGCGAAATGAGGTCATCGATATCATCGCGGAATATCAATTTTCATTGACGGCCTCACCAATGTCCAATCGCAAGCCGTCGGAAGTTACTGCAGTGCCGGCGTTGATTTGAGTTAAGCAAAGAAGACCCGCAAAATCCATTTGGAGTCCATTGTACGGATTGAGGTCCTGTCTAAATGGCGAGGCGAAATGAAGACAGTCACAACAACGAATCAAAATAAGGGATCAGATCCTGGTTTGGGAGAGCTCAGCTGATCGTTGCGCACGTTGAACAAAGAACGCGAACATCAATAAGTCATGTACCCGACCTCTATCGCAGAAGTATTTCGCAAAGTTTCCACCAGATAATTCGGGAAACACCAATCTCGACGCATAAACCTACTGAGCATGGTGTGCGGAGAAAAGTCAGTACCCTCGATGATTTCAAGGCGCACAGACTGCAATACTCTCCAGATCTTAGCAGGTTTGTCTGCTCCAAGGCAGATACCCAGTATGATGTTAATATCGAGTTAGTAACCTCACTCCAATGGGTTCCGCCATCACCCATTGAGGATTCCCGGAGCGATGATGTCATTTTGCTTCCTCGGTTCAACGCACATGTAGCTTAATAATATACGCAGCGTGATTACCGTCGAGGAATAATCTGCAATCTAAGCTTTTATTCTTCCGTTCAGCAAGAATTCCACATCAATTGCACACGCCCTGACAAGATGGCCACGAATTATATTGTAGATTAATTTCCCTTCGTCTCCTACGTTCCCCACTAACGAAGACAGGTAACCTTTCAAGACTCAGCCACCACTGAGCAGATCAATACCTACATCCAACAGATTAACGGAAACGGTGGAACTGTAATCAACAGGTTCCCAGATATGGTCGCTAGAGGCTTCGTGTATGTGGCCTCTCTACTACAACACTTCATCGGGTGTTTTACTAATATGCATTCCAGCGCCTGTATACCAGATTCAGTCCTCGAAAAGCTTCAGTCAGACCCTCTGATTGATAATATCACACCTGATAGCTCCTCCTAAGCTTGATGTTGGTTCGGCCCTTCTGAGAGAGCTGCATAGCCTAGCATAATTTTTGCGTTGGGTTCCATGTGTTCTACCAAAATAACGTCATGATTCGTGCTACCTAACCAAATTGACCACTGTGCTGGCTGCCTTCATATATGTAGAGGAAGCTCATTCATCGCGTAGACCCCTTGCCACTAAATTGGTCCAAGATTTTATTGTCCTTACTGGTCGGTTCTACTCCGAGCGACTGGTCTCTAATTTGGAAGGTACAATGTAATGAATAAAGTAAATGGTAAGGCGTAACTCCTATGCTGGCATATCCTTATATCCCCACATTTTTTAAGCCAAGTAGCTGAATGAATCAGGTGCGTGAGGAAGACCACCAAGTTATTGGGCAAGACATCTACTCTCCATACCACTGTATATAAGTATGGACATATATCAGGTAAAAGAGATGCTTATCTATGACTGCAGATTGCATAAAGCATTTTGCAATATTTGGCGAACTAGCGAGAGAAGTCCCTAGATATCATATCCTGCTTTGGGGACAGTCCCTCTAGAGTCTAGTGCAGTGCTAGACGAAGGTAAACTTCAGAAACCGCGAAGGTACACAGCCCTGATCACAGGATCTATTTACGAGCACGAACAAAATTGCACATTGAATAAAGATTTTGGTGGCTCCAACAGGTTCAGTGCGTTAGTTTTCAAACGCTTTCTAATACTTACAAGCCGAATTTTCTTAATTTGAAAGCGAATAACCTAGGTGCAGTAACGTTTCTGTACAGTAAAGTGATTCGCAAATTAAGGACCCGACACACCGCGGCACCTTCAGGAGAGTCTATTGGAAGAAAAGCACTTCCGGCACCGAGAGAATTATTGCCAAGAATGCTGGTGTATGCTCAACTTAGCTTAAATCGGACTCGCTCACACGCGCAGAAATTGCCGTTTACGTCCGGCATTGGCAATTCGATTTATGCTTTTAGGATTTCCGAATTCTGCCGACTTTACTCTCTACTTGAAGCACCTATCTTTTCCAAGTAGTCGGCCCCGCATTATGAACTATACACAGACTAGACGACTAGTTCACCAATCATTCCAAGGAGAGATTTGGGGACCTTCTTTTGAGCTGCCATGGCGAAAGGGGAAGGATAGGCTCTCATGTTGACGTGGGTGATTCAATCTTATCTGCTAGCTATGCCAATGAAAATGAAGCCCATCGATGTTATATGCACAGACGAGGCGATTACTGGTCGAACATAGCGGCTAGAGAACGGTTCCCCGAAACCCCGCAATTTCCATGCACTTGGTTCGATCTCTCCGATGATTAGTGCTAATAAGCACGAGACATTCCACGATCGCAATCTACTGGGATCGGTCTTTTACAATAAGGCAGAAGACCTCCACTCTCCAATGATACGGTGGAACACAGAAGTTTCGCCCCATGTTGATGAGTCAATTCATCAGTGTCTCCCAATTCAAGTTTTCTGTTTCATTTAGGTACCCCTATCCGTCGCCGAGCTTAAATGGTCAGCGGCGAGGCCTAAGCACTAAAACGGAAAGGGAACGCCGAGATGTGGCAGAGGAAATCAAGTACTTAGGTATTATTCATACAATAATAAAACAGCCCCGAGAAGATAAGAAAACAAGAGGAACGGAAAAATCAACACTTTTAGTCCAGATCCACATGAAGCCATAACTCGTAACTGATATCCAAGACGCACAGGCAAGAAATCATCACCACACCCTCCCCATTCAAGCCAGCAACTCAAACCCGCTGCTGTGGTGGACTATCCGGCGGAGTCTGCGACTCAAGCTGCAGATCCAAAAACTTGGGCTCCTTCTCCGCCTCAAGAGCATCAATAGCCCGTTTCAGCTCATCTTCACCAACAATAATGGTACCCGCGCGTGCAGTTGACAAGAAACTAATCTCCACGGCATCAGCGACAGGGTCCAGATCTGGCTGGAGGTGATGGGCTGACATCGGGAGAGGATGGAGATTATGCGGTGGCGCCGAAGAAGGCGTGGGGGACTTTTTCTCTGACATCGAGAGGGCGTCTAGACGGGTGCCGAATGTATCGAAGAGTCTGGGCACTGAGCCGATGATGCTGCTTGCGTTACTGCCGACGGCACTGGAGATGGCTGTTGAGGTTGAGGGGCGGGGGCTTTGTGCTGCTTCGGCCAGGCGGCCGGCTACGCCGCAGACTATTCCTGATGCTTCCAGGGGGAGATCTCGTAAGTCCAGAGTGATTGGGATCAGGTAGTCTTCTTTTGAGCCTAGGAGAAGGCCGGAGCCGTCTTCGTAGTTTCCATGGGAAGAAGATCGGAGGGCGAAGCGGGGGAGGAGGCGCTTCTCTAGGAGGAGGGAGGCGGCTGGGTCGAGAGCTGCTAGGGTTAGAGAGAGGAAGCGCGGCTCGTCGATGAGGAGGACTGTTGTGAGAGCGTCGCGGAGGATGGACATTGAGCTGTCTTCGCTGTGGTATTGGTGGTGAGCAGCGCACTGAACTAGACGGAGGGTCTCGTCTACGTAAGGGGAGATCTGGCGTTTGCGGAGACTGTCAAAGGTGCGGGTTTGAAGTTCGGATAGGGTTGAAGGTGGTGGGGTGTTTGGTGGGATTAGATCGCTGAGGCGTCTTTCTGTTGTTGGGCTGAGGGGATTGTTGATAAAGGCTGCGCTTGCGTTGTCGAATTGGAAGCCGCGGGCTTCGAGAGCTGACATGACACTTGTTTTGCTTTGGCTTGGGACTACTATGTAGTCGGAGAAATAGGTGGAGATAAAAAAGATGGAGCTGCGTGGCATTAGTATGTACGTGATAGATGGTACGGAATATACATACATTCCTGCCAGGGCGAGGGGAGTGGTTAATTCGAGAACCCGCCTGCTGGCTTCGAGGCCTTCGCCGAGGACTTGCATGGCGATGAAGTCATTCTCGCTGATGACCAGGTGGGAACGGAGAGAGCCATCAAGTTGGTCGAGCTGATCCATGAGCGGAACAAAGTACTTGTCGACTAGACGCCTGGGACACATGACCGAGACCTCGACGGGCGTGATGGAGATATTCATGAAGGCAGGTGGTTTATAGCCATTTTCTGAGGCATTGTCGAGGCCGTCAGACTCATCATCTCCGTGCCCACTTTCATCTTCCAGCGGTGGGACTTCATCGAAGATCAGATTGAGAACTGCATTGAGAAAGTAAGGGTACAGCTCCAGTGGGATGTGCACCAGTACTACGCGTTCGTCCTGGGATGCGGTTAGTAGGCATGGCAGTTGCGAGATGCGATTGACTCACCAGAAAGTGCACCTGGGCATCGATGAGAGTCATGGATTGATCCATGGCACTGTTTGAGGCCGTGCTTGCCGGTAGACAATAGATGTGCAGGGAATGGTGAACGATTTGAGACTGAGCTTGAAGTTGAGATTTGACTCAGGACACCCCACAAACGGTTACGCCATCGGCAAAATGATGCTATTCAAAGTCGATCGAGGCAAGATATTGCGTCAGTGGTAATTGCAAGCACGTAGAGAGCGCGCCAATATGAGTCAAATTGCGAGAGTCGGATGGTGAGAGATGACGAAAGCAGAAAACGCACAAAGAGACCCCTCTAATTCCCCTCTTTTTCATATTTCCAACTAACTGCAAACCACCAAACCATCAACTGCCAACTAACCACCAAATGCCTATATATTCCCTATCATCCCACTTACCAAATCTCTTCATGTACCCACACAGCTTATCAGCCTCCCCGCGCTAGGCGCTACGGCTACGCACGGTTCCTGGGCCACTTTTATCTCCCCGAGGTTTTCCGCCTCTCCTATCGCTCCCCCCGTATGGTGTTCGGCCAATGTCGATCAATAGATTGTGCCTGTTCTATCTCCCGGAGCTGATCCCCGTGCCCTACGGGTATTAAATAAGGCACCTGCAGGGTACTTTGCTCCAGCTATGTCATCTGGCTAGGTCATCTGAAGAGTGATAGGCGTGCTGACCTGCAGCTGTCTGCTTCCAGGATTCGATTCCTGCACATCCCCCGCTTTTTCTATCCTAAACGTGTCCTCGGTACCTAAGTAGGTACATGTAGGTAGGTGATTTGCCACTACCATGTCGACGATAAGGAAATAAATCCATACTCAAGTCAAACTTTTCCTATGCAACGTTGCACTTCGGATTGGAAACATCGATGCGCCCGCTTTGTACGTCCTATTTAAATTAACAGTCGAAGATAGGGACAAATACCGTGGATATATATCTCAACACGGAGGATTAATGGTGGAGTATGCTGCATGTACGGAGTCTACACAGGTGAACTCATATCCATAATTCGACAACTTAGGGCTTCTTCATTGAGGAAACATCAATCAAACAGATGAAAACAAGCGATTGGATTCAATTCATATACTCTGGTAGACTTGAAGCTGGGGTGTTTACAGACCTGTTGAGTCAAGTATGCAACCCCCTTGCGTGGATGTTCAGGGACCTCCAAACTCGGCCACATTCCACCTTCCAGTCCCACTTCGGGCATTCTTCACTCGACAACAAAGGTAATCCAAGGCCAAAATGAAGCTCCCCTGGTGCGGCTTGTTTTTCTTGGATCAAGGCACTGCCAATGACGGCCCTGCAAGCCTGAATTCGGAAGGGCCAGCATACTCAGGCCCCTAGTGCAGATCCAGAGACCAGAGTACCTTTGTTTTTGTCGCGATGGGTTAAAGAGACGCGAATCCCATTTTTGAAACTTAAGCAACACTCCGACCGACCTGCGCGGATTTCCTTCGACCAGCGTGTTTTTGTTATTTCTTATTAATTTGTAGTTCATCGTTGTCCGACCTCGAATACACTCGTTTGGAGGATTTCGCTATCCTTCGGATTCGGGTCGATTGTCACTCTTTTGAACAATCTCAAAATGGCCAGATTCGGTTTGATTGCGCTGGCCTCATGGCTCGGCCTAGCTGCGGCCAAGGATGTCTACCTCGATTGGAACGTTACCTGGGTCAATGCCTCCCCGGATGGTTATGAGCGTCCTGTCATTGGTATCAACGGCGAATGGCCTTGTCCCCAGATCGATGTCGACGTGGGTGACCGCCTCATCGTCGATGTATACAACGGACTTGGAAATGAGTCCACCGGTATCCATTGGCACGGGTTCCACCAGTATGCTACTGGTGTGATGGATGGAGCCAGTGGAGTGACTCAATGTCCTATTGCCCCAGGCTCACACATGCAATATCACTTCCAGGTACGTGCTTTTTATTTGTATACTGAAATTATGCTAATGATGATATAGATCAACCAAACTGGAACTTACTGGTATCACTCGCACAATATGGCTCAGTACCCCGATGGATTCCGTGGTCCCCTGATTGTGCACGACCCTAAAGCGCCTTTCCACTATGATGACGAGTTCACAATCACCCTGAGCGACTGGTACCACCAGGAGATGCCTGAGCTCCTCAATAGCTATGAGTCCGAGTCCAACATGCAAGCCTTCCAAGGCCGGGAGCCTGTCCCCGACTCTGCCTTGATCAATGACTCGTTCAACAACACCAAGATCAAGGTCCTACCCAACAAGACTTACCTGGTGCACATCGTCTCTCTTGGAAACTGGCCCGGCCACACCTGGGTGTTGGATGGCCATGAGATGACCGTTGTCGAAGTGGACGGTATCTATGTCGACCCCTACCCTGCTGGAGAGAAGTTCCTGCGGGTTGCTAATGGACAGCGCATGAGTGTCCTGATCAAGACCAAGCCAGACACCAGCAAGAACTTCGCCATCTGGGATACCATGGATGTGAACATGATGTTCGTTTTTGAAGGCCGTCCCATTCCCCCTGGATACAACCCCAACGCCACCGCCTGGTTGGTCTACGATGAGGCCAAGCCTCTGCCTGCTCCCCCAGTCTTCGGCACCGACTTCCACTTCGTCGACGATCTCGACTTCGTGCCCGCAGACCACGAACCTCTGCTTGAGCCGGTGAACAAACAGATTATCCTCAACACTGGCAGCCGGGAGATCAACGGTGTCCAGCGTTTCACAGTGAACGGCCAGACCTACATGCCTCCCAAGGTCCCAACCCTGTACACAGCGAACACCATCGGTCCCAAACTCGCCTCCAACCCCGCTGTCTACGGCCAAGTCAATCCCTTCGTGGTGAAGTACGGCGATATCGTAGAAATTGTCATCAACAATCACCACAACAACCTGCACCCGTGGCATTTGCATGGCCACCAATTCCAAGTCTTGCAGCGCACAGACATCAATGGCGGCCCCTACAGAGGTCTGTTCTCCAACGTCTCCAGGACCCCCGTCAAGCGTGACACAATCATGGTCCAAAACAACGGCCACGCCGTCCTGCGTTTCCGCGCTGACAACCCCGGTGTCTGGCTTCTCCATTGCCACATCGAGTGGCACGTTGAGGCCGGTCTAATGGCTACTATCATCGAGGCTCCCGAGACTTTCCCCCAGTCCGAGAATGCTCCTCCCAAGAGCCACTATGAGGTCTGCGCTGCCTATCCCGCTCCTATCAGTGGCAATGCTGCTGGTAATAATGGAACCGATCTCAGTGGCCTCGACAATACGGTCACGCCTGGGAGCGACGGTGCTCTGTATCATGGCAATGCGAAGGCTGCACCCCCTCCCAAGCCCACCACTACCAAGGCTCCTCCTCCTCAGGCCCCTGCTCCCAAGCCCACCTCGACCAAGGCTCCTCCTCCTCAGGCCCCCGCGCCAAAGCCCACCACTACCAAGGCTCCTTCTCCTCAGGCCCCCGCGCCCAAGCCAACCCATACCCGTCCCCCGACTCCCCAGGCTCCTGCGCCTAAGCCCGCTCCTCCAGTGCCTCAATCACCCGCACCCCAGGAACCCGTCCCAGTGGCGCCAGCTCCTGACCCTCAGTACTACCCAGAGGAGGACTATTACCCCGATTCCGACGACGAGCCGCTGCAGGTTCACTCCGAGGAGCACAATGGACCCTGGCCACTACCGCACACAGACCACGGCCACGTCCAAGACGGCCATACCCACTCCCACTACCCCGGCGAGCCGGTCATTGCCGATTCGCAGGATACCAAGTAAGTATACCATTCCCAAACGACAGCCTCGCCATTATAAGAGTCCCTAACCATCTTCGTAGGGGTCCCTGGCCAAATGCCCACAACGACAAATCCCATGCGCAAATCGGCGACCCGAACGACCTCTCGACTGACCCCATCGTCGCTCACAACGAGGACACGAAGGGCCACTGGCCTCACCCGTACAACAACGACGGATACGTCAGTCACGGGGGACATACCATTCACACGCATGATTCTGGGTAAGGCTTCATACCAAAAAAGGACTCAAATGTGCGCATCGCTGACCGTGATTGTAGGCCTGATGATCTCCCCGCTGGATTCAAGGACTGGGAGCAGTATGAGCATATTCAATAAACAAGACCAAGACTGGTTGGGAATGGCTTGTATATTAGTTTTACTTTTCCTTTCTTCCTAATGGGTTGGTGTCCTCTCTTAATTAGAACAATGAGACACTCTTTTGGTTATATGTTTTCCTATTTAGGTTGGTTGATCCATGGATGAAATCTGTAGATAGCCTGGTTTCTCAGGCTTTGGTTTGGTTCTTACCTTTTGGTTAGGTTCATGTTCTTTCTTAATTAGTGCACTGAGACCCCATTTTGATCATATTCTTACCTATATATGTTCATTGATCCATGGTCAGGATATCTCGGCAGCCTGATGGTTCAGTTTTTGTTCGCTCTATTCGTCTTAGGGTTATCCTGTTTAGTCTTTTAATCTTCCTAAAATGATTGATATACGTCCTTAATTAGTGTACTAAGACCCCGTTCTAGGTATATTCTGACTTAAGTCGGTGTTTCGATCCGTGCATGATATATGCAGGAAGCCTGACGTCAGTTTGTTTCGTTTGTCTGAGAGCTGCGACGTTTGGATCTTGCCCTTTTAGTCATACAGAGAGTGAATACATCCAGGGGTACGGAACTGAACTTTTGAGGATATGATCAGGTTGCTGCCTTGCTGATATAAATGCACTAATTTCTCATTCTGTCCTATCTTATTATCGCTAGTCACCGATCTATAAGTAGATGGATGAATCGACAGGCTATCCATGGATAGTATCAATTACACCTCTGATTCCCAATCGGTTCTATTACCAAATCCTGACGACCTCTTCTACGTCTAAGATACTGTCATATTGAGGCTCAGCCTCTCTCGCTTACCTCTCTTGCCACCACCGCCGGGTTCTGAGCTACGGCAAACCGCGAACATGGCTGGTCCCATCATATGTTGCCGAGACATGCAGCTCCCGTTATCCAAGCATGTCAACGCCCGTGAACTCTACGACTTTGAAGTTTGGGCACGAAAGGCCCCGAGAAACCCCTCATCCGCAAGCAAGCACATCAAGAGCTTACCAAGGGGTGTATTCGGGGCCGAGTGTTACTTCCAAGTCACAGCCCGCCCCGGCTTCGCAAATGTCCCTTCTACTCGGACCTTTATACCAAAGCTTGACAATCACAAGCCATACCAGGAGGTTTTGTCAGTTGCGTACATTGAACGAAATTATAAGCAGGTTGCTTTGTGAGTTACTCCTTCTTTTGCTTACACCTTACATGAAACTGATACCCTCGTGTAAAATATAGGTTTACAAGCTCTCGATGCCACCACAACAAGTACATCGAAGTTTCTCTCTATGAAAAACAAGTTACTCCGCCCAACCGAAAACGCCTTACACCTAAATGTCGGACCAAGCCTCTTCCTAGTATGGATACTGAGGATAGATTTATCTGGCCTCCTTCGCCAACCTGGGAAGAGAAATTGGGGCCGTCCTTTTTTGGAGCTGAAAAGAATGACGACCATTTATGGCTCTCGAATACCCTCGCTTCACGCCCCTATGGAAAGGAAACTAGCCCGTCTTCGAGCATCGTAGAAAAGAAGGATGAGCAACAATTGCAGTGGAAACCACCAGCCCGGTCGAACCACGATGCGGAAAATTGTTCCTCTTTTCCCGTTTTTAAATGGCCAGATGATGATCTATCGAATCCCAAACGACCCACGTCCCCTGGCTGGAAAGTCAAAGCTGAGCCCTCTTCTTCCGTTGTTGAGAAGAAGGACAATGATCTATGGCCCTTGAAATCACCCGCTTCGCGCTCTTCCGTAAAAGAAAGTGACCCGCTTTTGATTTTCGCCCGAGAGAAGAATGAGCATTGGGGCCAGTGGAAAACACGTACCTCGTTCAACTGTGAAAACGAATCTTCCCTTTCCTCTGCTGTTGTTGCGAAGGAAGCTGATGATCAATGGTGCTTCAAACGACCCACCTCCCCTGTCTGGGACATGAAAGCTATTCCATCTTCTACCATTGCTGAAAAGAAAGACGATATATGGCGCTTGGAACGACCCGATTCATACCCTTGTGGAAAGAAAACCAGCCCGCCTTCGATCATCACTGAAGAAGAAGATGCTGGTCAAGCTAGGTCTGAAATAAGTACCGAGATATCTCTAGGTATCATCGAGACTGCAATCAAACAGCTGAAGCTTTCCGAAGCACAAACCAAACTTTCCTCTGTGTTTGCTGATGCTGCAATGGCTGGAGATGCAGTAGCTGGAGCTGCTAATGCTGACGATACAGGAAGTGATTTACCAGCAGAGGATACTTCAGGGCTTGAAGATACGTTCTACATGCCCCCAGAGCAGCCCCTACATCCTACTGTATCTGAGACCGAAGGCTTTTACTATTTGGACGAGAAGGACTTTGGCTGTTATTACCCCGGAGGGGTCTCTCAAACTTATAGTGACTATAATGACGAAGGATGGGAGAAGGTGACGGCTTGTAAGGAGTGTGGGGATCCTGGAAATTACCCTTGGTGAATCAATCTGACCTGTGCCTGGTTGCTATGTTACTTTTGCTTGACTTGAATAGGCTCAGGTGGAATGTCTGGTTCTGATAACAGTAGTATCTTTCATTCATTGCAATAATCTAAATCTGCAAAATCATCTAGTCCAGACCCTTGAAAACATCCTCGAAACGCAGCTCATTCCAGCGAACATTGGGCTTCAGTCCAGCAAACTTCCACACACCATTGACCTTGCGGTAGTAGTGCTCGTTTGTGGCATGCGAGTGGCCACGCAGCTTGACAGTCTCAAGTTCGGCAGTCTCGTAAACCTGGTGGGCAGCGCGCAGCTGGTGGTGACCGATGACCTCGGTGTCGGAGATTTTCTCCCACCAGGTCTGGCCGAGCAGATGCTGGGTCTTGATGGTCTTGTCGCCCAAGAAGCCGGGGTGTGTGATCATCGCCATGTAGTCATCTGCGGCCATGTTGTCCCATCTCTTGAGACCGATCTTGGTGTAGTCGACTGTCAGGGTTGGGGCAATGATGCTGCGGAGGCGGTCCCAGTCCTAGGTGATGTTAGATATCTGGAGTATTGAATCTATTAGATGTGCATAATTTACCTTAGCATCATAGCTGTCAGCCCAGTCGAAAACGAGCTTCGAGAGGATGAGGAAGTCTGTCGATGTCAGTATTTAATTGTGAAATTTGCATATTGGAACCTACCCTGGAAGCTGATATCCAAGTTCGGCTCAGTGGTGTTCTTAACGGCGGGCGACATGATGGTATAGCAGTTTGAGGATTGTCAATAGCTGAGAAATCCTATAAGGCGCGCAGCTCGAGTATATCTACGAAAAAACATTCGCACTGGGGCCAGAACTCCCTGGATCAGGCCCGCCGCCAACCAATTTCCCCTGTATAAGGAACTGGGATGTAACAGTAGACTCATGGTGTGATAAATGGTGGGGACGGATCTTCCAACCTTCAGTGACGGCTTTCCGCATGCGGAAGTAGGTCAGCCCAAGATAGTTGGGCTTACTGTTCGCAAGCAGCCATTTGATCCCCTAATTGAATATTCAATGGCTCGCAAGAATAAGTGTGGGTCTTTAACAGTTCCATTGTAGACATTGTTACCTTCAAAATGGGAACTAATGAGAACCTCGCTGCAATAGGGAGCTATGAATGGAACCAAGCCATGCAACTGATCCCATCCAGGCTTGTCTTCTATGTCTCTACAAAAGATCATATTCAATATTAGACTACCCTTCCCACTCTTGTCGCAACCCTCTACACATTCCTCTACAACCGTCATCCCTTACCTCTATCAACATCAAAATCACCAAAATGGTTGCCCTCAACTCTAGCGCCATTCAGCCTGAGCTCGCCGGCAAGGTCGCCCTTGTAACTGGTGGTGGTCGCGGCATCGGCTCCGGTATCGCATTGGAGCTGGCGAAGAAGGGCGCATCCGTGGCAATCAACTACGCCAGCAGCTCCCAAACCGCCGACAGGGTCGTGCAAGAGATCCAGGCACAGGGTGTGAAAGGTGCAGCCTTCCAGGCTGACCTGACGAACGTCGACTCCATCGGAAACCTCTTTAGCCAGGTCGTGGCACACTTCGGCCAACTCGACATCGTGGTCTCCAACGCCGGAACGGAGAAGTTCGTTTCTCTGGCTGACACCACGCTGGAGGACTTCAACGACGTGTTCGACCTCAACACACGGGCACAGTTCTTCGTCGCTAAGAATGCCTACGACCACATCCAGCCCGGTGGACGTGTTGTCCTGATGTCGTCCATTGCTGCTGGCGTGGGTGTTCCCGGACACTCCCTGTATGCCGGCAGCAAGAGCGCCATCGAGGGTTTCACTCGCTGTTTTGCTGCCGATTTCGGCAAAAAGCGTTGCACCGTCAATGCGATTGCTCCAGCCGGCATCAAGAGTGACATGTGGTTGAGCAACTCGTGGCGCTATGCCCCTGGCTGTGACCAGAACTCGTCTCTTGAGGATATCGAGCAGGCTCTGGCTAATGGTAGTCCTCTCAAGCGCTGTGGTGTGCCCGCGGACATTGGTCGTGTTGTGGCATTCCTGGCCAGTCCCGCTGGAGAATGGATCAACGGTATGTATTGGAATGCTTACTTTATCCCTTCCGGAACGTGGCTAATTCTTTGCAGGTCAGATTCTGCCCCTGAATGGAGGTGCCAATATCTAAGGAGGTGAGAAAACCTGGGAGTTTGGAGTTGTTTCGGATTAGAGTCATTCATTGGAACCCCTGAGAACTGCCATATACAGGGCCTGGGCTGATTAGTATTTCAATCATTTCAATCATGCTTCATTTCTGTCTAAATATACTGTATTCACCGAATTGGATTAGATGAGCATCGAACTCAAAAATATATTACCCGCCATGTATCAAACGTTCGATCTCACCAAGGAACCGCCGGGTGACTTTAGGCAAGCGAATCACGAGACCAACATCAAAGCCACAAGCAACGACGGTGAATTGCATAGCTCGAATGTCTGCAAGATCCGAGCGGTATTTTTTTGACTCAAATCGACTTTTACCACGTCCGCATCCGGAACTCCACGAAGCAACCC